ATGAGCTTGAATGTCATACACAAGATAAAACAATCATCAGATTTCAGCACCCTATGTCTGCCTGATCGGCCTGTAATTGTGCTTAAACTGTTCTTGGCATTAGACTGTGCAGCTCTGACTATACAACAGAAAAATACCAAATATTAACATTGAATAAACATTTACCAGAGAGAGAGAGAGAAAAAAAGAGGCTTTGAAAACCTCTGTGGCTGACGGTGACGGGTGCTGTTGTGATGCTGAATCAGACTCTCCAGGTTCATTCTGCTTTTTCATCACTGTATACATGAGATTGGACACAAAATCACAGTTGGTTTGAGTGTGAAAGTGTGATGTGGCTAATGATGAGGAGGAGCAGATTTGGAGTATTAATCAAGTCTTTACATAAGTTGTTGACAAAAATGACCTTTCACTCTTGAGACACTTGTGAACGATGACTTTAAGGTAAGGTGACCAGATTTCTGTAATGAAATCCGGGGACATTTGGTGCGGTGGGGGGGACACAACATCTCGGTACTATTTAGTAGCAGCGCACGCCCCTTGTAATAACCCCTGTAAAAACTATTGTTCGGGACTGCTTACTTGTGCTTCCTAACCCATTCCGCCCACGTTCTTGCCTACTCTCATTCATGAAAACACTTCAAACGGGGACATTTTCGGGGACAGCTTTTGCTGGGGACAGGTCATCCAATTGGGGGACTGTCCCCGGAAATCGGGGATGTCTGGTCACCTTACTTTAAGGTCTCTGTGATTGCAACTCACCCAGAGAGACACAAAACAGTCTGTGCGTCATGTGTTATTGTGGCTTAACAACAATTGCCAATACCCCAAGATTGCTGTTATGACATTTTGCAGGATAAGTAAAGGATTTGGCCTGCAAGTGGCATTGGAGGAATGTCAGCATGGAAATGTTAATGTTTGTAGAAAATGTCACTGCAGCTCAACCAGCACCTGGTCCAGATATAAAATCTGAACCTTAAGAGTGATTGTGGGAAAAAAAAAACACATTTTCATCCAAAAACATTTGTCTGTCTGTTGATGTAACTTTATATTGTCTAGGAATTCATAGAGAGCAAAACAATAGTTCCTACAAATAAAACTGGAAATAAGCCTTCAGTCTTATTTGAGTTATTTCTCTCTGTTACCTGCACTATCGTCCATCTATTGTGTTCTGTTTTTGTCCTTGACTCACGGCAGATTGATCTGAAAATTAAAAACTCTTTTCAAAAACAAGATATCAAATCAATAGAAGCAGAAAACAAACCCAGATCCTATTGTATTTCAATATAGGATGTCCTTCTGAAATTACACATGCTTTCAAGGGAGGATGGGAAACAAATGAGTCATCCATTTACCAATAATTTGATACACAATGCGATGACGTCTCTTCCCTTCACGCAATAGATACAGATGAGATTCACTGACAGATGATCCCAAACAGCTGTTTAGAAACTAATCAAATCCATTTATCACAATTGCTGCTGATTGTTCTGTGATTAGCATAATTAAGCATAAGTTCAGTTCAGTCTTTTTAAATCTGGAGTAAACAGCAATTTGTCAGGAGCTGATGGTGCAGCTGCAGCTCTGTAAAATTAATACACCAACGTTGCAGCTCAATTGTGCCTATTTATGGAGGCGCCAGAGGTTTTATGCAGAATTATGAGAAAAGTGCCATCCATGATAAATTAGCTCCAAGTTAGATGAACTGCTTACCTACAGAAAAGACAAAAGTATCTGCCAACAGTCCGTGTTGTGTCCTATTTTCAAAAGGGGTGGACTCATGCATAGATCATGTGATAAATTTGGATACCGTTTTTGGTCTTTTTGCCAGCATGAGAAACTAAAATCTTGTGTCTCTCAAGAGACGGGAGAGGTTTGAAGATTCAGAGGAGAAGTACTGGAGGAAAAGACACCTTCATATCAAGATGGATCCAAGATTCCTTTGTTCAACCTCAGTCTGCCTCTCGTATTGATTGGATGATACATGAGTACCTGGAATACTTAGCCTGGAGTCCCTGAGTCAGAGTTCTGTCCTTAAAAAGCCTCGAATGTGGAACAGCCTGCGGGGCGGAGGCTGAATATGTCTGGTGTATCAAGCCTGGACTAGGTTTTCACTACTTTTCAAATATTCTGTTGAAGCAGTTTGTGCGTACAGTCTCGTCAGCTGTGTGAACAGCTTGCTACTGCAGCAGGAGACATCCACAAATCTTATTTTATTCAGTTTATAGTCACTGAAAATCTTTGACTGTTTAGCATTCATTTAGTGACTTTCAGGAATAAATGGATAATACATGATAAAATTACATAATTGGCAAAATGATATTTATGTATTCATTTATAGTGTAATAACATTTAATGCAACAACTTCCATAGTGCTTAACTTTTAATATAGGATACTCATGATGCCATAACATCTTATGAGGTAGAGCGGTTGTCCAATAACTGGAAGGTTGGCAGTTTGATTCCCCCCTATCCCTGTCTGTCCATTGTGTCCTTGGGCAAGACACTTGACCCACCTTGCTCCCAGTGTGTGTCCTCCACTGGTGTATGATTGTGAGTGTTGTTGTGGTGTTTAGAGAGGCCGTAGGTACAAACTGGTGGCCATGTTTCCGTCAGTCTCCTATCTGTTGGAGCGAATGAATGTATCCAACGTAAAGCGCTACAAAAAATCTGATGCATTATTATTTTTAATGTCATATTCATTTAACTTATTTTCTCGTCGTTATAAATCCCTTGAATGTTTCCACTCTGTTAAGACATGCTGTGGGCTGGAATTCACTAAAACATGCACAAACAGAGCCCGATGATCTTGCTCTAACAGAGAGCAACATAATTTATGATGTAATATCTCACATGCATATTTATTATCATACAATAATATCTCATGTGCAATATTTCTTGCGGTGTGAGAACCCTTCTTTGTATGATATTTATGACTCAGTAACCTTCATATGTGGATTGATGATCACAGTGCAATAACTTATACATGCACATCAGTACGAAGACATGCTTTTCTCCTTCAGATATATATTCGTATATATATTTAATCTTTCTATGCTGATTCGGATGTGGGTAGTGACTGCACTACCCACACCCTTGCCTCACAGTTTTATATCATGTGATTTTCTGGGCCTCCGCTTCAGATTTCCTTTTGCAAACTGTTGTCCATTTTTAAACAACTGTAGAGCTTGATTAAAGATCCAGCACATCTAGGGCATCTGTTATAAGATGTTTCCTCTTTCTCCATTTCAGTTTCGACCATTCGTCAACCCTCTACACCATATAGCAGAACACACTTGATACTGGGATTGTACAGGAGCATCTTCATTTTAAGGACATGTTATTTGAAACTCACAGTATAAAGTATGGAATGTAAGTGACACCAGTAAGATGCAGTCTGAAGAAATAGTTGAAACTGTCTTTTTAAGAGAGAAACTGGAGTTTTCCGCAGTATTCCAGGAAATTTCACAAGATGCAGTCACTGTGCAGCCTTGCAGCTCTTTCTGATACCATCTTTTTTCACTATTTGCAGTCTGTTTACCGTCAGATATGGTAGCTGAGCTTAGCCTGTGGTGACCATGATAATGACCCTTTGCCTGAAACAATTCTCCGTTCGCCAGTTGAAGCAAGTTACTTATCCAAGCAGCCTATTGTTACTTCTCACATTTTGTTGCTCTAATTTTTAATAGATTCATCCATTTCTTCCATTCAGATTAGGTAACATTTGCATCACATTGTATAAGGCTACGCTTGTGACAGTGATGGCTGGGATTTGTTTCAACAGATTGTGCCCAACTGTTATATTTTACAAACGACTGCAACTGACATGTTCAGAAGTTAATTTTTCCCATTATAAGGGTAATATTCTTGACATTCAAATTCATATGTTTACCTAACACTGCATAGTTATCAGTTATCAAAGATTATGTAAGACTTTCTTTCTTTGACTCGTGCCCTCGACCCCCCCAACACACACATACACACGCACGCACGCTCTCTTATGATCCATGTCTCAAAAGTGAGACAGTACAGTACAAAATGTCATGTACCACATCTAAAACACAGATGGCTGTGTGCCCTGCTGGAGCCATCACTTATTGCTCACACACAGGTTAGCATGCCAACCAAGTCAGAGAATCTGTCACACAGTACACCAGTCAACATGACAACATACCCTGCTGCCTGAAGACGAACAGCCCTATGTGGTGGATATTGTAATGTCTCAGGATATTTAAAGGCATTAGTGAGCTGATAATTTCAATTATATCCCAAATACAATACATATTTGAATTCTGTTTTTTTTTCTGCTCACTTTATTATTTTTACTCTGTTTAAACAGAGACAAACGCCAAACTTCTCACCTCATTCACTGCGGATTAAAATATATATATATATATATATATATATATATATATATATATATATATATATATATATATATATTTGTGTGTGTTTTTTTTTTTTTTTGTTTTTAAGTGTCCTGGTTCAAAAGGAATATATCTCACACATTTACAATTAGCACCTAACAGTCATCATTTAAATAGATTTAAGTACTTACTCCTGCATTCAGGAGGCATTACTTGTAGAAAAACCTGCACATTCTGACATGATGTCACATTGTATAAATGTAACCAAAGTGAAAACTTACATTAACAGCATCTTTTTATGGGATGGCAATGCTCTATAACTCAGCAACTACAGCAAATTGCCATTAAATTTGAAAATGGCATTAATGACACTAAAGATGACCAAAAACAGATGTGCAGACCTCTCATCAAATGCATCTGTCATGCTCTGGCTATGCGCCATCACTGAGTCAACATTTCAATTTGTCCAACATCTTGATTTACTCATTTCCGGACCAGAGGAGACCGATCCTTCCAGGCTGTTGCTCCCAAGCTCTGGAACGATCTTCCACCTGCTCTGCGTTTGATGGAGTCTGTTGACTCCTTCAAAAGGGAACTAAAGACTTTTCTATTTGTTCAGGCTTTTCCCTAACTGTTTTGGGGCTGCTATGGTTGCTATAGTGTTGTTTTGGCCTTTTAAATTTTAGCTTTGTATGTACCTATTTACTGTGTACTGTTTTTGTTTTTTGCTTCTACTGTAGAGCGCTTTATGACCTTGGTCTGTGAAAGGCGCTGTATAAATAAAGTTTACTTACTTACTTACTTACTATGTAAAACTGATCTCTGAGAAGATGGAAAAACAGAATCTGACAAACAGCTCAGCAGAACGGTCCACTACTGTTGAAGCAGGCGACTGACAGTCAGTCTGTCAACAGTAATGTGATCTTTGATCCCATTAGTGATGATCAGATAACACTAAGCATTATTTAATTTATCTGTACAGATATCTGTAGTAAGTGCAGCTACCAAGCTGCTCTTAGGTGTCACCTTTCAATTCTTACCCCAGTCTCAAGTCCTGTACTGCTTGTTGGTCTGTATGTTATAGAAATATTAAGCTTTAGACACCACTGGATTCTTTGGGTGTATTTAAGTTTGAATGCTAAAATCAATAAACTTACATTTAGTACAATGTCCTTGTGATCCACTGAGTAAGAAGATGGATAGAACCACAGCTCAGAGAGGGAAGCCAAAACTCTTAAGGTCCTGACACACCAGCGAATTTGCGGAGTGATGCGAAAAAGCGAGACGAAAATATTCGCCGTTCCGAAAAATCGCGGGCGACCACTCTGTGGTACACACTCTCTCCCATCGTTGCTCTTGGTGCCAGTGGTGGTGTGTGTCATGTGAACTGCAGCCGCATGGGTCTGTGACGTCATCAACAACATGACTTTTGATTGGCCAGAGGTCTAGCAGGTCCAGATATTCGCCTGCGAATCTCTGAAAAATTCGACACAAGAGCGAAAAAATGAAAGACGCTTTTCGCTCCGCGGAAAAATCGCCGCCAGTGTGGAAGCTTGCATTAACTTTATGCTGTTTAAAAAAAAAAGGCAAATAATTCGCCTGGCGAATTCACGCCTGGTGTGTAAGGACCTTTAGAGCTCTTACTGCAGGAAGCAAGTAAGGTATTTCCTACAAATGCTTCCAATGAAGGAATTCAGCCTTCTGCATTCAAAACCCAATGGTTGACCATGAAGACCAAAAAGGCAGCATTTTTGCCTTTGTTTTCAATGTGAACATACTTTTGCACTTAAAATAACACTTTTACACCATTAAAATGTTAACTGATGCATCAGTGACTACTTTATAACAGTTTTAAAATGATCTTAAAGCTCCTGTGAGGAACTTCTTGGCGCTTCGTGTACAAAACACTTCTGCTTTGCACTTTAGTGGTGTCCTTAAACAAAATAATCTCACCATGCTGACTGTTGACCGTCATATACTGTATATCATTTATTGTGAATATTTAACATGTAAAGTGAAACAGGGCAGTTCCCTCAGCTGCTTGGCTAACCCCTACCCCTTGCACTGGTTTCAGCCATCAAAAATATGATATCAAAATCATCTGTTTTGTTTTTATAATTGTCTTTTGTAAGTCATGAAAACGCATCAGTATAGTTTTCAGTCAATTTCATACACATCAAAAAACTCCTCACAGGAGCTTTAAGTGAAAGTTGTTACCGAATTCACAGGTAGACGCCGATTTGACACATGTTTAGACCATGTTTCACTTGTAAATCAGCTCCTAAAGGTTTATAAAACATCGTAAATGAAAAGGGATTTTAAGCCCCGTGTGATAAATATAGTGGCTATAATGCCTTTGAAGGTGAGCAGGGTATTACCATTAAAACCTGGAATTAAGCATGTGACATTGACTGTATATGCTGGCTGAACACTGAGTAAAACACTGTGTAAAAGTTGTGATGCCAATCTATCTTATTTCACAAAGTACACAGTCATATTCTTTTAATTTTTACTGTGGAGAACATTTAAAACTTCTGTCCTTAAAATCTCTCTGAATGTTTTTGTTCATGTCACACAGTCCACAATATTGGAAAATGGAAAATGACTTTTGTAAATGTGGTCGAAATATTTTTGACAGTGCTTTTTTTTAAGCTGTGTTATTTGGAAAGTTGGAATTGCTTGTGAGACATTCAGACCTGATTTTAACCTGTTTCAACCATAGACTGTATATAGAATGGACTGAGTCTGCCTCCTCGCTGGGTGAAGCCACTCCGAGAACAGCACCCTCTGTTGATGGGCTGCAGTATAGGTCATAAATCTACGGTGGCCTGGAAGTGCAAAACACAACCGCAAAAGAGAAAACACGACAGCAAATCAAAACGCAAACGCAAAAGAGAAAACGCAACCACAAAAAAGAAAACACGACAGCAAATCACATATGCAAACACAAAAAAGAGAAAACACGACAGCAAATCACATATGCAAACACAAAAAAGAAAACACGACAGCAAATCACATATGCAAACACAAAAAAGAAAACACGACAGCAAATCACATATGCAAACACAAAAAAGAGAAAACACGACAGCAAATCACATATGCAAACACAAAAAAGAGAAAACACGACAGCAAATCACATATGCAAACACAAAAAAGTAAACGCAACCGCAAATCCCAAAACACGATAGCATCGTCTGTCTTCTTCTTCTTCGTTGTAGTTTAATGGCAGTTTACTCCACTGGGAGTGGAGTACTACCTCCACCTGCTGGATCGATGTCGGAATGGGAAAGTAAGCACTCGAATCGACTCGTCTGTCCTTTGACCTGGAAAGACACGAACCGCGGCGCGACAGTCAGTGATGATGTATTGCCAATACTGTGGCAAAGAGCTCCCCGGACAACCCAACTTTTGCAGCAGTTGTGGGAAAAGGCTGCAAGAAGCAGACGGTGACAGTCCATCAAGTAAGTTAAGGGATGTTCAATTAATGTGTTCTGCTACACAACATGTCGACTATTACGTCATATTTGTGTCCTGCATCAAAATATTGCTGGATAATTTCGAGTACACTTTCGCTTTCGGCGTCCATGTTCATGTTTACTTTCCCGTTCCGAACTCCAGCAGGTGGCAGTAGTACTCCACCCCCAGCGGAGAAAACTGCCATTAAACTACAACGAAGAAGAAGAAGAAGACAGACGATGCTGTCGCGTTTTGGGATTTTGATGTCGTGTTTTCTCTTTTTTGTGTTTGCATATGTGATTTGCTGTTGTGTTTTCTTTTTTGTGTTTGCATATGTGATTTGTTGTCGTGTTTTCTCTTTTTTGTGTTTGCATATGTGATTTGCTGTCGTGTTTTCTTTTTTGTGTTTGCATATGTGATTTGCTGTCGTGTTTTCTTTTTTGTGTTTGCATATGTGATTTGCTGTGGTGTTTCCTCTTTTGTGGTTGTGTTTTGCACTTCCAGGCCACCGTATAAATCCCATCTCCGCCAGCAAAGCTCATGGGGCTGTGGACGAACTTTAGAAATTAATTACACAGAACATAAATTTTTCTCCCCCCTGGTGGTGATGTTGACATGTAGTTATTATACAACTGGTTTGTGCTCAGGTCCTCTTTTTTTCTGTACAGCTTCGTTTTTTAAAAGTTATTAGGGGGTTCATGTTTTCTATGATTGACACCTGATACAGCCTATAGGCGTTCAGGGATTGCGTAGCTCGCCCGGGGGATACGCTGTTTGACTCGAGCGTCATCACAGCGACTCTAGGCGACTGCGCGGCCGAATGCGCGCGTTGCTACTGCACAGCGCTGGTTTCAGAAAAAATCCTGGAAATATCGAGAGCTATTTGGCTTCAAATCCGTATACAGGCGGTAGGCGGAACCAAGTTGTCCATAGTATATACAGTCTATGGTTTCAACCCATTTTTACGTTTAAATCCTGGTAAGTGCTCACCAGGTAGAACATAAAGAACTTAAATCATGACTCAGCATTATTCTTGTTTGGTACTTATTAACAATAGCCAGCCAAAGGTCATGTGGAAGTACTGGACTTTTTTTTTTTTTACTTTATTTTGACAGAAAACTTTAAAAAAAAAAAATTTCAAGTTTTGTTGATAGTCCCAGAAAAACAATTTGTTTTTCCCTTAGACATAAAAAAACCCATTCAAATATGATGAACAGTTTTAGGTGGATGGCCATCATCCTATAAGCACAGTCTTGCTGAGATTAGGTTTTCCCTTGCAGTCACGAAGCGCTTGCAGAGAGGGGATTTATGTGGTTTGAGTAAATATTTCTACTGAATTAATTTCTAGAACTCAGTTCTACCCATGGGATAGTGTTTGTTGTGTGGATTAGGTGCTTTCTTGATTGATTGGCATGATATGTAAAGAAAATCCAGGTGGCAGAGAAACTTTTAAAATATCCCCAACCCTTGTAGCAGCAATATCTGTTTTGCCCTACCTTTATGCCTATAAAGTATTTTTATGTGACAACTTAATGACCTTTTGCAGATATTCACAGAATTAAAGGAAATGAAACCCAGAAGTAGGCACAAACTCTTGAAGGTACATACAACAAATAAGTGAACTCCAACAACACATAATCAAAACGCTACTCCTGAGATGCACTGCAACATCACAGACCGATGCCCTTGAACAGTAGAAGTGCATCTCAGAGAGACAATTTTTTTTAGGGGTTTTCAGGGAGGCAAACTAAAAGATTGAGCTGTGAAACCTTGAGTAAGAGTAGTAAACTCTTTCTCCTTTCTCAGTCCTTTGATGTTTCCAAGAATAGGAAATATATTGGCCCATAACTCTGCAAAAATCCCGTCAGTGTTGAATCAGTGTGAGTATCCAGGCTTTTATCTGTTACTACTGTGGCAAGTCACCCCTGTAAATAATGTGTTTGTCTCAGTTAAACCTAAGAGTGGGGAAAATCAGCTCAGACAAAACAAAAAAGTAGATATGTCAACTGAGAGACTGCTGACAATTAATTCAGCCAAAAATAAGAGGAGTGAAAGACCCATCATCCATGTTTTCTAGTTGTTTAATTTAGAGTCTGTACTATAGTTTTGAGAGGAGGAACATTTTGTTCACTCCAGTCAGAGACGTCAGAGTGATATTAATAATTACACGTGGTGACGATGGAGCCAAACTCAATTTAGTCTCAAAGAAGTGTGACAAGGTTTTCATCCTCTGTCTGCACGTTCCCTGTGGCCACTAATGCCGTATTAAAGCATCTATTGTGTTATTTTTTACCTAGGACGAAGCAGCCACTTGACTCTGGCCTCCTCAGCCTGAAAAAACATGACTAATATGGTTGAACAGTAAAATGAATAAATGGAAATTGAATAATTTATAATCAAAGGATCAAATCTCTTTTTATTCGGGCCAAGCAGAGGCCATGTCTTTGTTAGTGTGATTCATGGCAGGATCTGACTTCTCAGAGTGTGCTGGTTTAATCTGATTTAATGTGCAGATAACTAGCCAGTTAATCCAGAATGAAGGCTTTTCTTAATTTAAATTCTTTCTGAATGAATAAAGGATTAAGCTGCTATAATCTACCCTTGGTTTGCATTGTCAAGAAGTGCAGCTAATTTTTGTTCCTTGTGAGATTTATGGTCACTTCTAACAAGTAAAATTTGTTGCTTTGGGTAAGAAATGATCAGATTTTATTTGTGGCAAAGTAAAAGCAGTGTCAAAGATGGGGTTGCAAAACTGCAGGGGTGCTTAAATTATGCTTTTCCTTCTTTCAGATTTTTAATTTTTGGAAATTATTTACACAATAAATAGGCATGTTCTGACTGTGAATGAAGCCTGCAACCTCTATCTGCCTGGTTGTATGAGGACATGCGGTTGACAACCATTACAAAGGAGCTCCAGAGGAAATATAAGATAAATCAAGCTTTTTCATCCCTGAAAATTGTTAAGATTTGCCACAATTACAGTATGGATTTTGTAGATAATGAAGTTTTAATAAGCTGTTTTTAATCTAGTTTTATTGTGCTTGTTCTGTTTTGATGTTTGGTCTTTGTCCGAGCACGCTGTCTGCTCTGGGGAGCTTTGGGAATTCAATCAGATTCGTCTTTTATTTATTAATCCGTCTGCTGCCATTGTCGTCTGCCTTGTTCCTATGCAGCGCGCTGGAGAGCTCCATGGGCAGGGCAGATGGAGCTTTATGAGAACACGTGACGGGACTTGTAGGAGCGATGCTTCATAAGTGTGAAGACTCAGGGAGACTGAGAAAGAGAGCGGGAGAGAGAGAGGAAGGCTGTGTGAAACACCGGAGCCAGCAGCAGCATCAGCAGCAGCAGCACCAACCTGTATCCACAGTGTAGGAGCGCACTCCCAAGAACGGCGACGCACTTTATAGAGAAAGAAAAACTTGTTCAAGTCGTAGAATATAAGACAAATACCAAGTATAATAGTGAGAATAGAGGTTATACACTAAGGAAAGCATACTAGTCCTCTTTTTGGGTAAAATCTATGGATGATGCGCTTCTGAATTGGATTAACGCGCGGAGATAAAGGGTGATTCTGCGCACTTGGAAAATTATGTAAGGTAAGAAGCGGTTTTATGATTTTAAATCCAAGAAAGTCGCTTTTAACAAATTGTTTTCCCGCTTTTTTTTTTTTTGTTTAGTTTGGTTATTTTGTTTAGTTTTCTTTTGTACCATGATTATTTTCTTTTTTTTAATTTATGAAGATTATTGAATCTTTTTACTGAAATATCACTTGTTATTATCATATGTTTTAGACAAATTAATGTCAAAATTACGCCCATGCAAACATTATTGTGCATAATGATCAGTAGTTTTCATAACTGTGCAAATTCTGCCCATTTAAATTATGTAATAGCAATTCTCCCGCAGATATATGCCCGAGCTCTTTATCCTCAAAGTATATCACAACCTGAATTTGACAGTGTTTCATCACTTTACTTTCTGGTCTTACAGACTAATTGGTTTGTGCGCCTATTATTCAGTAGGCTACTGGTCCAGTCTGTACTGGTGTAGAGTCGAGATGACTTAATTGCTCATGCAGCTTAGTGAAGAAAATGGAGCATTTTCACTCCCAGCCTCCCCTTTGTTGGCTTTTAAGTGGGTTTTCTCTTCTTGAGAGGTAGAACTGAGTTATTCACTTCCATGTTTTTAATAGGCACAAAAGAACTCAGTTTTTAATAAACCATCTATTGTGTGGTTTATGTCCGAAGACTTTACAAAATATTTACAAAAAGATCAGTAATTTCATAAATCTCTCAAATAATCGCATTTAAAAATTATTCTAAGAAATTATATAAGATAATGTTAAAGCCAGTATATATTATTTTCATAGATGTGGGTCCATTGTTGGACAAGTGTAGCTACTCTATTCTTAACACCTAAGGGATTCTTATTTTCAGTTTTTTCCAACATGTCTGAAATATCTCTCATCCCCTCGCAGGTTGTCCAGGCGTCTCTGACAGCAGTATTCCTCAGACACAGCCATGAAGTCTGTGTTGGATGGTGTGGCAGACACCACCTTCCGGACTATTACATCTGGTTTACAGTTTTTGGGCTCCAACGACGCCAACTACGATGACCCCATTAACGATGTGAACTTCAAGGGGGGTTTCTCTCTGCAGAAACCTTTGTCTGCATTTCGCAGCAACCCCTTCCCAGACAAAGTACCTGTGGACGAGGAGCTCATCCTAAAAAACATCCCCTTCCCCACAAATGCCACAGACTTGTTTGGCAACAGGACCACGTTCAGAGATGAGACAAACACCATACAATGTGGGGAGAACTTTATGGACATGGAGTGTTTCATGATCTTGACACCCGGGCAGCAGCTTGCAGTGGCTTTGCTGTCTCTGACTCTGGGTACTTTCACCGTGTTGGAGAACCTGGTGGTCCTCTGCGTCATCCTACAGTCGCGAACCCTCCGCTGTCGGCCGTCCTACCACTTCATAGGCAGTCTGGCTGTGGCTGACCTGTTAGGGAGTGTCATATTCGTCTACAGTTTTCTGGACTTCCATGTTTTCCACCGGAAGGACAGCCACAACGTTTTCCTCTTCAAGCTGGGTGGAGTCACAGCGTCGTTCACTGCATCAGTAGGGAGTCTTTTCCTCACTGCTATTGACCGCTACATTTCCATACACCGGCCTCTCGCCTACAGGCGTATAGTCACTCGGACCAAGGCTGTCATTGCCTTTTGCATGATGTGGACCATCTCCATCGTCATTGCTGTGCTACCTCTGTTTGGCTGGAACTGTAAACGCCTCAACTCCGTCTGCTCAGACATATTCCCTCTGATTGACGAAAACTACCTGTTGTTCTGGATCGGTGTAACCAGCGTTCTTGTTCTGTTCATCATCTACGCCTACATTTACATCTTGTGGAAAGCACACCACCACGCTGTACGAATGCTGAGCCGCACCTCCCAAAAGAGCCTTGTTGTTTACTCGGCAGATGGGACTAAAGTGCAGACCACACGCCCAGAGCAGGCCCGCATGGACATCCGTCTTGCCAAGACCCTGGTGCTCATCCTGGTGGTGCTGGTCATCTGCTGGGGCCCTCTGCTTGCCATTATGGTCTACGACCTCTTCTGGAGGATGGACGATGACATCAAGACGGTGTTTGCATTCTGCAGCATGCTTTGCCTGCTCAACTCCACTGTCAACCCCATCATCTACGCCTTGAGGAGCAAGGATCTGCGGCACGCTTTCCTCAGCTCCTGCCACGCCTGCAGGGGAAGTGCTCAGCAATTGGATAATAGCCTTGAGTCTGACTGCCAGAACAGAAACATCTCTGCCAATCGAGCTGCAGAGAGCTGCGTGAAGACCACTGTGAAAATAGCCAAAGTAACCATGTCTGTGTCAACTGAGACTTCTGCAGAAGCTGTTTAATTGGCTGTCACAGGGGAAACTGTGTAAATGTCATCCTCCCCCAAAAAGAATGCCATTCAACACAATAAGCAGTAGTTAGGTATTTCAGAGCAAAAGAAAAAAAAAAGGAAGAATTCCTCCCCTGAACATACATCCTCATATAGACGCTTCAGTGGTTGCATTATTTTAGGTCAATGTGTGAGTACATGGTGTGCCAAAGTGCCAAATGGTATTGTAAATTCAGAGAAGGGACTCTAATTCAGAAAGGATTACCACAGGCTAGGGTAAATCTGCTGTAAACCATAGACTCCATAATATCCAGTTATTATATTTTTGTACTGTGAATTCAGGTTTTGAAAACAATATATCTTCATTTATGGGATAAGGGGCTACTGACGTTTTTAATTCAATATGTTTTCATGTGTCATTTAGACTCTAACACGTGTCACACGCCATAAATATAACAACTTGCGTCTTGAATTTCTACACATATATGTTGTGCATAAGCATTTCTATGAGCTAAAAGGTCAAATGACTCTGATTGTTTATGTCAAAAATTGCCATTAGACATGACAATGTTTTACATCTTTGGACAACACTCAGTGAGTGGCAAAAGTGTGAAGAAATTGTGAGAAAACAAGAGGTGATTAATGCGCTCTCTGATGAAAAAAAGAAAAAAAAATCATTTATCACCATCACAAATAAACTGTGATCAGATAGAGGTAAATGTATTCAAAGCTTTTCTGTCCAACCTGAGGAGACATTTTCTGTGATGTCCATCTTTTCACTTTCTGGCTGTTAGACCTCTAAAGTAACGTGTCTATGTTCAGATGTAAAACCTTAAAACTGTACAGTGTTTTCTCGCAAAATAAAGTGTTCAAACGGACTCGTTCACAAAGAAACAACAATAATAGCCTTGAAATAATCTGAAATGAAGTTGAATGAAGTGTGCTGGCCACACTGTAATAGACTGAATAGATTTCTGACTAAAGCTGCTTTCATGAAATGTATAATTCTTTTGGATTCAGCCTCGTATGTGTGTGATACCTTGTGATTTGGCCTTTTGATCATTGCAGTGAGTTGTTTTAGTGCTACTGTTGCAGCGGGGTGTCATTTGGAATAATAAAAGTAACCCAAACATTGAAGTACTTTTAGGGTGACTGAATAAAAGTATGTCTGCTGTTCACTTTACTTATCTAAACAGAGGAACATGGGTCTTTTCATTAGCCAGTAACTTGAATGGAAGTCTGTGTGTATACGTCGTGTGGAGAATCTACAACTAAGCTTACAAAAGAATCTAAGAAAAATGTGACTTTTCTAAACCATACTTTGAATCTAGAAATCTCTCAGCACAATTGTTCTGTAGACATTAATCTTGGTGTAAAGTAATCCAGAAAAGCTGTTTATCAGTATGCTTTGCTGCCTCTCGTATTATTGAGTATTGAAAATCAATATGTCAACTGTCAAGTGGCTTCTGTACAGCGGTGGCATAATAAGAACTTAAAAATCACAATCAGTCAAGTGTTTTTGGTATTGCTGTTTTCAAACCTTTGAATAAAGTTGCAGCTGGTTGACATTTTTGCTTGTGGTCGTTTGATTGTTCACGTGATAGCAGGAAACAGAAGTTTGCAGCACATTTTGTATGAGTCATCCAAAGATTTTTGAGGAACTATGACAGAGGAAACCAAGCCCAAAACCATCAGTGATCTTCTTCTGCCCCCTAGTGGAAATTCTGCCACTACAGCTGCAGTATTTATGATGGCCGAGAGCATTTCACACATTCATTTTAACTATCTTTGTTAAGCTGTGGTTACTTTTGTGACCCACTAAGTCGCAAGTCAAAAAGAAATGCCAGCAACAGCATCTTCTTACTGAAACATCTGCTTCGCCTCTCTCATCTCTTGGCTTAAGGAGAGAGGAAAATTAAAACATCTGCTCACACAGATGTTCAGAGGATTTTGTTCATTTATCCAACAAATGCTCCAATCAAAGAGTAGCAATGGGACAAGCTTATTGTTCCATGCGTAAAAGGCTTTTTTAAGAGTTGTTATGGCACTCAAATAAATAATTAAACATGGGTTGGGGCTACAGTAATAGAGTGGATCAATATATTGATTGGCTGACTGACAGCTTCCAGCTTCTCTCTGTCTTTTTTTAAATGAATAATGACATTCTTCTGCTTTTGGAGTGTTGGTAATGCTGAACAAGAAACAGTATTTTTACCAAATTGGAAAAAACAATGGCAGAATCATGATTGAAATATAATCCATAGTTTTTATCATTAATTTGCCTTATCATATTGTGTTTTCCAGCAGAGTTAATAGAAATACCAGTATGACAGAGAACAGTGGCACGAAATACAGTGGAGTCCTGAATGACATAATTGTATTCATTTATTTGTTCTGTAGGACTGCGGTGCAAGCGTTGAAGCACCAGTTGCGTTTACATCCTCCTAAATTTGTGCACACTTGAAAATGTATGTTGTTGCAAGGGGTAGTTGGGGAAGTAGGTGTGATAAAAGGGAAATGTCTCAAACTTTTGGCTGTCTGTGTAAGACGAAAAGAAAAAGGAAGCCAAGGGAGTATCTATCTATCTATCTATCTATTCTATAACTCTTTAACTTACTATGGTAATCGTGCTTATTTAATGTAACAGCGGCTACACATAATCAGTCCGTTTAAAAAGAATTGCACATAAATATTTCATTCGAAATTGTTTTTGGTCTGAAAGCGTCACATTTGTGAGTGAAACTCATGCCTTCGTCGTGTTTTTTTCTGTTATCGACAGAAAACACATTTGAAAAAAAAGACCATGTTCCTGGATTTGGGAAATGTAGTTTTTAAGCAAACTTACACAATACGTCCGATGGGACATATAAACTACAAAGACCAAGATGACGCTGCATTCTTGCGCATGCGCTCGAATGACTAATATGAAAGTAAGCTCGTCTCAGCCGTTGATAGTTACTTTCGTGGAACTGGTGCTCGGAAATCTGTAATCATCTGACGCTATATCAAATGTACCCTTAAGTAGTTGTTGTCAATACCTCAAAGACATATTCAGCTACTTTTAAAAGCAGTCATTGGTGAGCCAAAAGCTACGAGATACGAAAACAACACATTTCTATCTGTAGCCCGGAATTGTCGTTGGAGCTAGCATTAGCAGTTTAGACCGGGGCCCAGGATAGTGACGCTCCCCGAAAAAAAGGGAAAATTTCTCTTCTCTTTCTCAAAACTTTTTAACACAGCTTTGCGTGATGGCTTGTGGAGCTACTTTGAAAAGGACTCTGGACTTTGATCCGTTGATGAGCCAGGCTTCCCCTAAAAGGAGGAGGTGCGCCCCGATCACGTCTCCAGTGTCTTCACCCCAGAAGTATCTGCGTATGGAGCCATCACCGTTCGGCGAAGTATCGTCCAGACTTACCACAGGTACGAATATTCAACTTAATCAGATCCTTACTTCAAACTCAGGCCTGATCGTTTTCATCCATTTTCATTTGAGTCCGGATAGTGTTAGACTTTCCTTATGTTTTCCAGTGCGTCAAAAACTAGTGACACCCTTCGTCACTCCGATAGCATTTGATTCACAACCCAGGCTGTCAGTAAACACACAATGTGATGTGACTCCCTCTTTGCCAGCTGTTGAGTCGACCTACACTGCTTAGCAGCGGCAGTATTATGCACTCCAGTACACCTCCAACACCCCACACATCTTCAACAGTCAATCTAAAGATTAATAATCATCTGTCTGATCAAGTCCTGACAGTTGTAAAAGCTCTGTACAATTTCATTGTAGAGTTGCACAGGTGATGACGGTGTTATGGTTGGTCACTGTATGTGAAATGGGTGAAATTTCTTTGATATTTGATGTCAACTGAATTGTGTATTTTAAAGGGATATTGCGATGCAAAATTAATTTAAGGTCAAACACACTGTAACAGCGAGTTAGATACCTCCTTGAGAAATGCATGTTGCTGACTTCTTGCTTCTCTAGTCATACCAACTTTAGTAACAAGCACACAGCAATACACAGCGGTCTATGTCTCCACACGCAAACCTCAACCAAAAAGCCACTCTATAGCCACAAATAATGCTCAGAACAGCACCTAACTTCATCAACAGTACATATAGGGTCCCAGCCAGAGTACTAGCCATCAAACATCTTTTTAGCTTTGCCTGATTTCGATAGCAAAGAGACTAAACCCAACTGACCTACTCTCTTCCAGCAGCCACTTGTTTGTAGCGGGACCTCAAGCCAGTCCATTACGGACTGCAGCGGGGTGACGCAGCTCAAGGAAGAACATTTATGATCATTACTTTATCATTTCCTTGAAGTAATAATCACCATATTAATCATTTTGCACTGCAGACTCTGTAGTTTTTCTGCCTTAGCATCTCCATCTGATTGCATTTCCACGAAGAAATGATCATTAATGTTCTTCCTTGAGCTGAGTCACCCCACAGCAGTCCATAATGGACTGGCCCGAGGTCTCGCTATAAACAAGCGGCTGCTGAAAGAGAGTTGAGGAGTTGTGTTTAGTCTCTTTGCTAAAGAAACCAGGCAAAATTAAAAATATGTTTGATGGCTAGGACCCTATATGTACTGTTGATGATGTTAGGTGCTGTTCTGAGCATTATTTGTGGCTTTAGAGTGGCTTTTTGGTTGAGGTTTGTTTACGGCTCCTCAGACTGCTGTGTATTGCTATCTTGCTGTCATCACTAAAGTTGGTATAACTAGAAATGCAAGCAGTCGGCAACATTCATCTCTCGAGCGGTGTCTAACTCGGTGTTATGGCGTGTTTGACCCCAACTTAATGTTACACAGGAATATCCCTTTGATGTATTAGAATAAGCTGCCAGGGCACATGAAAACACTAGATTTGTAAAATCTGTGCTGTCTCCGTAGATATGCTTCGACTCCTCTGTGGAGAGGGTTTGTTGTTTTATGGTTGTAATATAATTTTTTTTTCTGTTGCAGAACAAATTCTACACAACATCAAACAGGAGTATAAGCGACTACAGAAAAGGCGACACCTTGACAGTGCCTTCCAGCAGGCAGACGGCTGCTTTCCTCTGGATCTGCAGAACATTCACAGTGGATCTGTGTTACCAGGTAGGCAGCCGACAGACATGAAACTAAAAGCTGCTTTGATTGGTTTATAAAGTTCTTTGTTGGGATAACAGCATGGTTACATTAAACACTGCGTTTGAGTTACCTCGGAAGTCAGATGTCGGAGCTGAAAATGACGTGACAACCGAATTCCCAGCGTTTCAGTTCCCAAGTCAGAAAAAAGCTAAATCAGAGGCCCAGAGAACAAGATGGCTACTTCTACGAAGGTTATTTTAGCCCTAGCCTTGTGTTCGGACAAGACAATCGCTAAAGTAACTTTCGGGTACCAATGCACCATTACTTACAGCATATTTGGATGGACTTTACATTTTGTCATTTTAAAAAAAAATTTAATATAGTAACTGTTTTAAATACCTTATTTTTTACTTGTGTCCTCTATGACATTCACCTTCTTTGACACCTGTAAATCAAGATCTTTTGTATCTTTTGTTTTCCTATGAATTTCTAAGTGTGCTAACTCTCAGACATTGAAACTTGCAGCTGTCAAAGTTGTACCTTTCTTGTATTAATTGTGGTAAAATTCCCCTCAGGTACATCCTCAGGTGCTTTATCTCCCTCCAGAAAAGAGCAGCCCTTATTCTCCCTTAGACAGGTCGGGATGATATGTGAGAGACTACTGAAAGAGCGGGAGGAGAAAATCCGTGAGGAGTACGATGAGATACTGACAACAAAGCTTGCAGGTAAAGTAAACAGGAAAATGGTCGTAGTGTAGAAACAATTTGTGAAGCTGTTGAGAAGAAGCTAATGAATGTCTTTTTTTTTCTTCTCAACAGAGCAATATGATGCATTCGTCAAATTCACACATGATCAGCTGATGCGAAGGTTTGGAGAGCAGCCTGCCAGCTGTGAGTACTTGTGGTGTCATGTACAGCTCTGTGGTCTGTCCCAAACTTTTCATTTTGGTTTGTCTTTTTAGCCAGCAGAACTACTCAAGGTTTCTGATGCACTCTTACAATGAACTACGTTTGAACAACCTGCTGATTCAGAACCTGAGAGATTAACAAAGTGTCAGTGTTCAGGTTACAGAAGAATATTAAAGTGCAGTGGAGGAGCCTTTAATATTTTATTATAATATATTTTCAAAAACATATAAGAAATAAGTGTTTCAGCTCCATCCACAGCCAAGGAAAGGGTATTGGGTTTTAGTTTTGCTACCGGGTCATCAAGTAATGATGAGAAATGTGTTCTTTGAAAAACATTTCAGTGGCTGTAGTGTCTTGTACGTTTCTCTTCCACTAGAATAAATCCTGTTTGCTCTTCACACAGAGATAGATTTAAACCTTCCAGTGTCACGTTCAAGTGAGACAGCTGGACTGAAAATCTGGTTGAGCTGTGCTAATACACAGGCAAACAGCAGCTGTTCTGACATGTTTCATTTGATGTTTGTTGAAACGGTTGCATTGCACCTTTTAGTTATGCATAGGTGTTCAAACACAGCAATTCACTCGTGTGTGCACAACATGTGCACAAGTGAAATACAAACACAAAAGTAACATTTTTAACTCAAAGGCCTGATTATGTCTACACATCATCCCCAGAGTCAGATTTCCCTGCAGTAGGTGATCAGTGTTAGACTCTTAGTTTGATCAGATGATCAACTTTCTCTTCTCTACTGCTCTTTACGCCTTCCATGATTTTGTTGAATTGAGCAAATTATCCAATATTTTTTCCCCTTCGACTCTCATATTGATTTTCCTAATGTATTAGCTGTTTTTTATTTTTTTGTATGACAGGCAGTTTTCAAATTAATAAAAAAAAACTTCTTGCTCTAGTCTGGATAATTATAAAACATTAGTCAAAATGAGCTTCTTAATGATCAATAATGGCGTTTCTCCACCCCGGAATAATCATTCTTTATGTCTGCAATAAAATTCTTTATGGGAACAGTTCCAATTTTGGTTGTCTACAATCCAGTTATCACTGTCACAACTTGTGCTTCAGAAATCCACCAAGAGTAGTTTTTACAGAAAGTCATAACATAACTTTGAAGTGACAGTTGTCTCAGGAAGAATGATGAAAGTTGGGCCCTCTTTTACTTGTGTGCTGAATGAGCAAGCTTGAGCACAAGTGCATCCAACTGATGCAGCTTCTCAGGTTGAATTGTCCTGTGCATATTCGTTCAAGTGATCATGTTACACATGGTGAGCATTGTTGCAAATTTGTGTTGAATCTTCCCACATTACAGGCGCTAGGGTTGCGAGTAATGACATGACTTTGTGCGTGCAGCAGTCCTGCAGTGCATCCCTCTGTCAGGGAAAGATGAGAGGCGTTCCAGAGATGCATGGGTAGTGAGTTTAGAGTAACTCTTAGATTTTTATGAGCCAAGGACTCGGTATGCAAACCGAAGCAACACCACTCAAAAGTAAATTCTCACCCTTATGCAGGGACGTGATTTTTCTGCGTTTATTTGAAACTGCAGAGTTTCTGACCCAGAGTCGGCTGGCGACATGTTAATGAAGTAGATTCTGAAACCTATGCCAAATGAATATAAAGTTTTAAGAACCTTTTTTTTGTGATATTTATGTGGTTTAAAGAAAAGGTCATTGATTTACATGACCTTAAATGGTAAGTTAAATGTCATTGAGTAAACGTTAGGGCTGTTCCTGCTTTTTTGTTTTAAAGCCAGCCCCTGTTTATGGAAAAAATGCTCAAACTGATGTGCTTGTCTCTGTCTGTCTGTCACAGATGTTTCCTGAGTGTTGGCGTCTCAAACTGAGGACTACCATGAAATGCAAGCTACTCCAGGGACTCAGTGGGCCTAGTCGAATTTTTCTCCTAGCTGTGCCATACCGCCTCTATGTGGACTCACTGCCTCAGGCATCACTTAGTGGCATCCACTCTTACCGTGTTTGCCAGAGTTAAGAGGGCTTCCTGCTGCCAGGACTTTCTGTGACTCCACCAGTGGCCTCTTAATTGCTGTGTTGATATTTATTTGGCTTTTTCCTGACGCCTTCTTATAAAGGCTGATTGCCCTCACACACTTGGCCTTCTGATTTGATTTTTGTTGAATTTAGTTTATCTCACAGAGAGGCTGTCATGAAACGCCTCTATGTAAATTTTGAAAAAGGGATTGAGTGGCAATGAGTGGACAAACCAAGTCCACCTGCTGACTGGGCTCCAGGAACGGGCATCTTGGGCTTTTTTTATTCTTAGCATTGTTTTAAAACTGTTCTGGAAATTACTGCTTTTACATTTGTATACACTGTATTTTTGCTTGACTTTTGTTCTTTGTTAAAAAGGATGTCATGATTTTGTTTGCTGTAGGTATAAAGGGGTGTTGATTTAAGAAAATCAGATGAATAAAAAAGGTTTACACAAGTGTTTGGGTTTTCACTGTTATCAAATACCACTTTCTATTGAAGTGATGGTTGAAATATATCAAAGAACAAATATTTTGGATGAGCAAGGTATACCATGTACATAAATCTCATTACAAAATTACTTCTTACATATGTGTGAATCAACCAGTTTGAGGTGCTGCTGATTATCTCATGCTTAAACATTTGACATACAGAGTTGATATGCTTATACAGTGAATTTTGTTTATTATTTCAGTTCATAACATTGATTTTCACACCAAATTTAAGAACACCATAACTAATGTACTTATATATGATCATTTAATTAGGCGCCCAGGAAGTATTAAAAGCTCTTATTTTACAATACAATGACCAAATTATTAATCAGGATTGATACGCTCAAATTAGTACACGCAGATTTAAGAAAACAATATAAATTGGGACTTTGGTATTTCTCATGTTCCCAGCATCATAAATAGATCTTTGGTCAGCCTCCCCTGATAGTTACTGTTTTATTGTTGTCATGGATACGCTCTTAACAATGAAGTTTAGCTGAGTTTGGGTCGTAAAACCGTGCATTAATAAAACTCATGATTAACGTTAGATGGTAAAAAAAAAAAAGAGACAAATGTCATAAAATTAAACCGCAAATATTTGATTTAGTTTGTATTTTTTTTAAAAAGGTTTCAAACCTGGCATTACATGTCAGAGCGGACTAGCTATCGGGAGCAACGGAAAAAAAATCGAACGAATCTCTTCAAGCTGATGACGTTACCTATGAACCAAGCATGTGATTGGACAAGCTGGAGTGACAAACGAGGAAGTACACCAGCTATGTCAATGTGAAACCAACAGAGCATCCAGAATTTCAATGTTGCTTATTTAGCCTCATCTAACTTCATATCGTGTTTGCGTGTTAAAGGGGCATGGCGTGTTTCTTCCGGAGGAGTATTGCGGCGAAGGTAATGAAGTCTGGGAAGATTAAATGGCTTACTCTAAAGCATGCCCTGACCCTGGAGCAAGGCTTGGAAGTTACTGTCTGCTCAGGAAGTTCACCTGTAGTTTCCTTAATGTTCGTCATTTTGTGTGTGTGTGCGTTTTGATGCAGCTTGGGAGGACGCTGCAGCAGTCTGAGGATGCTTTGTTACCAGCCCTGTCTGCAGTTCCACTTTTTAAAAAAGGGTGAGGGGTTTTCTTTACAGCACGTTTTAAGCATAACTCCCTGTTCTTCTAGATGTTGTTGAAACTGAACATTTCTTTCTCAGGGAGTCTCCTGACTTCAAACTGTCCATCAATACATTACGGAACAGTGGGATTTTACCATCTGAGGATGACATCCAGCAGCAGACAGAAAAATTGGCCAAACAGGTGAAGTTTGTTTGTTTGTTTGTTTGAAGTTGAATTTCGCTCTGGGATTAATAAAGTATCTTTCTCAACTCAACTCAACTCAACTTTATTTGTAAAGCACTTGAAAACAACCACAGCTGAACAAAGTGCTATACATAAATAGACAAAACAACGCAGACATAAAAACAATCAAAAAACAATTAAAACAATGGATAAAATAAAAGCAGATGTTAAAAAGTAAAATATAGTTTCAATGTTTTTAAAAACTAATCTGAAAACAATAGAAACAAATAACTACAAGCAAACCATAAAACACTAAAACAGGAGCCGAGTGTCATGCAGGGTTGAAAGCCAATGAATAAAATTTGGTTTTAAGACGAGTTTTAAAGATGGACAGTGTGGGGGCTTGTCTGATTTGGAGGGGTAGCTCGTTCCATAATTTTGGGGCTGCAACAGAAAAAGATATATTCCCTCTGAGCTTCAGTTTGGACCTCGGTACCTCCAGGAGCAGCTGATCAGCTGACCTGAGGCACCGAGCAGGGGTGTAGGAGTGGAGAAGCTCAGAGAGGTAAGATGGAGCCAGACCATTTAAAGATTTAAAAACAAATTAAAGAATCTTAAAATGAACTCTAAAATGCACAGGTAACCAGTGGAGGGAGGCCAGGATGGGAGTAATGTGCTCCCTCTTACATACTGTAGTTAAGAGCCGGGTGGCAGCATTTTGTACTAACTGGAGACGTGAGAGGGAGGACTGGCTGACTACAAAGTGAAGTGCGTTACAGTAATCCAGCTGAGATGTAACAAAGGCACGGATTACTGTTTCTAAGTGTTTATGTGGAAGGAATGGCTTTGCCTTAGGTAGCTGCCTAATATGATAAAAGATGGATTTCACAACGGAGTAAATTAGCCTCTGAAATTTAAAATATCTATCTATCTATCTATCTATCTATCTATCTATCTATCTATCTATCTATCTATCTATCATTTCAGAGGCACTTTGACATATCTCTGAATATTCGATCAAATCTACAATTAGTTTCCCTCTTATCTGCATCCAGAATCATGGACTTTATTAGTTACCTCAGATTCTTTATTTTTTGTGCACTATACCCAGAATCCTTTGTTTTCAGTGTTTAAAACATGCCTTTTATTAACAGTTGAAGCAGGACAGCATAGTGGAGGAAGTTTCTGTGGGACCTGTTGTGATCAACTTCAAAGTTGACCGCAAACTTCTTGTCCAGGTTTGTTGCTTCCCTTTTTCCGTTCTGTCAAAGCCATAAGTCTTCATCTTTTGTGGCTTTAATCCTAATCTTTTTCCCCTCCCTGTGTTCATTAAAGAAAATTTTGGAGCAATTTGGGAAGAATGAGGATGAGAAATTTGGGTTGAACAGCGAACTTTTCAAACCTCTGAAGAAGGGCACGACATTAGTGGAGTATAGGTGTGTTTCATCAGTACTTAACAAAGCAAACACAAGATCTCTTTATAAAAAAATTAAAGGTGTTGTTTTATTTCAGCTCTCCAAATATCGCCAAAAAGTTCCACGCTGGACATTTGCGATCGACAATTATTGGTGAGTTTTGGTGCTTTGGTTGATTTAGACACTGACTGAGGCCAATGGAGTAAGACTGATTAATTGTATACATGCTCTTTGGTTGTGTAGGTAAAAAATGCTGATGGTAAAATAATTGTTTTGGATAATAAACACAGTAGCTCTTGATTTAATTGACATGTAATGGTAACAACCATTTTTCATATCTTGGCTTACTGTGATGCCACTGTACTGCTGCAACCCTATCATGGACATTTCAGACAATGTATAGCCTGATCTTGATAATTAGAAATGGAAAAAATATGATTTAAAACACCTTCACCTTTCTGCAGTTTGCCCACCAGGGAGCAGTGTGTCCTCCCTAATACACCCAACGGTTGCATCTTTAAAAAAACAAAACAAAAAAAGGGTGATTCATGGGAGGTTTTGGAATGTACAGCTCTTAAAAAAGAAATAATTTCTTGCAAACTTTAACTCTATCTTTTATCTTGACAGCTTAAAACATTTTCTGCCAGGTTATTTGAAATATAACTTTTTCATAGTTAGACAGCTGCACTAATGTATCGACTGTCCATCCTTAGGTAACTTCATTGCTAATTTAAAGCAGTCCCTTGGACACAAAGTGATTCGAATGAACTACCTTGGAGACTGGGGCATGCAGTTTGGTGAGTCAGTAATGTGCACAGTGTTCACCAGGTGTCTTCATATATTGTAAAAAGCCAATGCAGTTCAGATGAATGAAACTAGTTTAACCTTTTGTGTACCAGGTCTACTGGGAGCAGGGTTTGGTCAATTTGGATGCAAGAAGAAACTGAAACAGAACCCCTTACAGCATTTGTTTGAGGTGAGCTGAACCAGAATGAATTCTGACCCCAAAAGCAAAGAGCTGCCATCAGTTATCTCAACCTGTGCAGCAGATTGAAAGAGTGGATGCGTCCTTTAAAAGTCATTTCAAAGAGACTTCCCTTCTGCGGTTTTTTGGTGCTTCATTACTGTTTTTTTTTTTTCTTTTTCTTTTCAGGTTTATGTTCAAGTTAACAAGGAGGCAGAGCACAACGAGGGCATTAAAGAGGCAGCTAGAGACTTCTTCAGGCAGCTGGAGCAGCATGAGAGTGAGGCGATGTCTTTATGGCAACATTTCAGAGAGATCACAGTGGATGAGTATCAACATGTTTACAAGGTACGACCAGCAGCAAGACCAAGGGACCAAAGACTGAATTCTGTAACAAAAGGACACTGGTTTAGCTCAGCGGTTAAAATATGACCTACGTAGTCCAGTCTGACAGACTTGGATGTAGTGGCTGTTGGTTTCTCAAACATTTCCTTTCTCTCTTTGACTTTTCTATCTGGATAACGGCAGAAATGCTCAGATGTAACATGAAACGACTCAGAAATATGAGACATATATGGAAATGATCAAAGCTTTAATCTGTGTAGCACTTTAAATTACCGGGTGACAAGAAGTCAGTGGGCGGGTTCAAAAGCAGCAAGTTAGTGATGATTACCTACCTTTGTTTTGCATTTTCACTGGATTGATAAAAGGCTGAAATTTGATGGTCCTGATGGATGAAAGAGAAAAACAGAGCAATGTGGTCTAAAATATAGACGATGCAGTGATGCTGTGCCTCAGTTTTATATACTTTCAAGACTTTTGAATAAGGGAGATGTCAGAGATGGCCAGTTTGAGTTTTAAAAAATCTGGTGGCTGCATTGCAAACCACTAGTAAAAATGTCAGGGACGTTTGCTGAAGCTTGTATGATGGAAATTACAGTGACAAAGTTACAAAGAGCTTTGCCAATGATACAGAACCATGTAAAAGAAGGCAAAAAAAAAAAAAAACAACACATCAAAATAGATATTGAAGATATATAATTCATGGCAGCCTTCTGGTAGGGGTAAGTTTTGATACAATATTTAGAATTAGCCAAAGGCCTGGACACTTGTATTGCAACCAAGAGAGTAAGAATAGCCCAAATTCTGTAGGGGTTAATATCTATATTTTTATTTTTCTGCTGCAGGAAACTTATCAGGATAATTTAGTTGCATGATATTTGAGAGGGATACACGGATCAACAGCGATTATATATACAGTATCTGCTGAAATGTCCCATGAACTCACCAGCCTTGGTTGTGAATTACCGGGTCCATAAAATGTGTTTCTTGTTTCAGTGAGAGATAAGATGAAAGAAAATATCAACAGAATAACTATCATGAATTGTATTAAAGGCTGTTTGTTGTTGCTTTGAAATGTTTGCAGCGGATAGGGGTCCACTTTGATGTCTACAGCGGAGAGTCCTTTCACCAAGGTCAGGCACAGGAGGTGGTGCAGCAGCTGCAGAGTCAAGGCCTGCTAAAAACCTCTGAGTACGTGATCCAAATTTGCATGGCACACTCTGAGTTCACATGTTATATGACGCCAGTAGGTTTACCATCACGCTTACAGGCTTACTGTTTAGAAACTCGACTTTATGCCACTTTGTACTTTCTTTAATGTTCAGTGAGCTGTTGGGAAAATAGTTTTATACAGATGTGGCAGAAAAAATCTGCAGTCTATTGTTAATCCACCAGAGAGCACTGAAAAGCTGATTTTCAAACCATGAAATGTCTTACTTACTTGGTTCTAGATTATAATTCTTGAAAAAAATTAAAGCGAATTTTCTGTTAAAAACTTAGTTCATGAATCAATCTCTTTAAAGTGTAAAAATCACTCCTTGGACATCTGCTGAGACAGATTTCCGATGTTTTATGTAATGAGCTGCATATTTAAAAGCTTTGATATGAACTCACTTTAAATAAACTTGATGCCATGACTAATTGCTGTTGTATTGGAAGGCGAGGAACAGGTGTGGTGGATCTCTCACCTGCTGGAGACATGAGCAGCGTCTGCACGGTGCTCCGCAGTGACGGCACAACTCTTTACATCACAAGGTGTGTACTTCGTTAATAGTGATGTCATGGATATTCAGACATGAGCATTCAGAATAAACATGACAAATGTGGGGACTTTGTGCATTGATACGTAAAATATTTTATCAGAGAAAACAACATGTCTCGTCATGCAAAGCTGGAGGTCTGGGTTTGATGCCCAGCTTTTATGCACCCTTAGATATCTGTTAATGCTCTGCACTCTGTGTCATTATCACAATACTCAAGTGCAGACTTGTGCTGATAAAAGAAAGCTTATTGAGCATCACAGTAATCTTTTAAAAAACAAAACAAAAATCTCTTAAAAACTTAAAGTAATATACTGTTTAAAGACCCACTCTGACGAAAATCATGATTTTCTTGTTGTCTCCATGTTCATATGGCATTTTTCTGATGTAACAGGGCGTATCATGAGAAAAATAAGTGCGAAATTGCATGTCTGAGTATTTCTGCATTCAAAATGCTTTGAATCTCTGGCAGACCCAAATGGCAGGTTCAGACACAGTGGGATTTCCTACGTAACCGATCCAAGCTCCGCCCCCGGAGCTCCACTATGCAGGCCAGACTCTGAGAAATAGAGAGGACAATCGCAGGACAAGCATGTGCGTTAGCGGTTAGCTATGCTCGTAAGAAAGCAAATTATGATATTAGCTTTTATTATGTCCCCAAAGACATTAGTGTCCGAGAGCTGAATAGCTCCTATGTTACCTGTTGCACTGGAAATGTTAGGGTTCAAGCTAGCGTGAAAAGGAGTGTGCAGTGCAGCGCTGTCTCTGCCCACGACTCAGAGGCAAATTACTAATGATCTATTGGAGCTCTGCAGAAGAAAAGACCTTGAAAATGACACAGGTAATGTGATTTTGGCCAAAAAAATTAATCATAATCACAATTTAAAGACCACTGAGAACACTTTAAGTAGTAAAAAAAAAAAAATGATCAGAGTGAGACATTAAACTTTTAGATGCTGATTGGTTACCTTAATCATGAATATGGATGTAATACAACTTGTCATTGTTGCAAATCAAGAATTGGGAGGTTTTTATGACTGCGAATCAAAAGGAACTCAAGCAGTTCACTGAATAACAGATTATAACTAGTGACCTTAGAGTTTCATGGAGCAAAAATATCTAATTTTCAATTTTTTTTTTTCCATTTCAGAGATCTTGCTGCAGCGGTCGACCGAAAAGAAAAGTATCAATTTGATGAGATGATTTATGTGGTAAGACATCTGACAGTCAATTTAGTTTCTTTCACTTGATGTCTTTTCAAGACATTAAAGAATAAAAGCTACATTTAGAAAACATCCTTGTCTCCTCTTTCCCTCCCCTCATGTCCTGTACCTTTTTTTAATACAGACGGATAAAAGTCAAGCAAATCACTTTGATCAGCTGTTTCAGATCCTCCTCGCTCTGGGACATTCTTGGGCTGACAGGTGAAGAAAGACTCAGACACAACTCCACACCCAACATCAGACAGGTTTAGCAGAGGCTAAGCAGTTAATTAAGAATGAGATTTACTCAGAGATTTGCTTGTTGAAATCAAATGTCTTCCATGTGTTACCTTTTTTTATACTTTCAGTGATAACTATAAGATTAAAATTAAGTATGGGCTTTAATCTGGAATAACAGTAGAAGTGTGTTTTGTTGAAAAGTTAGTTTCAACAACTGAAACCAAGCAAAAATAGTAACAGCACCCCACCCAGAAAAGACACGCACTTTAATTGTAAATGGATGACAGATGACACGTCACGTTGGTGCAGCTCCAGCATGTTGTGATGAAATGAAATCCATTTAACCATTCACTAACATGCAGATTTTAAGCAGCTTAAGCAGTGACCTCTGACTGAAAATCTCAATCTGCTGACTTTTTACAGTCAAATCTGTCTTTTTTCATTAATTGTTAAACTTGGTGGTTTTTATAGTGGCTTTGAAATGTTGCTTTTTCTTTCAAAGAGAATAGTGAAGTGTGGTGATAACTTTGATATAAATGGGTTTTTCATGTCTGGTTGCAGTTGTCAGCATGTTCCCTTCGGCCTGGTGCGTGGCATGAAGACCCGGAGCGGTGAGGTGGTGTTTCTTGAAGACATCCTGGATGAAGCTCGGACCAGAATGCTTCACAACATGAGCCAGTCAAAAAGTAAAAACCTCCTCCATACAGACATGTAAATAGAAATAAAGCTGTCTTGACTAGAATGAATTTCAGTTTTCATTTTCTCCCTGCTTATACTTTGTTCAGTGACAGAAGCATAATCAGTTTTTGCTTTTCCTGCAGCAACAAAGAAACTAGAAAACCCAGAGGACACAGCAGAGAAAGTAGGAATCAGTGCACTCATAATCCAGGTGACTTTTGACTCCACCTACAAGCTCTATTATCCAGTCAAATGGTCAGAAACAACAACTCTTATGACTGAATGGATTTTGTTCCAGGACTTCAAAGGTCCTCTGCTGTCAGACTACACGTTTGACTGGGAGCGGATGCTGCAGGCTCGGGGAGACACAGGAGTTTTCCTCCAGTACACACACGCTCGACTCTGCAGGTCTGTACTCATCAGCAGCTGAAAACAAAGAAAACTCTGAGGTCTGAGGAATTTGTCATGTTTTGTTTTTTTAGTACCACTGTCTCCCAAAATTATTCTTGGCCCTCAATAAGAATGTTAAATATTTTGTGTTTCTAATTTATCAATATTACTGTTTGTTGCAGCTCTCACTATGACCAATAAAAGCTGAATATGTCAGAGTAAATGCAACTAATCATTTCCCTTACTTGTTTATTTTCACCCCAATACTTCTGTTTGAAGAGTTTGGTCTCTCTAAATGGTGTAACTTAATGCATATTATCACATTTTGAGACACAGGGCTATATAACTGCACATAAATAACTAGTAATAGCTTACAAATAACATATACACTACAGGCCAAAAGTTTGGAAGCAAGATCAGATTTGTACAAAAAAAAGATCATAGTTTTAATTTGCAACACAATAAACATGACTATTGTGTAAAGAGTAACTTATCAGAAGACATTTTGACTATAATTATTAGGTATTTGAGTTATTGTTGCTTAGACTTTGCTTTCTTTAAAGTAACCTCCTCTGGCTTTAACAACAGCTTGGCATGTACCAGGCATACGTTCCACAAGTTTTTAAAGGTATGTTCCAGGGATTGCATCCCAAGCTTTCTTAAGTTCATTAAAAAGGGACTGCTGATTTTTGGGACGCATTTTCCTGACCATGCTGAATTGTGGGTGTAACACATGGTGCTTTCAGACATTCACCAGTTTGTCTGCGGACATAGACTCTGCGTTTTGAACCAAACAGTGCAAACTTGTTTCTAGTCATCATAAGTCCAATTTTTGTGAGCTTTTGCCCACTCATATCTCTTTTTCTTGTTCTGTGGATGAAGTAGTGTTTTTTTGCAGATACACAACCCTTCAGACCAGCCTTTCTCAAACGTCATTTCACGGTTGTCAGAGATATGGGTTTTGACCTTGTGATGTTAATTTCCTCCCTTATTTTTGGTGCTGTCTTTCACCGATCTCTCTTACTGGTGACAATGCTATGTTTATCCTCTGCTTTTGTAGTAACTCTCTTTCGTCCAGGTCTTTTTCTATCATCATAACTTCCAGGTTCCTCTAGTCTCCTTAGAGTGTAGTGGACTCCTTTGTTAAACACCTTTAGGCGTTTTGCAATTTCTCTTTCTGTGTATCCTTTTTTCCTCAATGTACAAATCTGTACTTTTGTTTCTTTACTCAGTTGCTTCTTTCTGAGATTTATTAGGATTTTTGTATGCAGACTCTCAAAAGCCAAAAAGTTGAAGTGAATAATCCAACTGTGATTTGTTTTTTAGCTTTTGCACTGAAGTTGTGATTCTTGCAAATGTTTTCAACCCTAAAACTAAGCTCTTATTATCTTTTGCTGACATATATTTAGCGAAGGTCTGTTAACATCACTGTATATCTAAAGGTAAATGGAGTAAAATGGTGCATTCCCATGAAAGCAACATCTGATCATGGAGTAAATACATCTCAAAATACATAAAACTCATGCTGGATTTTTAAAAAAGCATTGTGAACAAACACTTGAAGTTACTCCCAACTGTTCGGCCTGTAATGGCCTTGTTTCAAAACTTTTGGCCTGTCGTGTGCATAAATAATCTATGCTTCAATTGTATTTTACTTGTTTATTTTAAAGGTAAATTTTTCATTCAGGCTTAATTTGTACTCATGATTTGTAGTTCAGGATTCATTAAATCTCCAGAAAACTCATAAAATACTTCCTCATAAGGTAATAATCCTATAATATGATATGAATAAGATAAGATAAGATGAACTTTATTGATCACTGAAGGAAAATTCAATGTAGTAGTTGTTTAAACATTTAATAGGACAAAATGTATAAAGTATGGATTGTGCATATTATTTACTTTAAAGTAATTTTAGTCAGGAAAATTTGAAGGAAGTACATCTGATTTATACTAAGCTCAAAAATGTACCTACTAAGTTTCTAATACAAACTTTTTACAACATGCTTATCACTGCAGTTTAATCCGGAGGAATGACGACGCTCAGGCGGCTACATTCGACCCGTCTCTTCTCCTGGAGCAGACAAGCATAGGCATATGTCAGCACCTCCTTCGGTAAGCAAACCACTACCACAGAACTGTCACACTGAGATAGCTTTCAACAGCTTCTTCTCCACTTACATCACTTGATACTGGATGTGCTCTTTGTTTGTACGCAGTTATGACGAAGTGCTGTATCAGTCCGCCCAAGATCTGCAGCCCAAACACCTGGTTAACTATTTATTGAAGCTGTGGTAAGAAACAGGATGTTAGTTCTCCCTGGGCTGGATCCTCCTCTGGTCAATGTTTGCCTCTGTCACTCTAGACAGCAAATGTGTTGTTTTTAGAGATGAAAACACAACAGTGCCATTTTCTTTCAGCCACCTGATCGCCTCTGCACACAGAGAGCTGCCAGTGAGAGGAAGTTCTCTGCAAGTTGCACAGGTACAATTAGAAGTACTCAAACTCTCTTATCTATCTTTTAAATACACAACTGTGCAAGTGTCATCATACAATCAGCCGAATTAAAACTTACTTACTTGAAGCTATACTCTAAATCTGATACTCCTGATATGAACAGACCTAATTTAAATGTCATTGGTTTGGCAAAAGTAACATGCAGTATGATTCCATTGTATAATATAGAACAGCAATGCAGGAGTGCAAACTGATCACTCAACCTAACAAAACCTGGCGTAAATGTCAGAGCATGTGGATCGCTGTAAAAACTGCATTCCTTCAATATTTTATATGTTCCTAATATTCTATTATTTCTTTTTGCACAGCGAGTATTTTGTGACAGGAAAAAAAAATCATCTTTTTGCTTTGGTTTATAGTTAAAGCTCCTGTGAGGAGTTTTTTGAGCTGTATGAAACCCTGAAATCCCTGTTAATGCTTTTTTACAATATTCAAAAGTAAACAAGACCATCAACGACAACATTAAAAATTTTGACACCCTCATTTTAACTACCTGATATCGGCAAGAGGGGGTAGGTGTCAGCCAAGCAGCTGAAGAACCAGTCCTGTTTTTACACTCTCCACATCAATATTTCACCATAAATAATTTAAAACAAAAATCAGTGGGATGAAGTTTTCCTGTGAAAATGTAGAGGACAAGACAAACAAAGACTGCTTTGTCCACAGGGGGCCACCATAACTGATAGAAATCAGACGTTCCTTACTGGAGCTTTAACTGCAGACAGTATGCCAAAATGGTGCTTTTCCGATTGTTATACTGGGAATCATTGTAGTTATATTATTATAGCATTTGAACTTTCAACCCCCTGTGATCAAAGCAGTATTTGCTTTTTGAAATAGCAACTTTTGATTAAAAAAAAACTCATCCTGTTGACCTTTTGACAGTAAAGTGTATCATTAAAACACTGTTCCTCAGCTGCTTGGCTCGCACCTACCCCCACACCAGTTAAACACATGAAAGATTAAAAACTGTCTGTCACGTCGCTGATGATCTTTTTTTTTTTTTCTTTTGTATGTCATTAAATAGCATCAGTATTAATTTCAGTATGATTTATGATATTAAAAAAAAAACTCACAGGAGCTTTAAATGCCCGGTTTTACAGGAGAATTGAAGATGTTTAGAGCACAGTACAAAAGCAGGTTATGGTCTGAAAAGTTCATGTTTTCACCCATATTGTTTAGGAAGTGGATTTTTGACTTCTGCTTAGATTTGCTTAAATAAGGGCGTGAGTCATTTGACTGACAGGTTTTCTTGTTGCAGCTGTTTGTCAGGAGGCTTAAAGCCTGTCTCATCTCCGCCTCTTGGTCTGATTCTATGTTGATAGAAAGGTAGACTGAGTCAATATGGCATTTGCTACAGTTTGGCTTTGAATTGTCTTCAGAAACCAGTGGGGGATGAAACTGAGACTGTGTCCATGTGTCAAATCACACTGTTACTTTCTCAGTGAATATAATTTAAAGCCATATACCTTGTCAGAGTTATTTTGGGTGATGAACTAAATGAAAAGTGCAAAAAGTAACAGAGTCAGTGTTTTACAAATTGGTTAAAGTTCACTTTTTTGCCCACACAGCACCTGTGTGTGGTTAGTACAAAGACTCAGCTGCTCTTCTAATCCATTGTTTTCATGTTACACCTCATCAACATTTAAGTCAATATCAGCCTGAAAGCTCAGCAGTGAAAGTGTGCGTCTTACTCAGAGGCTGTAGTCCTCCATCCTTGTTGCAGTTGAATCTAACCTCTGCAACATGTCAAATATAGTCATAGGTATTATTTGGTAAAGAAAAATTGATCAGGATTTCATTTGTTTCATCATAAATCCATTATGTAAATTCTGTACAGTTGTAAATATGACACATGCACATTTCTTGTTTTAACTCAAAGTTTCTTTATCTTTTAATTTTTGTCTTTTTGTATCTATACTATTCTGCTGTGATTTTTGGAATTTCCTCCTATGGGACTATTAAAGGAACATCATATCTTATCTTATCTCTACAGGCGAGGTTACGTCTGTTCAGTGGCGCGTGCTCAGTCCTGGCTGGTGGGATGAAGATCCTGGGAATCACACCAGTTCAAAGAATGTGAAACATTAAACTGAAATCGTCCAATCAGTGTTCTTTCTTTGCTTTAATTATTATTTTATGTGTAAATAAAAAGCTGTATTTTTAAAATAATTACCTCCCATGAATGTTTTTCCTGTTGTCTCTTATGGTTTTGCTCTTAGTGTTTGATACTTAGGTTTATTCTTATTATAGTTGACAAGTTGACAGCTATAAAACCACAGCCAATTTATCCGACTCTGCTTCCTTTACAATCCTTATTGACACACCAGTAATGCAAATGCAAATGTGGAGTTTGAGGTTGTTCATTGCAGCAGGCTGCATTAGGGTTAGACTGCTATAGCTGGTTCAGCTGGTTTTAGGGGAGAGCTTTAAAACAATCAACACAATGACTGTCTTAACTAAGAGATTTTTTTTAAGCTCACAGGTAAACAGATCATATGGATAGTCCTCTCTGAACAACACTGATTTAGGCTAGACTAGGTGATAAAAACAGCTGCCAGGACAACGTAAACAGAGGCTTCTACAATGAGCAAACTCACAAAAACCAAACAAACATCAGTATCCAACTGGTTAGCAAGTTGATAAAGACATACACCTTTCCTGTTCTTTTAATCTGATAAAACTCAAAAGACAAGATGCAGTCGCTTTTGTTACACCTGTACACCTGACTTTTTCCATTGCTTCACTCATTAGCCACGCCTGAGACTAGAATTTAAAGCATGGGGAATGAGCAACCCCTGAGAAAGGCTAGCTGAAGGGGGTGACTGGGAGACATCCCTGTTTACATCCCTGCCACCAGGAGATGTTTCAGGTTAAGGGGCAAAACATCTAGATATGGTGGTCCCCGGCTAATGCCCCTGCAAATAGCATAGTAGGCACCGGTGGAGGTGCGGCAGACCTAGAGCCGAGTGCAGGTGAGAACATCTACCTGTTAAACCGTTTGCATTAACTGGGACACACCCTTTTCCAGCTTTTTTTTAATAGCCACTTTTAATAAAATAAGACTTCAAAAACAAAGGGCGACACAGATGTGATACAAAAAGATTCAAGACATTTAAGAAATTATATTAACAACGACAAGTGCAGTCTTCATTGTTTGTTGTTCAATTGTAGTTCACATTCAGAATCAGCACTGTGTGATAAAGTAAGACACTCACATAGCACAGTTTAAAACAAACTGACTGAAAACAAACCCTTCATGAGGACTTCTGTGTATGTGCCCCTGGTACCAGCTGCACAGAGGCATCAGAGGGTTTCCTGTTACTGCATATGGCTCCAGCATGGCTGAGGATGAATCTCTGATTGTTTTCAATGATGTACAATCTTTAAAAAGCAAATCAAGGTAATAGGGAGTGTTTTAAGAAAAAGCTATGTGTTTATTGTCAATTATTAACTTAAAGTCTTCTCAAATGAAAGGAACTTTTTCAAATGATCCAAAATTGCTATGACTCTCAGCAGGCCTGGATGAGCAGACGAACATCCTGTCTTTTAAAGCTGTCTGTGAAAAACTAAGGAGCCGACCTGACTGAGAGGTCTTTGTTGTCCCCACCTCAGCTCCTCCTGGAGCTCTTTAAGGTCCCCTGAAAAGGTGACCTGTAAGAAAACCTGGTCCATCCAGTTGGGAGCTCACACACTGATCAGTTTTTCTTTAGATTCTGGATCCTGATTGTCCACATTTTTCAACTTTGTTGTGTCTTGCTTTGGAAGTCCATATAGATAGATAGAGACACACACCAGGAGGGCCCCAGAGGTGAATGCGATCGCTGCACAAGAGGATGAGAGAAGCAGAATGAGATGCTCAAGAAATGAAGTATAATTCTCTGAAAGTATCCAGAGTCTGAGTGTAGAATTTTTTTAGGACATTAATGTAGCTGTGAGAAGCTAACGTACTTATCTGTAGTCCAAACAAGAGGACTGATGCCACAGTGGAGAGCACGATGGCGGCTGCAGCTGAGAAACCCTTCATGATGTTGTCTGTGTACTTCACCACCACCGACGTGTACAGACCGCCCACACTGGCAAGGACTGACACACAAACAGAAATGTCCTTATACGGAAGATAAAAGTGAAATAAGATTGGAAACATCCTCAGGTTTACCTTTACTTACACACAACAAAGCACACCCAGGGTGTGTAACCAAAGAAGAAGCCTTTCTCCAGAACTCTCTCCCCATCATTTATGAAAACACCGAACAGAGTGACCACGATGCCAGAGAGATACATCTGGATGTTTCTGACCCACAGAGATGTATTGGAGCTCTTCAACACCTTCTCAAAGTACACCCCTTCAATAAAAAGTAGAGAGAGGACAGTTAGGAGCAGGAAAATATTTCATTGAAAAAATTAAAACAGGGCAACAGATCTGATTTCTCTTTAACAGGAGCAACACGTACTAGCTGATGTGCTTTTTTGTCCAAAAACAAGTAAAATTTAAATTAGCTTGCGTGTGTATTTGAGTGTATGTCACGTGTTAGCTTAGCTGACCTGAGGGATCCTCAAAACCCGTGTTTGGTTTCATTTTATTAGAGTATATTTCCATTTGCAGCTTCTAAACATCTTCATGAAGTTTAGATAGTTTCCTTCACAGAGAAGCTTTGACAAACATCTTTGTTCTCTCTGACGACATTATTATTATTATCTCAGACTGTTGTATTGTGGTTAGTACTCCTCATTTTTTTGGTATGAGCTGCATTGCTGCACCTTGTCTCGGCTTAAGTGGCGCCCTCTGAACTACCTCTGTGTTTGCGCTGTATCAATAAAACCGTCTAGCATATGTGGCACAGTGTTCCAGTGAACTAGATCAAAGACAGATCACCGCCAGTCTTTTCACAGAGATGAGTTTACCTGCAAATCCTGAACAGAGGACAGCAATGGCGATGGCTATGAACCCCACTAAAGGATTTTGCTCAATCTGTAAAAAAGAGGCAGCACGAGAGGACTGTGAGTGACCTGAACTTCTGTTTTGGCAAAGTGACAACAATATAAACACATCAGTAACAGGACGTGCACACAGTCTCCATTTTAATATTTAACCTATGCCACACCCACCTGAACTTTGGTGGCCTCTGCAGGCTGCCACTGAACGAGGGTCACGCCCCCACAGAGCATGAAGACAGAGAACCACTGCAAACGGCTCAGGGAGCGGTTCAGCATTAAGACTGTGCAGAGCGCTGTGCAGGGGATCTTCAGCTGATAGGTCACCTACACAGACAAACACTGGTCATTCAAAACTCAATGATCTGAGTCCTGGCCTTCATTTTATCACAGGCTGCAGGGCTCACCTATATTCCAGTATTATCAATCTACAAGGTCAAGACTTGAGCTCATTATATTAATTATTTATTGCTAAAGCGTCTGTGTCCTTGTGCTCACTCTGCCCCTCTGCTTGACTAACACACACCTCTTCTCTCAACCTGTGGTTGCATGTATTACTTTGGCACATGTTAAAGATACAACAGAGACGAAGGTAGGAAAAAAGTCTGCAATACCAGAACGAGCTCCAATGCAGAAAGATTTATTTAAAGTTGCATGATGTTTCGAGCACCTGCTTTCTTTTTTTCATTTTTTTTCCCATGTTTTTTTTTATTTTCGTTTTTAAAGATACAACAGAGCCCACATACAACATTTTGCGGTATCCACAACTTCTTTGTGCTCCTAAACTTTGTTGGCAACTGGTCTTAGCTTCTGATAGAAACGTATAAAGGCTGTTAAGGGAAGGAGTGGAGAGTATGCTCTTTATGATGGAGAGAGGGGAGGGTGGCACCCAGTTCACCTTCCAGGACAAAAGGAGCATAAGACAACATCAGCACAGTTGTCTTTACAACCTTGTCTATCTTGTTTTCATGACTGTGTGAGGCCAAAACTGTGAGTGAACTGGATGTTCAAGTAATCACCCAGCCCTGCAAACAATTCAATGGGAACTGCCAGCAATAATCCTTTCATAGCACTATTTTCTTTTCATTATAAACTCCACTGTCAGAGTCAGGGCTCTGACTGTAAGTTGGTTCCTGATCTATTACAGCCTAAGTGGGCTGACAGTTTCAGCTCTCTGCAGCTGATCTTGCATCAAGTTGTGCTGAAACTTCAAGCAAATAAAGGAAAATTAAACAACAGGAAGGCTCATGACCTTTAATGATAAACTTGTTGGAATAATTCATCCAGAAAGAGTTCCGCTTGTATTGCTGGTATATCTGGTTTTGTTGCTTTGCTTGTTTATAATACTATAAAACAAGCTTTAATAATAATATAATATAATATAATATAATATAATATAATATAATATAATATAATATAATATAATATAATATGACATAACATAATATAATATAATATAATGTAATACAGAAGGTTAGACCATACTAGAGTATTTCAAGTTTTAAACTTGTGGTTGCACATATGAGGATATAAGAAGAGACCTCCTTTTCATCTGAGCTTAAATGAAAGACACTTTTATTCAAAATATATATATTTCTAAAAAGGCTAATCATGAAAAAAAAAACAGACTGTCAGAAAAATGAGATTACTTTCAAGAATCTGATGAAGAAAAGCAAGCTAGCTCATATGTAACAGCAGCTGTACTTTTTTTTGTTTTACCAGTTTTTAAGATAATTTTACCATTAAATGGAATTGATCTAGATTTTATTCTTTGATTGATTCTTAGAAATATTATGATTTCATTCAGGAACAAAGTCCCAACCTGTGTTATCCATGATGTTAAATATGATAAACTGTTCTGAAATTTCTATTTTACATTGGAAACAACTTTTCTATGACGACAAAAAAAGCCACTGAACATGATGTATTTCTTTGAGCAGCAAAAACAGCCAGAAAATAAATCAGTATTTTTGTGGTGCCTGACGGTTCTTGAAGTCATTATTTCAAGAGGAAAAGAGCACTTTGTAGCTTAGGTCTCCACAGTGTGAGGACTTGATTCAGTTTTATTCCAGAGTTAAAGTTCTTTGGACTGTGTCCGGTTCTCAAAGTCGACATTTACCGCAGTCACCTCCTGACCCTCCGAGAGGTTTTATGTTTAAACTGTTCACTAATTGCTGTAGAATAGCTCTTGTGACTCACATCCTGATACTATGTGAAGCATTCAGACAGTAAATATTCAACATCAAGCACATATGATTCTGTCAGTACCTGATAAACAGCAGCATCAAGATTACTCAGGGCAATAAAGGCCATGTTGTTCTGGATTGCGTACACCACAGAGGGCACACTCAGCTTCAGCAGCTCTTTTGGGCTGCAAAAAACATGTTCCACTATGGTGTTCTTCAGTCTGCTGGGGGTTCCTGATTCTCTGGAAGCAAAAAATACGAAAACAGAAGGATGACAAAGGAGGTCAACTCCATTACAAGCCGAGTTTTCTTTGTGCACAGCTAGACTGCTGTATTTAAAGGACGCCTTCAACAGCTGCAGCTCTGCTCTGCGGCCTTTCCTCAACTTTCCATTCAGATGACAACACTTAAAATTAAAATACCAGTATGTACACAACAAATACTCTGCACTCACGCATTGAGTTGCTGTTTTTACGTCATATTTGTAACTTTATAAAAGAAGACAAGCAAACACAGTGGGAAGAAATATTTGGTCTTCTATATATCTTTGTTTGAAGTTGCTGGAAACGCCTATCTTTGGTGGTGGCTGGTAAACATCCAAATCCATATGTCCCTGTATTTCGCCCTTTGATTTCATTAAAGTCATACTTTCAACATTAGACACAGTATCCAATCAGTCAGTCAGTCTCTGCTGAAGGTTTTAACTGCAACCATTTTTGTTAAACTGCTTTTTTGCTGACTGCAATTAAAATCGTGAATGCATGCTGACAGGTGAGCTGCGTTGTAGCCTAAGAAAGGGCACTAAATCCCAGCCACAAATATATTATCTGTTGTCTGTATTACCTCTTACCTGAATATGACTGATTTTTTTTGGTTTGGCTCTTCCAAAATATCCATAAATGATCTATCAGCAGCTCCAACACAGACTTTGGAGGTATCAAAATAACCCAGTAGATCACAGCAACAGAAATCTTTAAAGTATCTCAAAAAGTCAAGTTTTCTAGTCCTAATATTATACAGATTTTCTTCTTTGTCCTTGCTTTGTGACCAGTTTGCAGGCAAATTCTAGAAACTAGAAATCCAATGTTAGATACGTTGCAAATTCACCAGACATTCAACTAGAAATGATAACAAAAGTATGGTGCCAGATGTGGTAGAGGATGTAACAGTCAGACACTTACTTTGACAGTATTCCCAGACTCAGTATTAATTTTACGACCTCAGCAACGCACACTGCAGTTGTGGAGAAGTACATATCTCCAGTAGTTATGGTCCTTGTGTACCGTAGTGCTACTGTATATGTGGCTGCCACCATTGTCATCACAGTCAGGCAGTACAGCTTGAAGGCCACGCTAACGTTTTCTGAAAAGAGAAAGGCAGAAGATGAAGTTGCCATGTTATGTAACTCAAAGGTCACCAAACTAATTTTCTGTCTTTGTGCTTGATGGATTAATAAATTAATAAATTAACATGACTGTAAACCCCTCTGACTTCAAAAGGCATGCCAGGTCAGTCACTCTTGAATCAAACACACCTTTAGTCTGAATATTATACTCACTTTTTCTCATAATCAGTTAGTGCAATTTACAGAAGGTCAAAATGATGGGATTATCTCCTTTGACATTTCTGTATTTGTCTTTACAAGAAGAAGTTCCTCTCTACAAGTGTACAGATTTATTCATAACGTTGTTTACATCTATTGTATTATTCGTGTTTTTTGCTTGTTTCAGCTGTTAGCGTTAAATCGTAATACGCTTGTTTATTTTGTGGCTGAAAGATACTTACTGTGTTTATTAAAGGAGGAGTTTGTGGTGTCTGTGAACGCCACATAAGAACAAGATTTGTTATTTCCTCAGAGTTGGACTATGCCTTATTGCCAAATAGTGAATCCTCAGAGAATAAGGTCCGGATCAGACACTTCAAATGTTGCAGCACCTCAGTCTGAGACAGCAATTCTCAGATGGGTCAATCGCGTGTATCTTTAAGAACTTAATGATCTGCTAAGACTATTTTTAATGTATATGTGAGTAAAACTGTATAAATGAATGTAACTGAGGGCCGTTAGCAGGCATTTTTAGTCTGTGTTAAGACAGAGACAGTAATGTTGGTACGGTAACGTAGTACCTACAAGGTTTGTCATCACTTCCTCAATTGAAACACAGGCTTTACCGACTGCACACCCACAGGCCAGCAGATTTCTGAGCCCTCCATTAAACCCTGTTTATTTCTCTCAACCGCGTCCAGCAGCTAACATTAGCCCTAGCTGGTGTTCGATGGTCAAACTCACCGCCGCCCATTGTTGCTCCGGTCTGTGTCCGTCCAGGTGGCAAAGTCAGAAGTCACTTCAGCTGTTGGCCTTACATGTCATCTGGAAGTACGCACAGCCCGCTTTCAGGAATGTAGCCAAACCTGAAGCACATTTACTCATGAGCCTGATTCAGGGTGTCCAGCCAGGAATTACAGTTACTTCATTTCCCAGAATGCAGCGCGTGTTCGATTTGAGGAAAGGTGTGTTTGTTTTCTGTGCCGTGAAACGCCAATGAAAGAACCGTCTGTATGTGGGTGACTGTATGTGATACGGTGAAATGGCGGTCCACGTGAAAGTGTACGGGAATGCGTTGCATTTAATTTTGAGAAACAAAACTCGCTGTTATTTGTAAACTGGAAAGATATATATTTATATTTATATATATGTATGTATGTATTAGTAGTAGTAATAACAGAATTTTTTTTATTTGGTTTACAAAAAAATCGTATTTCCTGAGATAATTATTACGTTAATTTAGAATAACAAAACATTGTCATTCATACTCTTCTCATATGTTGTTACTATTAACATGGTAACTGTCTGAGCCTCACGATATGTATATATATATATATATATATATATATTGTCTAAAATTGTCTAAAAAATCCTCTCTCTGATTATTTTTGTATTTAGCATGTAAAAATAATGTTGGTAATCCTAATTGACCAAAACAGGAAAAGTTTATTTTGATTTAATGTTAGACAGTGAGGAAAAAAAGGTTAGGTGCCTTTTTATATAGTATATGTAAACTTCTGGTTTCAACTGTATATAATATGCTAGACACTCAAATAAGAACACACACATAAGTTAAAAAAAATAGACCAGACTCTAAGTAGACATTGTTTGAACTCATTTATTTGAGACCAAATACAAAGACACGTCTCTCTTATTTTTTCCAAAACCATTGTTCAATGATATGTTGAGAAAAGTACTAACACTTTCTTGACATAAAACACTTAAAAGAAACTCTTAACAGAAAAGTAATGGAGATACAGATCAACTCTTCTGCTGTCACAATTCCTCACTGCTATTCAAACCTCTATGAAACATCTTTCTCTCTTAGCTTCTTGCACAACAGCAGGAGTAAATCCTTTCCCTCTCACCACAGCAACATTCCTTCAGCACAGCTTGCTGGGCTCATATTGCAACTGCAGGTGTTTTTACTATGTGTGGAGAAGCAATGATGTTATTACCCATCATGGAAGAATTTCTTACATATTCAAGAAACTTCCTGCAAAGACCAAGCCTGTGATTGTATTTGGGTGTAGCTCTACACACACAATGGCACGCTGTCCATGCACTGCTGCTGGAGAAAAAGCTGCATTATGCACTGGCTGAGCATGTTAGTAGGAACAGAAGCAAGCTCAGGAGTTTTCAGAGGGAACGTGCTCAAAGCCTTCGCTCTCCCTCACCAGCGCCCTCTCCAGGATGACTCGGCCCTCCTTGTATCGCTGGCTCTCCTCTGTGGCAAACTCATACATCCAGCCCAGTTTGCTGTTGCAGTTCTTGCAGCTGACATCTCGCACCATGTGTCGCCCAGTCAGCATGACCCTGTCCTGCACCTCACTGTGCTGCAGATTTACAACCTGGAGAGTAGCAGACATGTACATGTCACAAACAGCTGATAGGGGAGTTTTCACTTTTTTAAGCTTTTTCCCTGCAAATTCTGATGGATGTGGATCAAATACCACTGCACGGTAAATGAATCTAAGTGTTGTTTAAGGTAGCAGGTAGAATACATTTTGTTTTTTGAATAGTGAAAGGACAAGAAGTCTATTTGTCTTTCTTTGGCATTTTAGCTTGAAGCATTTTACAAATTATTTTTCACATTAATGTTGATACATCACCATAATCAAAAGTCATTTAATAGGGTTTTGAAAGCAGCTTTGTTATGATGAATATCAAAAAGGATAAATCAATGCATTTTATATCCAAACTCTATCCCATAATCCTTAATCAATCAATTATTTTCACTGTTCCATGAATTAAACTGACAAGTACAACAAGAATGTTGTCTTTGCTTCAGGTGAGGGAGGTGATGCCTTCAGGTACCTTGTTGAACAGGAAAGCTCGGCCGGTGGCGCCGGTGAAGCGTGTTGAGATGAGTTCAGCCCGGTTGGTCAAGATGGTGTCACAGTTGGCACAGGAGAAGAGGCGAGTCCCACCAATGTGATCCAAGAAGATTCGCCCCATTTTGTCTGCTGTTAACGGGACACTAAATGACACAGACACACAAAAAAATTAACACAACATATTTCTGTTACATTTGGAGGCTCTGCGCTATACAAACATGTGGATACATCAGGAGAAATTTCGAGCTTCTCTCTAAAATATGATGATTTGTACTCGTGATTTACACTTGAGGAGCTTGTGAGTTAGTATATCTGTCTGTAAAAGATCAATGTTTGAAAAAAAAGACTCTTAAGACTTAATTTTTCCATCTATGTGATGGTGAGAAATGATTTTAGCCAGCAGCAAATATGGAAAAATAAAACAGCTCTCTATTAAGACGTCACCTCCATTTTTATTCTTCATGTGGGGCTTCAGACATTTGTTTTGTGCTTTACTCTTTAGGCGGATTTAGTATTATATTTTATGGATCATTTTCTGACTATATTTTGTATCATTTATCATAGAATGGCTGTAAATTGTTCTCACAGGCACTGTATTAAGTATTGGATCATATTATATTGTCAACTATGTTTTTCATGAAGGAAATAGACTTACAAAGAACTTGATTTTCGAAAAGCAGCTCATGATCCTACAATAAATCTATAATCAGTACTGTATTCCGGTTATTTTCAATAACATATCATGCTAAATAATGATGCTCCTGGGTTATGTTTTATTTGCTTGATCCTCAGATCAGGGTTAAGGTTTTAATAGCTCCAAACACGAGTTATCCACTCAGCTAGAGTTGAATATGTATCACTTTTGACAGAATTACAACGAAGACCTATCCAGTCCACGCAGTAATGTATATGACTCATAGAAAGCATCATGGTGTGTCATCAATAAGAAAAAAACATGGGTGGATTCATATTGACTTTAACTCGCTACAGATGCTTTACGAACTTGATAATTTCAACAATAATTATCCTACAAGTTATTCGATCGCCTGGTAGGAATAAAAAACGTGAATATGGGGAGGAAATGTCAAAAGAAACCAAATAACAAGCAGCTAACAGGCCACAAACATGGTTAACTTCAACCACATCTTACCTCGAAATGTTACCAAACGAAGAAGTGCTTCGAAAAATACAGGTATTTCCTCGTAGAAGTGATTTTATTCACTTAAAACTGGATTTTCTAGTGATTCAAAACGTCCCTGAATCCTCTGAGTCGACTTTAACAAACAATAACAGAGGACAGAGGTTGATGGAACCAGCCAGCCTAGTCTCATCTCACAGGCAACAATCACAAGTATTTCCGATCAAAATTTCAAAATAAACCCCATAAAAAAGTTGACGGTTTAGATCCTACTAAACTAATCACTGCGATCAAAATCATGATTTCAGTCTCGTGACATGGCATGTTCTCTATATTTCAGCCCACAACTCCTCGCTGGTGACACATTTTTCCCTCAATCATAAGGCGTTTGATTTTATTTTGAAGGCAAAGTCGAGCAGTTGTTTTTCCGCCAGTGGCCTAGTGCAGCTCTTTATACGGCCACAAGGGGGCAGAAGAATATAAATGCAGACCTGGACAGGATAAGAAGATATTTACATGCCTGCTACAAAGAGATTTGAGTGTTCGTTTTTATATCATTCAATTTATGGCAGACCTCATAAAAAAGTCTTGTTTCTTTTACAATAACTGTATAAAATTAATTTGTATGGGGACAAAATCAGAGCAACTTACTGACACCCCACTTATAGCAAGTTGTCCCTCGGTGAGCCTTTAAAATACACTCACTCAAATTAATGATAAGTGCACAGGAGACAAGTAAAAGAAAAGAAAAAACTCTCTTATTTCATTGCTGACAGTTTATCATTCAAAAGTTTCTAACCTTTTTGTTAGAATGATAGTTTTAAGTTTAAATATATTTCTTTTTATAATTTTGAGAGGAGTGACATCTTTAAAAAAAGGGGTTTTGGGGCATTAGATTGAGTGTCAGACAGAGAGTGACAGAGGCAGGTATTAGTATCACTGTTTATGGGATTTATTGTTGCAGCAAGGTGAACACATGCTGCATACTGATCAAACACACTGAGGAAGAAAGTAGGAGAAACTCAAGCACTGTCCTGCTCCAGCTGTCCTACCAGCCCAGCAAGTTTTCGGCTGCCACATTAGTTGCCTCTTGTACTTTTCCCTCCCCTGACATTTCATGTCTTTACCAGATTGTTCAAAGAGATTAAATTCCTCCCCAAAGTTGTGAGACAGTGAGCCAAAGGCACTTTCAATGTCCCAAAATACCGCAGACTGCAGCTGGTGCCTGCTCATGTTTGTGTGCTCAGAGCAGTGCGGGAAGCAGTCATGGGTAACATCCATCTGGAGGTCTGCTGCTTTAGTTGGTACAAAATAAAGTCAGCCCTGCCTCCCTACAGCATGTCTTGTTTCTTACTTGATTTTTTATACTTAAAAATGCAACAGTAGTACCTAATTTTTTAAAAACAATTTCCTGCTTTCTTCCTGGCTGCCAATTGAATCCCTGCAGAGAGCTTTTATTTTAGTCTTCATTTCCTTCTACCATGATTCATTTGCCGCCAACTTTTATGGACAAGTCTAACAATAATCCACCAGCAGTTATTTAATTATGAGAGACTTATCAGTCTCTCATAATTACCACTCAAATAAATGTCTGTGGCGTTAGGGTGAAAGAAGTTAGCTGAGAAGTGAATAAGAGTGTCCTCCACTAGTTACAATGTGTTGGGAAAGCTACTGCAAAATTGCACCAGCAGCTGCAGATGCTGCTCTTTTCCCGGGTCAAATAAGGCCAGTCATTTTCAACTGTATGGACAGACGATGAAGATGACTGTCCTAGTGTTTCAGAAGTGTGACTACAGGACAAACTGTACAGCCTATCTAAGCCTGTTCAAAGATTAGCATAGATCGAGAGATAGAGGCCGTGCTTCATCAGGAGGTTCATGCAGAGTAGATGTCCTTGGTTGAAGATAGCTGACTGTAAAGGCTGTTTGACCTCATATCTGGATTACTGTAATCATTATTAAACTTCCCTGCTGCATTTAAGATCAGCTGGGAAAATAGGGACACATGGAAAAAAATGACTCTACATGTAATAATACAGATAGCACTTATGATTATTTGACAGTACAGCACAAAAGGATGTCTGTCCTGCTGTTTGAGATTTGTTTTAGTTCTTTAGTCTGCTCAGTCAGAGACAAAATTTAAGTCTAACATAAAAGAGCATGGGCACAGTAGTTGCAGAAATCTGGTTGTTTGTTCTCTTAACTTTTTCCCGCTATCCCTTGACCATCGCTTGTCTAATCTGAAGAATAACATGAGATAGTCCAGTTTTACTACACTGAAGATTCACTGTTACATAAAAACACATATCTATCCCTCCATGAAGTGAAGTTGTCATGTCATTCTCATGCAAAGTCACTTTGAGCGGACATTTCTGTTTTGGGTAAAATGTTGGAATAAAGGCATTATCAGGAAAGTAATTGGGAGATGAAGCTTTAAACAAGCAACACAGAGGACAATCCATTCAGAAAGATACCTTTCCCCTAACTCTGGCTTGTTGCCCCCTTCATGTCCTCACCCTGTAATTTTTACAGACGTATCCATTCTCTCAGTTAAGCAACCCATCTGCAGAGTGGTGTGATTACTGACGTCATGTTTATTGCTGCAGTAAACCTACAAGCCAAGGGCTTAAATATTACTTATTCAAGGTGTATTAGCAAACACAAAACAAACTAGTTTCTGTGGTTTTTGGTCTCTCTGCAAAGACAAACTAAGATGGCCCAAACTTTGCATTTACCATCTTGATATGAAAGTCAATTTCATAAACTGGATCAGCCAAAATAACCAGTTACAGTTTAATTTAGATTTACACTCACATATTGATATGCAATTTATTAAAGATGGTAAATTGAGCTATAAAGTCTAAGAATCAAAATGTCCGGATGAAATCCTTGTCACAGAAAAAGACAGGCTTATGTAACTGAGGTCATGGTGTGGGGATGCAGATATGCAGATTTTTATCATAACAAAACAGAACTACCATGAGTGTTTCATACATTGTGTTCAAAAAGATAGAGAAAGACTTTTCTCTAATCGGATGGCTAAATAGATACTGCATTGCTCTTTTAATCTTTATACAGCTCTAATTGTCTTTATTGTGATGATTATGCCATCCTTGTCTAGTTGTATGTACAAGCATATAGAAGTATTGGAGTAGAACACATATACCTTTAATGTTACCAGTAAGAAAAGTTGGAAGAACACAAACTTAAGTCATAGTTATGTTGTAATATTTCACTAAGAGATGTTGCTCAAGTGGGGAGGTTACCCAAGTGCTTTGCTTGTCCATTTGTAAGCAAAAAAAAAGAAAAAAAAAAAAAAAACATTTTATTTGATTTATAAAAGATAAAAGAAGAAGGTAGCATTGGCGAGAGAAGACTCTCAAATTTTGGGCATGATTCAACACACAAAAAGGTAAACATAACTCTCTAAGTAAAGGTTTCTTCCTTTAGACTTCCCTAAGTTGTTTAATGTTTCTATTAGGAGGGTGAATATGCCTTTTCAAACCTCAAAAAGGTTTGAATCCTAAAATTTCCCCAACTAGACTGTTTTTACCTTTACCTGAGCTTCGCTTGTGAAAATGTGAGCAGTGTTCTAGCTTCACCTCTCACAGTGGGAGGCTAGAGGCATGCTGTTCTTATTAACAGACACTGACCAGTCATATTTAGGTTCTTGGCATATGGGCTTGCACATTTTAAAGGATTTTACCTTGGACAAGTATGCACTCTCAAAATACACATCTAATTCTATTTATTGTACCTACATAAACTATTTAAATTCACTGAATCATGTGATTAGTCCAGTGCGATAATCTCATTAACACTTTAAGGGTCACTTTCAGTCATTATTACTATAAATAATTACGATAATTACGATTATCAAAGATGTCCTTTTTATTATGAAATCTTTTGGCCATGTCCTTTGGACAAGTAGGCCAGTCCCTCCTCTCTGAGGACATTTATCACCTGTAGAGTTTGTCATTATCAGTTATCCTGGCCAGGTATAACTGATAATCACACACACAGCTAAACAGAGAGAGCAGAGAGAAAGTTGCAGAGATGACGCTTCCACAGCTGCTTCTGATCGGTGTCCTCGGGCTAACATCTGGTATATTTTAATTTGATATTCATTTAGCTTGAATCTGTACAATGTTTTAAAAACCTTTACAAATTTTAATCACCTACAATATAGGTTTTATACATTTTGTTGAAAAGTTGAAGGAAGTTGTAACTTTTTTTGCACTGGTTGAGGTCGCATTTGATGATTCTGACTAAGATTTGACACTCACAGATAAGGAAAGACGACAAGATTGTGTTCATATAATATTTGCTGAAACCCAAAGTTATTTTGTTCTTCAACCATAAGTTGTACATTCAATTCTTATAAATTTTTGTTGATTGGATTCCTTTTTTAAAAATCTGATACCTTTGCTTTTCCCTAATTTAATACGTTTTTGGAGGTGACAGAATCAGTAACATGATAAAAAACACCTGTCTGGCCCATCAGTTTTGTCAAGTGATCTCAGATTTGCACCTATTTTCCGTAAATTTTTCATCAGTTTTTAACAATTTGTTTTGAAACTGAGCTCATGATCACGACTTTAAGTCAGCATATTTCTGTGTTTGACATGTCGACGGTGTGTGCGCTAAACAAGTTAAAGCAAGCATCTGGCCACACTCTGCACAGATGTTCAGTAGATATAAGAGCTCAAGATTTGATGAACCATATCTCAAACTGTTTGTTCCTAACAGAGTTGTGCGTGTCTCTTGTTTCAGTTACAGGATATCCATGTACTCAGATATTTCCCTCTCAGTCGCCCCCTTCAAATGGTGAGTCAGCTCAAGTCAGAGTCAATATGTCAACAACTGTACATGAATGGAGCTGTTAGCGTGGCTGACAATAGTTACATTATTACACATTTGGTCTCATATCCTGCAGAACTTGAATAAGTCTCTAAAAGTTAAACCAAATTACATTCCTTTGTTTACTGTACTTGTGTGCAAATTTAAGTTACTTTATTTTTCATCCAGTTGTTCCATTTTGTGGTAATTCTGTCCACTGCAGAGACATTCTGTGACAGTCCACAAACACAGCATCTCTGTAGTTTTACTTCTGGATCACTAACTTATTTTAAACTTTTACTTCAATCACTTTTTATATTATGGCCCAATGTTTTTACTGATCAAATAAGACTGAATTTCAGCAAATAGGCTTGTTGTTAATTTCACAATTTCAACCTTTTCTTGTTGATACTGAAAATTATTTTTGGTCTTTCTTTTAAGTAAACAATGTTCGGCCCTCAGATGTGGCAGTCCTGTCCTCCATTGGACTCGACATGCACAGGTGAGCACAGGAGTTTTTTGACCTGTAAGAAATAGACTGAAATCCATATTGATGCCTCTATATGGTAAACAAAAGCAAACAAGACCAGCAGTAATAACATTTATGTTTTTTTCCCATAATTTTTGATGTCTAAAACTGGTGCAAGGAGGTACAAAGTCAGCACTTCAGCATGTAAAGGAAAAGATGAGCAAAGATGACTTTGTCCACAGGGGGCACCAAAATCAACACAGACCAAAGTCCCTTGTAGGAGCTTTAAACTTGGTAATGCTGAGATAAAATGACTCTCCTCTCTTTTGATTTCACTCAGGACTGAGCTGTCCACAGTGATATCAAGATTTACAGGTGAGATTCAAAGTCTGATTTCCTTGTTTTTTTTTCGTGTAGAACCAGATTATTGTTCAATAATTTACTAATTTAATTTGAATTTAAATGTTCAGAAACATTTCTCTGTCCACTTCACTGTCTTTGTTGTGATAGATCAAAATGTAACTTTCACTAGGATGGCATGAGTTTCTTTAACACTACTGTGCGCTATCTTCACTACACTGATATCTACTTTAACTGAGATAATTTAAACAATAAACACCAACAGACTCATTATTCATCAACCCTACTTGCTGTTATCTTTTCACAAAGCCTCTAAGGTTACTCAAAGTCCTGTTGGTACCTCATAAAATATAGACTGACGCAAAGCAGGAAGACTGGTGAAATGAAAATGTGAGATTACAGCCAAAATGAAAGATTGCGCCTGAAGTTTTCAGGAATAATTTCTTCCGCAAGAATAGAAAATGAATGCATGTTGCTCTGCAGGTGTTAAAATTAAAATGAATGAATGTATACCTCATGGTTTCAAAACTATTAAAGCACTATTTTCATGGTTCTGTTGGATCTGTTGTTGGCTTATTAAAGTTACAATTACAAGCTACTCTCTGGTGAATTTTAGTCTTAAACTTGTCTTCATGTCTTGCCATCAGAACTGCTGACCCTGTTCAATCCTGCTCTGATCACTCCTTCGTCAGATGAAACAAACCTGTACACTCCTCAGTTTGTTCAACACAGGTACAAACACTCATACCAGAAACATTACACTTATCCCCTTTGGTATTTTCCAATTATTTCATGTTATAATCAACATGTTTCCATGATTTGTAGCTCATTTGTGGAGCAGGCAACGGAAGTGTCTATTTCCATCCATCAAAATCAGGTAAAAATCAAAAGTTCTATTTCAAGTTATCACAGTATTATCAGTTAAATATTCTTGTGGAATAGAATTACTTGCTTTGTTGAGAAATGTTAAGTATGTACTTTTAAATGTTACATTATTGAATTATGAAGCTGCCAAATGTGTGTATAAGCAGCAGCGTTTTCAGTGTGGATTTAGAGACTATAACTGAAAGACATATAGCATGAGAAAACAGAAATACACAAATGACGGAGAATAAGAAATACACTTGGGTAAACTGTGTATTTAAGGTTTAAGATTATCTTGTTAATTACAGACTTTTGGGAGCAGGTTATTGCAAATTACTAAATTATCTAAATAAAAAAGTACCTTTATTTTCCTGGTAAAGCTGCTGTTTTCCTTCTGTAGGAGATCAGTGTGGATAAAGACTGGAAGCTGCTTCTTCTCTTTGTTCAGGTGGACCAGCTCTGCATCTGTGAGCAGAAGGTACAAACAATTACTGAGAGAAAAAAAAAAAACATGTACATGTTGTCTTAATAAAGTTTAATCCAAGAGACAGATTCACTCCTTTTTCTGCACAAGATCCACTTTTTTATAACTCTGATCAAACTGAAAGCCTTTTTGAGATAAAGTCTAGTGTTGATATTCAATAAGTTACCTAAAAGAACATAAACAAGGAAAATTAAAGCTGAAAAAGTACATTTATCTGGCTCTTATTTTCTCTCTTTTTCTAATTTTGGTCCTGACAAGCAAATTTTCATAAAAAGGTTGAGAATTTTCAAATGGAGAACAAGTAAAAGTGATGTATCTGTGACAGACAGCAGTAATGTCTGAAAACACCCTGATATTTCAGGGTTAAACAAAGAGTAGTTATGGTTTCAGAGAGTTTGTTTTTTGTGTGCAGGATCAGTCTGTGATTGAAGACATGGTTAAAGAGGTGGACGAGGCTCTGCAGCTGCTTCACTCTCAGGTATATTTCAGCTTCTATTTTAATATTCTTTCATTACCCTGAGTCAGGAATAACCCCAGGTTTAACCTACTTCGCTTCTCTGTACCCTGTGCCACAGCTGAAGAGGACCATCGTTAGCGTTGCATTGTGGGATGGAGAACACCAAAGTTGCAACAAGAAGTAAGTTCACAAGTACAATTGCACTTTTTTTTGTGGTGATTTTGGTGAATCATCAGAAAATGTGTTATTAATCCTCACAACAGGCTTAAGAGTGACTTTAGGCGCTGTAAAGTCCCACTCCGATTGTTTTGTTTTTTTTTCATCTTTTTTTCTACTACTTTAAGTGTTGTCAGTGGTCTTTAAATTGTGGTTAGGAATTTTATTTATTTTTTATTTTTAGCCAAAATCACATTACCTGTGTCATTTTCAAGGGCTTTTCTTCTGCAGAGCTCCAGTAGCTCACTAGTAATTCGCCTCTGAGTTGTGGTTGGAGACAGCGCTGCTCTGCACACTCATCTTCACACTAGCTTGCAGCCTAACATTGCCAGTGTAGTAGGAGTGGCAGGTGACACAGGAGCTGTTCAGCTCTCGGACACTAATGTCTTTGGGGACATGATGAAAGCTCATATCATGATTAGATTTCTTACGAGTATTGCGGTCCGTTAACGCACACGCTTGTTCCGGGGGCGGAGCTTGGGTTTGCTACGTAGGAAATCTCACTGTGTCTGAACCTGCTGTTTGGGTTTGTCAGAGATTCACAGAGATTTGAAAGCAGAAATCCTTAGACATACAACTTTGCTCTTACTTTTCTCATGATATGTGCTGTATTATCAAAAAATGCCATATGAACATGTAGACTACAAGAAAAACATGCTTTTCATCGGGGTGGGTCTTTAGGAAAAGTGACAGCTCTGTATGAGGTTATTAACAATCAAACGATCCTATGACATATTTATAAGAACTTATAAGCCGTATTATGTGGCTGTAAGTAAAGTGTCAGAAAACATGGCTGACAACAAGAATATATTTAATGATTATATTTTTTCTCTTTTGCATCAGGTATAATCCATTTTTAACTATACTTTTATAAGGCTTTATGCTTGCTGCTTGTAAGACGTCACAAAACAGCTATAAGTTGTTACAAATGCTTATCATCACTCATTCAGGTTATAAAGAAGCATTTATGAGACTTTCATAAATGTGCTGATGCTGTGTTATAAGAGGTGGGTACATATAAGTGACAGTGAATGTTTCAATACTTCAACAAAGCTCAAATGACCTGACACAATAGTGGTACTAATAGTAGTTATATATGCATATCGTCCAATCAAAAACATGTATGTTGAGCTTTAAGGGGAACTCTTTTTCAAAAACAGGGTCTGTCCATGCATGGAGTCAAAAAATGATGGAGAAGCCAGGATGCAGAGAGCCATGCTGAGTCAGGCTCTGCAGGTGCGTTCATCATTTAACCCAAAGTTTCAGTCAGATGCATTCAGTCCTACAGTTATTCAACCTGCTATGGCACTTTCATTTGCTTCGTGGTCATTTGTCTTTTTAACTTGCAGGAGTCCTTGGATGAGCTCCTGGTGAAGAGGCAGTGGTACAGCGACAGAGAGGACTTCAGTGTGATTCTGCAGGACACACCGATCATCGCACACACGTCATCTGTTTCTGTGAGTCACAGGAAAAATCAGTTTTCTTATTCTTGGTTGGGTTTACTTTTGCAGCACATAGAGATGCGTCAGTATCTATTTTTGCTTGTTTCACACAGCAGCTTCAAGCTCCTCACAAAGGTTTTAAATCAAGAAAATCTAAAACCCAAGAACAGATTTTTTTAAGAAAACGAAGTGACACGTGTGTTTGTGTTGGTAACAGATACAGAGTCCTGGTTGTCTTACTGTACATGTACTCTCTGTATCAAACATACAGTATGATACTGTTGATGTTCTTTTCCATCAGAATGGGAAGCCTCTTTCTGGGTCACAGGCATCTCAACAAACTGATAAACTGCTGGTGCAGATGTGGACAAACCTGGTGAGGAAACATCCCTCTCTCTGTCATTCTGATAGATACACAGACACACACAAAAAACACATACAGAGCTGTTGTTCTCTGTGTGCAAACATGAACACAAAGACTTTTCTGTCTTTCAGCTGCAGCCCACAAGCAGCCAACATAACACAGATGACAATGGAAAGATCATCGCATTGCCATGTCCAACTGAGGTGAGAAACTGTTTGGAAATGTGCAAACATGCAATTTATTTCAGCAAATTTAGGCCCACAATCACAAACGATAAACCTGGAAATAGATCCAAGCTTTCCATATTAATCTCTTTTCTTTTTATTTCCAATCCATCCTTTATTTCCTTTGTTCCACCTCCTCTCTTTGGCTATCTTCCTCCCTCCCTAAGGACCAACCCTTCCTGAGGACGGAGGGAAACTCTCCCTCATATCACCACACTGATGTCTCCCCTCTTCTTCACCCAGTGAGTACAGTCTGACTCTGAGCTGAATGGAGGTTGTGGTAGTGTTGTGTATCTTTTATTTTGTTCTCACGGTGGATATTTACTGTGTGTGTGCTCAGTTTACAGGCACAGAGATGCCCTGTGTGGACTTCAGCCCCTCACCCTCCACACCTACTACAGGTATGATGGTCTACACAAATAAGTTTTAAGGTGCCGGAGAGATTTTTGGGCTGACACATCAATTTTTATGACACTGTTTGATATATATATCAATCAGTTTTCATCTTTGATTTGGGGATCAATTAATTATAATGAAATGTACTTTCTGATCCTGATTCATTATTCAGATAAAAAGCTACACTGCTACTCTGTGGAGTCTGAAACCACGACTTAAGGGCAGATGATAACTTCAAAGGACTTATTCCGTCAACTACAGCTTTCATTTATCTATTGATTATTTTATTTTAAGGGGTAACACTATAACAGTAAGTTTATCCACAGGTCTGCAATTCTGCAAGTAGCATAAAATCTTGCTCTGCCAACTTAAGGTTGAGCAGTCGATTGCTGATATTAGTTGAATTAGCTGCATCTGTATGCTGAGCTCATAGGTATTGGCTCAAACACAGAGTACTTCTGGGACATTCCTGTTTGACACAAAGTCAGTGTTACCTTTGGCCTTTCAGTGCGTCCGTTTACTACAGTTGCAGCAGCAGTAAACTTTAAAGCTCCTGTGTGGAATTTTTGGCTGGTTGTGAAACAGGCTAAAATTAAAACTGCTTGCTTTGTATGACCTGCAAGAGCGAACCAGATCATGAGGAGTGACTCTGGTTAATTGTGCTGTTGAAAAATGCCGTTAGGGGGAAGGTGTTAGCTGAACTGAATAACTGGATGCCAATGAGACAGCTTTTTCCCAGAATCATCATAGCAAATATTTATAATGAGAAATGTAGAGTGAGCGTATTTTATTTGAAAGCGCTGCTCTTACAAATCCAGGACAAAGACAGAGTCAATAGTCAATAAGACACTCCAGACACAGGGGGTGCCAAATTTACCATCAACCAAATGTTTCTCACAGGACAAAGCACTGATGCTGACTGTCTTAATATGAATGTACTTGTTTATTGTAGGGTTTTCTCTGTGTACATACCAGAATATTAGAATTGATTCATTTGGTGTTGCCTATACTTTAATATTATTGTTAAATATCCAACCTTTTACAAAACTGTCTGGAAAACACATTTAATATTTGACTGATTCAAGCTAACAATAATTAACTAGACATATTTTAAGGTTTCTTTTTTATTTAAGTCTTTATAATCTGGCACGTTTTTTTTTCTTTTTACCCTTGAATCAATCATTTCCAATCTTAGTGTTCCTGTAATGTTGATATTTTTTCTACATTTGGATAATGTTCAATAAATAGTTTTTGCTAATATGTTGATAGTTAGTACTTTAATTAAATTCAACTGTACATTTTTTGCAACTATTGCTACTGCAGTTCCTGTCCATAGCATGTTTCATGACAATCACGTCTGAGTTTTGTTTCGTCTTTACTTTTTTAGTCCATGAACTTCGACCTGGAGATATCAAAGTGGTGGCTGCTGTGGGAGACTCTCTGACAGTAAGTGGATCCGTTCTATTGATAAATATAGACGGATTGAAACAACGGAAAAAGAGAAATCAATAAAATACTGATATACTTTGTCTAAGATGACTTTTAAATAACTATTTCTAAATAAACAAATCAACAAATAAATAAAGATACAGACAGACAGATAAAAACAGACTTGATGGATTAATAGCTGTATGTTTTTAATTGATCAACTAATTAATTGGTTTATTCAGAGCTTAATCTTCGATTTAAATCAATATAGGAAAGAGATCTCAAAGCTATGCTGGATGTTCAGAACATATATTTACATCAACAAACTATTACTGGAAAAAAACTATGACAACATATTTTTTTAATTTTGATAGTATGCTGCAAAATCTTGATTTGTCCTGTCATCATGTTTTCAAACTTGACCCTGTTCTGTACTTTAGGCAGGCAATGGTATACCATCCAGCCCCAACAACATCCTGGATGTCCTGCAGCAGTACAGAGGATTGTCCTGGAGGTCAGTCAACACTTTTTGTCATAGCTATCAGACAACATTGCAGAAAGTGATCATATTTTAGGTGAAAAGACATTTCATTTGCACATCAACCATCTTTTTTTTTTCAGCATTGGTGGAGATGGAAACCTCACAAGTGTTACCACCCTCCCCAGTGAGTGTTTTGATGACAGATTAAAAGTATCTTTTTTGATCGATCAGGGCAAGTCAACTACACTGAAAACTATATTTATCATCTCTTACTGACAGATATCTTGAAGTATTTCAACCACAACCTGACGGGTTACTCTCTTGGGAAGGGTAGGCAGCAAACTCCTCAGGCTTTCCTCAACCAGGCGGTGGCTGGAGCTAAGAGCAAGTGAGTCCAAACAGATAATGTTTTATAGCTACATACATATACATATACATATATACATATATACATACATATACATATCCAAATGTGTTGTGAATAATTTGAGGAACATTGTTTCCATTTATGTGTTTTTAGGGACCTACTCCCACAGGTGAAAGCCTTGGTAGCAAGGATGAAAAATGACTCTGTAAGTCTAAATATTAAACCCTTTCTGAATTTATTTAAAAGGTAACATTTAGGTTAGAAAGTAAAACTCCTTTAATAATTCTACATACTCTTTATGATAAGTTGTGTTCTTCTCTTTGTGCAGAGAATCAATTTTGAGTCAGACTGGAAGGTGATCACCTTGTTTATAGGTGGAAATGACGTCTGTGATCATTGCGACAATTCTGTAAGTACGAATATGAAAGAATAATGTAGAAGTCATCATTCACAGGCATGGTAAAACTAACCTGGGATTGTTCTCCTTTCTCTGCAGCTCCTCTTCTCTGTTGACAATTATGTTCGTAATGTTCGTGTCAGCTTGGATTATCTACATAAACAGGTTGAATACACAAGCATGCTGCGACACTCTCACATACATACTGTTCTTTATTTTTGTGTTTGATTTATCTGAGTCTCTCTCTTAGGTTCCTCGGGCTCTGGTGAACTTGATAGAGCCTCTCCATATTGTCCCGCTGAGAGAAATGCATCTGGATCCTTCAATTAAATGTCCAACTTGGCTTGTAAAGTGAGTATCTTTTCCAAGCCTTTTAAACTGTAAGACCAGACATTAAAAACAGTTATCACTGCAGTGAAATTCAACATAGCTGTCTCTGGTTATCCAATTTATAATAAGCAGTGAAAAAAGTGTTTTTATTAATCTCTCCTTTACTTGACAGTATTCTGTGTCCCTGTGTTATCATGCCAAAAGAAAACTCCAAAGCTCTTCAGCTAGTAGAGGACCTGAACAGAGGCTATCAGGTAAGAAATACAAAAAAAAAACAAAAAAAAACAAAAAACAAAAAATAAGAACAGTAAATCCTCAGGTATATATATCCTCATTTTCTTTGTTTTAGCAATCACTGCATGGGCTCATTGAATCAGGCCGCTACGACACAAGTTCAGACTTCACTGTGGTCATCCAGCCTTTCTTCAGAGAGGTCATTGTTCCCAAACTACCGGTCAGTTACTAACTTTTGCCCTTCATTCAATTTCCCATCTGGGTAATAAATAAAGTTCTTCTTATCTTAGACACTCTGTGTGACTTCATACCAGACTGATGACAGTACCTTGTCCCATTATATAGTGTTTTATAGTATGTAGAATGCAATGTATATTTGGTACTCTGTTTTTTGTCACTACTTTCTCAAAGCCGTTGGGATAACACAGCTCCTACTAGGCAATCTGAATTTATTGAATTGTTAATACAAGAGTGATTTGCATAGGCAAAACTACTCCCATTCTGCAAGCGACTCTGTTTACTTCCACACCATTGTGGTTTTTGCTCTCTCTGCTAATAGAGTCAAGATGTAAAAGGTTAGAGCCCAACATGTCAACTGCTCTGTTGTTGTCTGCAAACAACAGAGGACCAAATACAAAAAGCAGCTTCTTTTAATTTTTAACAACAACCTGTGGGCTACATCTAGGGGGCCAATTTGTTTGTTTGTGCTAACCACCTTACTTTGGCCTGTTCCAACAATGACATGGGTCACACACAAAAAGCAAGAAAGTTGGAGTAAGTAACACTCAATTTAATGTCCAGCTCACTCTATTGTAATCTGTTCAGGTCAGATTCTGGATCATTTGTGTAATAAAGAAGCACAGGTTCTCCTGGTGCACTTGCCATGTTTATTTAGGTGTTTTTCCACCTCTGCATCTGCCAGGCAGATGATCAGCATAGAGCCTCATTATCATGGTATTCTCATCTCCTCAGATCTCTGCATGGTTAATGAGGTTAGGCTGCAGATCCATCACAGAGGCTGAATTAAACTGAATTCAAAAAGACAACTAGGACATGTTCAAAGCTAAAAATACCATTTTATGGGACCTAAAAATAATTGCCTATTGAATTTGTTGAACTTATGTAGAGTTCACTTGGGCTCTTTGTGAATATATATGCATATTTTGTTTTAGGTATGTGTAATTGTGATCAATATGGTTGTTTTGTTTGTGCTTAAGTTTTATATCTTCTGTATAATGTTTAATATATAAAAGTTGAATAAAAACTTCAATTACAAAAAAAAAAAAACTTACGTAGAGTTCAACACCATGTTTTACAGTTGCTTTCAAAAAAATAGTCAACATTTTCTGAGGCTCTTGTTTTTATCATACTTTTTTTTCACAGGATGGCCGTCCTGATCGCTCCTATTTCAGTGCTGACTGCTTCCATCTTAGCCAGAAAGCCCAGACACTAATGGCTCGCGCCCTGTGGAACAACATGGTAGGAGTTCATCTGTTTAGTTATTAGTTATTAGTTTGAGCCGAGTGTCATCACAGCGGCTCCCTGCCACTCTCCCGTCTAATGTGTGCAACGCTACTGCTCGAATGGTGGAATGTGTACGACACTGCGCAAGTGGTGGTTCCAGGAAGTGGAGAAAATCCCAAAAATACAGAAAGCGATTCGGCTTCAAATGCATATAATTACGGAAGGTGGATCTATAGTATATACAGTCTATGGCATCTATGAGTAGTAAACTCACACAACACAAAACAGCAGTAGGAAGTGAAATAAAAAACTGCCAGCTTAAATGTATTGTAAATGAATTCTTACAAGGAATTTTCTACAGGCATTGAATCACTCAGTTGGTAGTTAAATAGTTGCTAAGAAATTAATTTTAAAAAATTGCAAAACAGTGTTAATTACAAAGATAGTAGACTAGAGCTTTTGGAAAACCCATCAGCCAGTTTATGTCAGCATTCAGGAGCACTCAAACAGTAACTAAAAGTAGGTAAACTAATGAGTACAATCAAAAGATTAGTACAATCATGACCTATTTGCTCCAAGTGAACACCATTAAGGTAGCCTTTCTTATTACATAATTAAAAAAACGAATTTACAAAGCAAGCTGGTGTAACAGTTCTGTTTAACTCCAAGCATTGCTGTAGATTGTCACTCTCTAATGTCTGTTTTACAAATAATACTATCCGAGGACAAAAACCTGCTTTTTTATGGTTTTAATTTCATGTTTATTAAGGTAATTCATGTTTACAGTACTGAATGATACACTGGGGTCATGTTTACTCTGTTTCTCTCCAGCTGGAACCTCTGGGTAACAAGACTACCACACAGGATTTTTCGACAGATATTGACCTAAAATGCCCAACCAAGGTAAGAAATGGTGTCTAAACATGCCACAGATTCAGTCTTGTAAGGTCTTTGCCGCAAAACTCTGTGGTAGCTAACTTTTTATGTATGCTCATGCTTAGTGGCTAAATCTTTGAATGTATATGTTTTTATGTTTTTTGCCTATGTGTGTCCCTGACCTCCATCGTGTAGCATATTACTGTATTCTCCTTTGTCTGTAGACCTCCCCATACATAAGGACCTACAACAATAGCGAGTACTCATATACTGGTCCTCCACCAACACCTGGGCCTATCACTGTAAGCACATAAACCCCATCCAGGACTTTGTATAAAAAAAAGAAAAGGTTTTGACATTGTCAATATCGGTTCATGCTTCTTTTCCTTAGAACTGGGGAAGCGACTTTTCCTGCATGGACCTTTCTCCATCTGATGCTGTGCCCTCCTCAGGTAAAATGGACAGCCAGTTTAAGATTCAAGTTAGTTTTTTTTTATTGTATGGTGACCTAAGCTTATGAACAAACAGGATTTACAGGTTGGATAACAGTGCAGAGTGTACTGCACTGATAGATTACAATTGTCATAATGTTACTGACAAGATAATCTAAAGACGTTTTCAATGGACAGCAAATGTTCATAGATGTTGGCGTTCATCTTGATGCCAGCGGGAAAAACATCTTTTGTTGTTTATCTGTAGTTCACATGCTGAAACCAGCAGACATAAAGGTGGTGGCAGCACTGGGAGACTCAACAACGGTCAGTGTCTTAACCATTAAATACTTTTCAAAAACAGTGAGATGATTATTGTAAAGTCACTAATCTTTGACCAAACTGAAGCACTGAAATACAATAATTACAGTACAAATGAAGGAACAAATGTATTTGTAATGCAAAACATTGCATGTGTGAGTCCTGAAGTTAAAAATTGATCACATGATATTTGGCCTTAACGGTAAACCTGTTGGTATCAGCTGTTTGGTGTCATTGAACTATGAACTATCTAATCCATTTGCTATCAGCCAGATAACAAATTGCACCATCGATAATTGTTCCTTTCAAGTTATGCAGTATTGCCTTTGATGTAATATTTATCGTTATCACAAACCTGTTGTCTCCTGAAGCACTTTCATTTTGTTTCTTTTTGGCCTCTTTGTTCTCTTTCCACAGACAGGCTCAGGTGCCAAAGCTAAAACTGTGTTTGACCTCAAGACACAGTATAGAGGAGTATCATGGAGGTATGACATGCCTATAGCTTTAATGAGGTTTATTCACATCACTTTTTGCAGTCCAGGCTGATATGTACTGTTTTATCCTGCAGCATTGGAGGAGATGATGCTCTCGAGACCATTACAACACTACCAAGTGAGTGTGTTTGGCAAATTATAATTTCTATGACTCATTTTATCTTAGAGGAATAACAATCTCTCCAGTATAACTCTGAATTTGATTGGTTTGCTCTCTGCAGAGGGGCATTATTTTTAGTATTGGAGACCTCACAGCAATTTCTGACTTTTATATGGATTAGTTCTCAAACACTGGGGTTTAAACAAAACACTTGGGAATTACTTCAAAGACAGAAAAACAAATAACTTAAGGGAACCATATTCAGTCATTTCCAGATGCTGTTTTCTTGTAGGTCAAAATCAGTCCACCAAATTATGTCTTACCTGGCTTATTCAGCCAGTTAGACATAAAACACCTTAATTGAAACGACTACTGAAAGCTTAATTGAGAAATTTGTCATTTCTGTCAGTTTTGGTGCTCTCCTGTGGACAAATAATTCTTGTATTTCTTGCCCTCTACATGCTTAAATAGTGACTTTTGATCTTTTTTTTTCCATCCTGCTGACTTTTGACAGTGACAAATTTCATTTATTGAGTGATTTATGTGCAAATTGTTAAAACTGTTAGACTGACACCTACCCCTTCACACCTGTCTCAGGTAAAGAAATGGTCAATCTTGTTGCTGATAGTCTCATTTGCCTCAGGGATTCATGCATAGGCATCAGTATGAATTTCAGTGTATTTCATAAAAGTAAAAATAAAAACTCCTCAAGGAGCTTTAATTAAACCATTACTCTTTATTTTTATCAAGGTACAACACTGCTGTGACTACAGACATATCACTGTGAGCTTTTTTTATCATCGTTCCATTATATTGGTTTTTCTAACATGATTGGCACTGATAAATTTCTGACACCAAGACTTTAAAGTACACAGTGTGAAATTATACAGATATTTTTTCTTGCATGGCAGCAGGTGTGGCAGGACAAGAAACACTTCCTGCTACAGTGTGATAAAGAAGTGGTGTAATACTTTTTAGCTGCTTCTTAACCTCTATTTCCTCTTCCTGTCCACAGACATTTTAAAGAAGTTCAACCCCTCCCTGAAGGGCTTTTCTAAAGGCACTACCCAAAGACAGAGGGCCTTAAACATGGCTGTACCTGGAGCTAAAACCTCGTATGTGCATATTGTTTTTCCCTCTACAGCCAGGTAAAGCTTTCAAACAACCCCTTGTCATCTACATGTATTCCTGTTTGTTGTGTTACAGAGAAATCCCAGCACAAGTTCAAGCTCTTGTTAAGGCCATGAGAGAAAACAAGGTGACACTGAAACCCAGTTTGAAATAATTCATTGATTGAATTTACCTCATTCATGCTCATTTTTGGACACCTGGTCCACAGGAGGTGAACTTTGAAGAGGACTGGAAACTTGTGACCATATTTGTGGGAGGAAACGATCTCTGCAATTACTGCATTGATCAAGTAAGTTGATCCTATCTGTCATTCTTTTTAGTATACAAGTAACTCAATAGTCTGGGTCATAAAACCACAATAATAATAATATCCCATTTTTCATCTCTTCAGAATAATCTGTCACCTAAAAACTACAGCCACAATCTCATGCTCAGTTTGGACATGTTGTACAAAGAGGTAAGATATTGAACTCTTTCAATCACTGTCTTCTGCTCTTCTGGCGAGTGCATTCAGCCAGGCTTTTGTTTTCTCCCTCTGTTTCTATAGGTACCAAGGTTGCTAGTCAATGTTGTGGAGATCTTCCAGATAGATACACTGAAGACAGTGAAGAAAAACACACTCAGCTGTTCCCTCATGCAGAGGTTAGTTGCTGGTATTTTTTATTTTTTTAATTTATTTGTTAAAAAGGTGACATGGTTTTAAATATTACATTCCAAAAGGTACATCTTGCTTAATCTTTGTCCCTCTCAGTATGCTAAAGACCCTGCGGTGCCCCCAAAACCCTTAAAGATCACTTAAGCTTCTTCAGCTCATTATTTTTAATTTACAGCTTGTAACCTCAATATTTTGCTCTGACAAAAAGAGTTAGCAAACTAGTAGGAGAGTTGCAGCTGCAGAGATGGTCATTTAGCTCAGTAGTAGAAGAGGTATGTATGTTAGACCCTGTTTTGGTTGTGCTGCCCCCTAGAGTTCAAAACAAATTTGTAGTTTTAAAACTATATAAAAATTCACTACAGGTACAGTATATGTCAATTTTAAAGCACTTATCTGCATCCAGATTTTATGAAAACATTTAAAATAAATAAGCTTTCAGTGTTGGAAAGATCAATACCAAATTTATTCAATGGTTGCTTATATTGTTACTCCAAATCAAACATTTCAGAGCTAGTTTAACTTTATATCAACTTAAAGTTAATCAAACCTTTTTAGTGGAATGAAATGTTTCTGGAAAATTGGAGATGAACCCCACTGCATTACACATCAATCTATTTTCAGTCTAATTGTCATGAAAAATCATTGCACTTACTCTTCTTTGTTTTTATTATTATTAAATAAACTAACTGAAAAAATGCTGTTTGGTTACAGGACCAGCTGCCACTGTGTCATCAACCCGGATGAAAACTCCCCAGAAATTGAAGTTATAAAACGCATTAATCATGAGTATCAGGTTAAGGATTTTACATTTTAATTCAGAAATATTGTTAAAATGTGGTCCTCTCTATCAGTTTTTAAACTTTTTTTTTTTGCCTCCCAGGTTGAGGTCCAGCAGCTCATCTCTGGAAATCGCTATGATGGAAAAGAAGACTTTGCTGTTGTCCTTCAACCCTTTTTACAAAATTCCTTCATCCCTCAAATTGGAGTAAGTGGAAATGCTTTCAAAAAGGCATCCTGAAATTAAAACAAAGGCATGGATTAAAAAAAAGTTTCCATTCTTTAACAGGAGGGGGAGGCCGACACCAGTTTCTTCTCTGTGGACTGTTTCCACATCAGTGAACGAGCTCATGCTGAGATGGCCATTGCTCTGTGGAATAACATGGTGAGTGTAAAAGAGTAATACATCTAATTAAAGCTCTACAATACAGTGTGTCTGAGTGTGTTTAAGCTTAACACAATGTATCTTTTGGTGTTGACAGTTGGAGCCTGTGGGCAGAAAGCAGGCGTATAACAACTTCACATATGACCGCTCCAAGATTCACTGTCCCACTGAGGCATGTGAAATCAATGATAAACTACGATATAGTCTTTTAACTTCAAAAAACAGCAGTTAAAGTTTGACTAGAACTTCTAAATTTTGTAAACATCTGTTGTTGTTTTTTTTATTCCTGCAGGTCAATCCCTTCATCTTCACTAAAGTTAACAGTTTACCAGGTCTACCAGTGACCACCACCACTGCCAGCTCTATGACAACCACCACTACTGCCAGCTCTATGACAACCAGCACTGTGCCTGTGTGCCCTCCCTCATTGCCTGTGTGGGTTCCAGTGGTTGTCGGGATCCTTGGTTCACTTGCTGGCATATTTGTGGCTTGGCTCATTCTATCCAGATGTCACAATCGAAAAAACAAAAAGGAAAAAGCAGTAGAAATGAAAGGAACTGGTTTCTAATGAATGTGTGTCAGTGGAGTCATATTTCTCATCAATGGGATAAATAGCTCAGCTTTTTTTTAAGCCTGTCTTCTCTCCTTGGTCTCTCTGTTTAGCTAAATGTCAGAAATTGCTGCTTTGCTCACAGTTGTGGAATATCAACCTCTTCTGAAGTGTTGGAGCAGCTGTTCACCATTTTAATTCAGGTTTGTCAGTGAAACTTCATGAGACAAAATTCTTGACATTTTAAGCACAATAAACTGGAGGCTGCTCAGAGCTGCAGAGGTGTACGATCTCAGTGGGAGTGGCAGTACTGGTGAAATGTTCACAATACAGAGGTATAGTTGGTATCAACAGTTCTACAAAATGCACTCCAACTATGTCAAATATGTCTAATTGATTTTGTTACTTCACAAATGTAAAATATCCTCTATGTACATGACTTTCCTAGCTGAATCAATATTTTTTACATTTATCTAAACTTGTTTTTATTTATTGAGAAAATAAAATTGATTCAAATTTAAAGCCATGGTTCAGTCTTGTTACTTTATATAGCCCCTGCTCTCTGGTTTACGCAACTAAAGTAAACTCTACATTAACGTTAGAGTTCAGAAATACACACAAGTTGCCAGTAAACATATCAAACTTGCATTATTACTTTACATGGTGGTTGCAAATCAAAAATCCTGTGAGGAACTTCTGGTTCGTGTTCAACTTCGGGCCCTCTGTGGATGCCTGAGTTGTTTTCTGACTCTGATTATTATCCTGCATTCTCTAACCTAACACTCTTTAAGAATCCACGATGCAGAAAATGCAGAGATGATGATTTTGCTGCATGCAGTTGATCTCATTGTTAAACATTACCATGTGGAAGAGGTGTTATGCATTGAAAATAACTATATACTAGTAAAGTCAGTCTGTATACTGGTGGTCACGAGTGCTATGCTTTGTTGGATCAGAAGGAGGTGCCAGCATTCAGGTCAGTCTGTTTAATAACCATTTATAAACTCCTCACAGACTCTTTAATGATAGTGTAGTCTGCCATTTGATAAATGTATCATTTATCATTTATCATTTAAAGACTTATCACTCGCCAACCACAAACATCCATCAATCTACACCATCTTCATATTTGAAGTCCATCTGGTCTGTATCCCTCAAAACTGGAAGACTCCAAAAAATGTTTCAATCATTTGACAAAGCAAGAAAAGTCTCTTGATTTAAGTGATGCTAGATGTAGGTTTCTAACTTAACTTAACTTAGCTTTGTTAAACCACTGCAGAAAGCAGAGCTTAGTGTGCAGGCTTGTCCCATACTGAGCCTTTCAGTCAACACTCAGGGTTAAATTCGCCAGCTTTCTTGCCTGTGTGAGTACCAGAAACATGGCGGAGAGCGAATTGAACGTTGACAGTCTCATCTCTCGATTGCTGGAAGGTAGGGCACTGTTTAGATTTTTGGTCCTACTGTGTCATTTTTCATGGAAAAGAGGGAGTAATATGCTTTAGGCTGTAACTAGTGACTTCTCTTTTTTGTTAAAAATCATTTATAACATTTTGTTCAGTCTCTATCGGTGTTCACCAGCCACCGGAACAGTGAGCTAACCGTTGCGTTGAAAGCGCTCTGTTCCCGAAGTACCACAGACGTTATTGTGACGCCGCAGTAGTCTGTAATGATATTTTCGCTAACGGTCGGTTGTACATTAACGCTTACTTGGGTACTGTGCTTATAAAGAGGCGTGTAACGTAAAAAAACGCTCATCGCTATCTGTCAGGGTGCTAACTATATCGCCCAGTTACTTTTTTCGATAACTTAACATTAAACATGCTAAACTAGCTGAAGAGAGGGGAGTGGACAGGTCAGTCCTTTCTTTATGAACACAGAATGTGAGGGAACCGTCGAATGTAGTGGTTGCTAAGTAACCTTAACTGTTCTGGTTGGTAGGGGTGATAAGTAGACAGCTAGCTGGTCGGCTACCGCGGCGGACACACCCCCTCACGTAGGACACCCCTAGCGCCTGTTTAACACAGCTAAAATGTATTGATCGTATTTTATCACATGTAACGTGATCATCCGGCGATATTGTGGTAATGCAATGCAGATTCCTAACAAAGAATAAAGTCACTAATTGAAAAGGTAAATTAAAGAATCAAAACAAAGGACGCTGATGGTAACATAAAGCCATATCTGCCATGCTCCTGCTGAAAATTGAACCAATTTAAATGAATAAGAACTGTATTTATATAATAAGGGTTTTTATATTAGTAAGAGTTTAAATAAAAAAAACAAACAAACAAAAAAACAGCGTACCTATCTCAATACTTTCATATGTAAATGTCAGCATTAAAGGAAAGCAACAACCCCAGTTACAAAAGAGTAAGGGGAGAAATTGATTTAAATGTTACGTAAAGCACTTTTGAGTCAAGAGATCTCTGTACAAAAGAGACAAAATCATTTACTGATAATGGATAACCTTGATCCGGCCCTTAAGCTGCACTGCCTTAATTCAAGCATAACTCTTACTACATGGTCTGAAAATCACACCCAGAAACCATGATCTATATGAACCCAATTTGTTGTCGCATCCACCAATACAGGTCAAAACTGTACATTGCAAAGAGCAAACCATATGTTTACATGATCTAAAAATGCTGACAACTTCTTCATCTGTATCAATTTTTTTTTTTTTTTCTTTCAATCATTGACTTTGTACTTTACATCTGAAGAGGAGCGAGGCCACTTGGATCATTATCAGCATACAGTTCAAAAGCCAGCACCCCTGATAGTATGGGGATTTTGCATGTACTACAACAGCATGGCTCAGCGATGGCTGGGTTTGGGTGCGGAGCTGGCCTTCCTGCTGTTACCTATTAATACATTTGGTGCTCACAACATGGCAATACACTAGAGGAGACCCTGAACTGCTGAGCAGCTGAAATCCTATGTCAGACATAATGGGGCTACATCGTACTTAAAAACTCTTGAAACCAGTCTCCTTGGTTTACCAATAATGTTAGCTTGTAATGCAAATTAACCAGTGGTAGACATGCCCACCTTTTATGCAACTCTAAAACTAGATTGTTTTTGTCTTACTTAGACTACACTGTCTCTAAACACCACATGCTGTTCATTCCTGCACTACTTACTTATTCACAACTTCTTTTTGCTTGTAGCAAACAGTATTTCTCGGCTGAACTAAAGCATATGCCTTGCCAGAACAGTACTAATTTGGCCTTTGTTAAGTGAACGTACTCACTTAGTCCATGGACTTTCATCTTTGTTATTTCCATGTCTAGTGCCAGAATATTTACTCATTCTTCTTTAATGATCAGTTTGCATTGTTTCTTGGTTGTTTTTATTTACAGTGCGAGGATGTCGCCCAGGGAAGGTGGTACAGATGTCAGAGGCTGAGGTTCGGGGCCTCTGCATCAAGTCCAGAGAAATCTTCCTCAGTCAGCCGATTCTGCTGGAGCTGGAGGCTCCTCTAAAAATATGTGGTGAGAATAGCAACAAACAACAGAGCACCTTTTTTTAGTTTGACACTTTGCTGCCATATGTTATAAGAAAATACATAATGTTAATGGCAAAATGCAGCTCTTCATTATTGAGGCTAGAGGACATTCTTGAAGGTGATGTGCAGAACAAATGTTTCCACCCAATCATTCGGTTTGTTACTGTACTTTTTTCAACAAAGCAGATTTACAAATTTACACACTAAAATTCATTTATCACCACAACTTTAAGGATATCCTGCATTTCATCACCCTTACATTGTTAAATTACTCTGCGAAGGAGCGAAATATTGGGAAATAAGATGTACATACAATTCCAGGTGATATCCATGGACAGTACACAGATTTGCTGAGGCTATTCGAATATGGAGGCTTCCCTCCAGAGGCCAACTATCTGTTCCTGGGGGACTATGTAGACCGGGGGAAACAGTCGCTGGAAACCATCTGCTTGCTGCTCGCCTACAAGATCAAATACCCAGAAAACTTCTTCTTGCTAAGGGGGAACCATGAATGTGCCTCCATCAATCGCATTTATGGCTTCTATGATGAGTGTGAGTTGGAAAACAGCAGGAAATAGCCTTCTGCGTTTTTTAAATTGAGCCTGAGAGAGGCAAATGTTACAAAAATCTGTATCTTAAAGTTGTTCCTTGTCGTTCCCTTTTCCCCTCAGGCAAGCGCAGGTTCAACATTAAGCTCTGGAAGACTTTCACAGACTGTTTTAATTGTCTGCCTATTGCTGCAATTATTGATGAGAAGATTTTCTGCTGCCATGGAGGTTTGTAAGGCTTCACTGTTACAAAGCCCTAAGCTGACTAATGTGGATAATACAGCTGTTTCAGTGTAATTAACGCGCTCCAGCATGGATTTAAAATAGCTTGTTACATAACTTGAAATTACATACATTCATGGATAGGATTACATGAAGTGTAGAGAAATATAAAGGGTTTACTGGTGCGTAGTCTTGTATCCATGAGACTACAGCATTGTTGTACTTTTAGTTAAAATACAAGCTGGTGTTCTAAGCCTTAATGAGTACATCAGACGTAGCCAGGAAATGTCAAAGAAATATCCTCGAAAAGCAGTTAAGTACACAAAAGGCTGTCTGTACTCTAGGTTACCTTTTGAATACAATAATCTCATTTTTTCAGGGCTTTCACCTGACCTACAGTCCATGGAGCAGATTCGACGTATTATGAGACCAACTGATGTACCCGACACAGGTATAGTGCTTTATTACAACTCAGATATACTCAAATATGCTTCAATAATCAGTGTTTTATGTTATGTCATTTTTTCTAGTTTGTGCCTTTGTTAGCTTTTTTGAGTATTTAATACTTTTGATCAGACAGAGACTGCAAATAAGCCTGCCTTGTGTAATCTGGCTCAATAACATTACACCTACTTAAAGGGATATTCTGGCATAAAATTAAGTTTGGGTCAAACACACCAAAACACTGAGGTAGACACCCCCGAGAGAGACAAATGTTGCTGACTGTTTGCTTCTCTAGTTATGCCAATATCAGCAACGACCACACAATAGCAATACACAGTGGTCTATGGCTCCACATGCAAACCTCAACCAAAACGCCACTCTATAGCCACAAATAATGCTCAGAACAGCACCTAACTTCATCAACAGTACATATAGGGTCCCAGCCATAGTACTAGCAATCAAACATATTTTTAGCTTTGCCCGGTTTCTTTAACGAAGAGACCAAACACAACTCACCCACTCTCTTCCAGCAGCCGCTTGCTTGTGGGGGAGCCCTGACAAGTCGATCGCCGAGTGCAGCGGAGTTTCGCAGCTTAAGGAAGAACATTTATACAACATTTATAATCATGACTTCATGGAAATGCAATCAGACTGAGATGCTAAGGCAGAAGAACTACCAGTGCAAAATGATTATTATGATGATTATTACGTAATGGAAATGATCCGCTGCACTCGGTGATCAACTTATCAGGGCTTCTCCACAAACAAGCAGCTGCTGGTTGAGAGTAGGTGAGTTGTGTTTGGTCTCTATGCTAAAGAAACCAGGCAAAGCTAAAAAGATGTTTGATGGTTAGTACTATGGCTGGGACCCTATATGTACTGTTGATGAAGTTAGGTGCTGTTCTGAGCCTTATTTGTGGCTATAGAGTGGCTTTTTGGTTGAGGTTTGTACGTGGAGACGTAGACCGCTGTGTATTGCTATCGTGTGGTCGTTACTGAAGTTGGTAAAACTAGAGAAGCAAGCAGTCAGCAACATTCATCTCTGGAGGGGGTGTCTAACTCAGTGTTACAGTGTGTTTGACCCTAACTTAATTTTATCCCTTTACCTGCTCAATCAAATCATTGCTATAATTTAAAAATGAAAATTATTTTGATGCTGCATTGAGTTCAGTTGTATAATTCCGTCTGTTACCTTCACGAGGGAGTAAAAAATTGAAAGAGAAACCTGGACAGACTGTCCTGAGAGAAACTGCAGCACTATTACCTGCGACGCTGTTGTGTAACAGGATGAAAAGGCCAGTTATGAGTACAACCATAACATGTGACTCACTGTACCTGCGTGAGTTTCTGACAGCTTCTTACTTATTTTGTGTCAGGCCTCCTGTGTGACCTGCTGTGGTCAGACCCAGACAAAGACGTGCAGGGCTGGGGGGAGAACGATCGTGGGGTTTCCTTCACCTTTGGGGCTGATGTAGTCAGCAAGTTTCTCAACCGCCACGACCTGGACCTCATCTGCCGAGCACATCAGGTAACACTTAAGACTACTAAATCCAAAATATTAAAACAGGGATTAAGAAATGGGTTTAGTCAAGGCAATTAAAGGGGCAGGTTTATTTCACAAATCCAAAGGACTGTGCAGGTTATGTTAAAAATATTACAGTACATTTGAGCATTTATGGAAATAGATACAAGCAATATTTCTAAATTCAAGTGAGATAGGACTCCCTTTTTAGAATAAAGTCTTTGGGCCTGATTTCTTATTAACTCAAAGGTTAAGTTAGTGTTTCTTTGGAACAAAGAGTTCATCCTGCCAAAAACAAAGAAAAAGATCATCCACGTTAAGAAGCGAATTTTATTAGTTTTGTTAGATAGATCAAAGGTTTAAACAGTTAATAAGTTACCTGAGTTGGTGCCAGAAAACTTAAATATCCACAGTCATTAGATCTTGTCAGTTTTTCTCTTATGTTTCAGGTTGTTGAAGACGGCTATGAGTTCTTTGCCAAACGACAGCTGGTGACGCTGTTCTCAGCCCCAAACTACTGCGGAGAGTTCGACAACGCAGGTGGTATGATGAGTGTGGACGAGTCCCTAATGTGCTCCTTTCAGGTAGAAAACTCTGTGTTCCTTACATGAATTAATAATTAATATGTTTGTGAAGCATAAACTTATACAAGTGTTGTTCCTTTTAGATTCTGAAGCCATCAGAAAAAAAAGCTAAGTACCAGTACGGAGGGGTTAATTCAGGTCGTCCAGTGACCCCGCCCCGTACCTCTCAGGCCCCCAAAAAGAGGTGAGCAGCTGGTCCTGACTCTCCTCTCCCCCCCTCGGCGGGTCTCTGTGGCCCATGTCTCTGCAGGCTGCCTCAAACACTCCAGCCCCCTCTCGGTCAGCTTGTTCATGTGTAAACAGAAACTTCAGGAGTGTTTTTTGCTTGTTCTGTGGGTTTTTTAATGAACATGTGAGTGGTAATTTTTTCTCCATATTTTTCATGCCATGGTATGTACTAACTCAACCCTCACTTTTACTACTCTGTCCATTCAGCAATATTGAAATTAACCTCTTGTGGAATGGACGAGATATTAAGATAAGATGCTTCTCTGCTGTCAGATTAACAGTCTCCATCGTGGTTTTGTGAATGCATGCACGCTTGTAAATCCAGACGGGTTCTCTGGACCTGGCCGATGTAAAAAAAACAAAAAAAAACATAATTACTCCCAGACAAGAGTTATTTCTTGTCTTTCCTTGGTTCATATTAACCTAAATAGTGCCATTCGTCCCTTTGTATATTGGCTAAAGTAATGCTGTGCTAAAAGGAATACTTTGACATTTTAGTAAATATGCTTGTTTGCTTTCTTTTGACAACTTCACTGAGAAGATTTAGACAGCTCTTTGCAGTCAAATATAAAGCTACCACTTGCTGCTGGCAAGCTTAACTTAGCACAAAGAAGCACAAAGAAATAACCTCAGCAGATCTCTTATGTACACTGTTATGTTATAAGCATTGAATAAGAGAGAGCTAACACGCCAGTAAGAGAGCTTAAAAAGGTGTGGTGGGGAACGTTAGTACATGCTGACAGAGCCAGATTACCTAGATTCTACTTGTTCCATATTAATGATGGTTGAAATGACCCCTGCTTCAGGCTGTAGCTTCATATTTAACAGACAATGTAGTCTGTCTTCTCATGTAACTCTTGACATTTTGTGAAAAATGCCTAAGCAGCTTTCTTGTCCCATTTTTTCATCAACAGTCGCCTAGAGGACACTGCTTTTACTTTCCCTGAGACGAAAGAATGTTTTCTCCCCTTGAAGGGATCACTATCCTGGGATTTTAATAATATAAGTGCAATAAATTGCTTAAAAACTTTTCATATGCACATCTGTGTAGGCAATAAATGCCTATATAAACTTTAAAAAAGGACAGCTAACATGCTGTACCTCAAATTAGGTGTTCACATATTATCGATGCTCTCCATTACGTAAGTGTTACAGTCTCGTTTTCACAATCAACCGCCAAGCCGCCAAACCCTTCTCATCCCTCATATCACTGAAGGAGTGCTTGCAGTATTAGAGGGGGTCATTTGACAAAAACAAGAGCCAGTGTTTAAGGAAATTTTACAAAAAGTGGAAAATGTGGGAATCAAAGACCAGAAAACTCAAGTAAGTTTGTCTGGTTTATGACAGTTGGTGTGTGTAGAAAGATTTGAAAGCTACTGATTGAGGAACTTGACAAAATCACTTGTCTGTTCTCTGAGTGTTCATATCTGTTCATCTGTACATTAAACATTGCTCCCATTTCTGGTCTGAATTCCACTGTACAGAGGTCAAACTCATCAAGTTCAGATGATGCCATTTTGTATGTTGTTGGCACACATTACATTGTTCCCACTAAAGAACATTTAACTGATGTGTTAATTTATTTTATTCTTGCCTTTTGCCTTGTTAATCTATTGGTCTTCAAGATGGAAATGTCATGGTGTTTCAAGGTTTGTATGAGTTTGTTTCAAATGAGTGAATTAAATGGAAGTGCTGTGGAGCCTGTTCTCTGTGTCTTTTTAATTGTTTTACTAGACATAATAAAGACATACAACATTTGGGAAGTTTACTTTATACAAGATCATTATGAAATAATCAGAGGAGTTCACTACAATCAGAAATAAATGAGTTCAAATTTTAAAAAGTACAAAATATGATATTTCAACGGTGTTGATTTTCATTTATAAACAGTCTGTGGTTGAACCTCTGAGCCATGTGGAGCCCTGAAGTGTGATCTTTGATGCAAACAGACCTCAATCTGACTTCAGGGCTTGCAGCACTGACTGTGGCACTCTGTTGACGTAGTACTCATGGTTGCGTAGTGTAGCAAGAACACCGGCAGAATTCATGTGCTTCACATCAGCGTTGTAGCGGTATGCATTGCCATGCATGTCAGTCAGTTTACCTGCATGAGATAAAGAGGAATAAATGACTCGAAAACAGTAGAAATGATGCTTACAAAGCCAATATCTGCAGACTGATGGTCCCAGTATCCTCTACACAGAAAAGAAGGTTTTTACCTCCAACAGTGTGAAGAATGGCTTCAGGAGCACAAGTGTCCCATTTCTTGCATCCTGGACTTGCGAAGACGTAAGCAGAAGCTTTTCCTTCAATAAGTTGAATTATCTGCGCAGAGAGACATAACTTGTCAACAAGTGTATGCGTGATGTAAAAGAAGAACAGCACAGAGGCAAGTTTGATACTTTCACTCTTCTGTGTATTGTAATTATAGACAGCAAGCTATGACTGGACTTCAAAGCTGGATAACTTCCATTGGCTTCTATGTGCAGTGGACTATATTTATGTATATATATATATTTGTTGTACCAACTTTCTCCAGCTCTATGATGTCACCTCTGCCAACCTCACTCAAACAGTTGATTTTTTAAATTTATTTTAGCAATTAATTTGAAAATACTACGCTGTTTCGATTTTATCTCCCACCCCGAGCATTTATGCTTTCAACTGGTCAAATCTGGTCTTAACTAACTGATTTAAGCCTCAAGAAGAACATGCTTCATGTCAGAAAACAGGGCCCTGCTTTACCAGCACACACTGAAGCTAAAGCAAGTTTGTGTGTTTGTGTTTGTGTGTGTTATCTCTAAATCTCTTAGTCTCACCTTGTTCCCTGCACCACCCACTCTTATGACTTCATGGGGCTCCATGGCATCCACACAGTCTGTTACGAGCTTGTTACTATGGGAACGAGTGGTGGTGACAATCTTTTTATCACCTGGGACTTCTTGCAGCTGAAATCCAAAGGCGCCCAATCCTATCATCCCCCACATGGTCCTCCCTAACTGTGCTCCTGCTCCGAGCTGATGGAAGAAACATTTTAATGGACCAGGAGGAGTAAGAAGCAGGTTGACTATTGTTTAGTCTGGTCTGTACCTGGTAGTTGTAGAAAGGTTGGTTGATGACTCCCGCTATAGCCCGGCCTTCATATGCGATTCCAATGAGCACCGTCACATTATCGAGCAGCCCTTAAAAACAGCAGGATGTGAACCATTACAAAATTTGTTAACTAATGCTTCTGATTTGGTGTGTGTAAAGTGATGCAAAAACATGCAGGGCGTAAAAAAGGAAGGAAGAAAGAGTATGTCATCAAGACTTTTTAGATCTAATGTTGCTTCCTTGTTGGTGCAGAATGAATGGGGTTAATTTTTTATTAAGTTTCCTGCACTTGGATTCCCGTACAGAGAGCTGTGCTTTGAACTTGAGAGGGGTCCAACCCTTTGCTCGGTATCTGGGCCTCAGTTTGGTGATGGAGACACTTTGATGCTGGAGTTGGTTAAGAAAGGAGAGGGAAACAGGTATACAGCAGAAAAGAGGACACAAGGACAGAAAGAGAGGGTCAAAGTAAGAGTGAAGTCCTGACAGTTTACAAGCCAGAAAGCAGTCCTTCAGTTATGTGCAGTGACTGAACTGTGGAAGAACTGGAAGAATTCAAAAGCAACAGTGGTCACATTTTGCACTGAGATGATGAATAAAAACTTCATCAAAATTTATTTTTCTCAAAATCATTTTTTTTTAAACTTTGGCTCCCATGACAGACCAATCATATCAGATCTGTTATAACTAGAGCTGGTTCACTCTGTCTTAGTCACATTATTCTTTGCTCAAGCTGAATGAGGATTGTTGTGGCACCAAAAAGTAACCGGACCATTAAACAGAACCAAATCAATGTAATTTTTAAGGCATTAGCAATTGTTTTTATACTGACACTGATCAATGCACCATAAGATTGGTACTAACACACCTGTTGTCAAAGTGGTAATTCTTCACCCTACCAGTTAAAGCTCCTGTGGAGAATTTTGATCCAGAAATGTAACAGACTGAAATTGATATTATGCCTCACTATGACTTACAATAGCAAACCAGACGGTCAAAGACAAGACAGAATTTTTCTATGTAGTTATTTGTAATGTCTAAAACCATTGATTGGGGATAAGTGACATTCACTCAATGCTTTTAAAGTTAAAATAACACAAGGTAACACAGAAAGATTTTTTTTATCACTGGAGCTTTTACAGATCAGATTATCATTAAAATAATTAACTTTGTTTTCCGAAACGCCCTGAAACTTTCAAAAATGTTCAGATGATTTCCACTTTAGTTGTGTTGGCAACCTTCATTGCATACCTATTGTGACTTTTGAAAGCCCCTGTGATGTTGTCATGTTGTTTTAGTGTTCACCAGAGAAATTGCTCACAGGCACCTAGACTGTAACATGATGAGATTTTATCCCTTTATAATGTAGTAACTTATTATTGTAGTAAAACTGGTTTAGTTTTAACTTTCAATTGTGTTTGGACAGATGGTACCCGTAGGTCATGTAACTGCTGTTGACTCAATAAAAAGCTCAAGAAGAAAAGATCAGTGTGCTGTGTTGCAACATGTTGCAAAATCATGATGTAGCAGCAGCTGACTGTTTCTTGAATGCTTTGAATAGAAGCAAGCAGAGTCTGTATTAATGAATTTATTGGTAACAGATTTCTCTACAGAAAAGGAAAAACTAACAATGCCTCAGCCCTTGCTCCACACTGAAGAAATCCATTTGTCACAGACTCACCTGCACACTTTGTGTAGCAGACGTTTTTTTTTTTTTTTTTTTCCCCAAAGAGGACCCTACCTTCAGTATATTCCTTTGTGCCGTCCAGGGGATCGACCCAAACAACTAGCTGAGATTCAGAGAAAAAGACTCAGAAAATGCGTTTTCACACTCAAATTATGATGCATTAATGGAAGTAGCTGTAGTAATTACCTCCTCCTCTTTCGCCCCACTGTACTCTGCTGGACATGTCCTCTGAAGGATTTCCTCTGAATGACCACTCTCAATCAGCTCTTCTTTGACCTCCTCAGCAGGAAGGTCCTGAAAATTATTGCACAGAATCACAAGACTGTAACTTTTTTTCTTTAATAGCGAGAGACACTTATCTTAATCTATAACACTCTGAGAAACAAACTTGATTCGCTCACCTCTTCTCCAATGATGGTAATTTTGGGGAAACGCCTGGAAAGTGATGCACAAATGCTCTGCTGTGCCAGTCTGTCAGCCAGTGTCTGCAGATCATTTGCTCCAGTCTATGCAGGGGAACAAGGAGGATCCAGAAACACAGAATAAGGTTAACACAGCCTGCAACAACATGCTTGATGCCTCCTTCACAGAGCAGTATATGTAGGGTAAAGTGGGGTAAGATGAGCCATTTTTCATATTTCTGATCACTACATCAAGGCAATCATAATTTTGTCTCTAACTAGTGTATCTGTATATATTTCAAGATGTTGTGCATCCCCAACAGAATGAGTGTAAACATAACTGTCTTGATAATAAAGCATGCCAAAAAAGTGGTGTCCTATGGTCAACTTACCCCATGCATTGGGTAAGGAGCGGGGTAAGTTGGGCCGTATCCCTACTACCCTCCCACTCTCCACCCAAGCCCTCCCTCACCTTCTCTCTCCCTAAATAACAGTCACTTCTTCATATTCATGTGTATCTTTATCTATCATATGCTATTCAACAGGTACAATAATTCTTTTTCTTTTATTAGTCCTCTAAGCTAAAATGGTGGACTTTTATGCTAGGTCTTTGAGCTGATGTTATAGCTCATAGATACCACAATTAATGTGTAACACAATTTTAAATGATCTGTTTTGGTCTGAACCATAGACTGTATATAGAATGGACGCCGTCTGCCTCCTCGTGGGGTGAAGCCACTCCGAGAACAGCGCCCTCTGTTAATGGGCTGCAGTATAGGTCATAAATCCCGCCTCCGCCAGCAAAGCTTATGGGGCTGTGGACCAACTTTAGAAATTTATTACACAGAACATACATTTTTCTCCCCCCTGGTTGTGATGTTGACATGTAGTTAATGTGAGACTGGTTTGTGCTCAAGTCCTCTTTTTTTCTGTGAAGCTCCGTTTTTAAAAGTTATTAAGGGGTTCATGTTTGCTATGATTGACACCTGATACAGTCTATGGGCGTTCAGGGATTGAGAAGCTCTCCCGGCGGATACCGAGCGTCATCACAGTGACACCCTGCGACTGCGCGGCCGAACGCGCACAACGCCACTGCACAGCGCAGGTTTCAGGAAATGAAGAAAAATCCCGAGAGCTTTTTGGCTTCAAATCCGTATACAGGCGGTAGGCGGAACCAGGTTGTCCATAGTATATACAGTCTATGGTCTGAACACAATGCTAATAAAACTTAGGACAGACTAAATTCTCTTTCAAGCGTAAAAATGTTTAAATAAATGTCTAACCCCTTCACCCATGTGCCTCTAACCTTCAGACTCCATGAACTGATGCCCATCTCCTAAATATTTGGTCACATTATCAATTTCTTTTACTATTTCCAAGCAACAGGGGGGTGGCTCAACTTACTCCACTCTCCCTTACATGCTATTTGATTTTTCCAACTGGTCTATATAGCTCTAGCTTTATAATTTCTCTGGATTTTTACCCACCTTTTCAACAATGCCGAGCTCTCCACTGTGAAGGACTTTCCTCACGATGGATCCAGCCTTTTCAGCCACAGAGTAGGCTGATGCCACCAGCCGCATCACCACAGCAGGGTTTCCAGACATTGCTAATGAAGATACAGACAGTTTAGTTGGGGTATAGACACATTCAAAACCATTACAAACAGTTTAATTTAAAACTTCAAGAACTGAAACTGAGGCTTATGGTCTGTGAATGTTTAACAACTGTTAGGAAGTTAATAGCAAGCTGGCAACAGTTTTCACCAAAGACCATCATGTTGGGTTAATATCTTGTTGGAGGATACTTACCAGAGCAAACGTAAGGACCGCAGACTAATCACTGGTTTTTTTGATGACTTAAATTTGGCAGATGGAGGAAGTGCAGACAGAACGTTCACTCACAGAGCTCCTCAAATCAAGTGTCGCGATCTTTACCTAATCAAAAGACGACGATGTAGCCGTTTGGCTAGCATGTAAGCTAGTAGCGTCTGCTGTATATATTGTTTAAAGCGTACAGACTCTAGCACCGGCTCACATAGGTATTCTAAATTATACCATGTCGTGTTAATAAAAGCAAGACTTGACAGTCTTTCAGTCCCAACTAAACACGGTGGTAATCAGGACGGTCGTTCGTGTATAGACGTGAAGCTATAAGGGAAGTGCATGACAGGGAATCATCACAAAAAGGATTCTTTGTGGAAAAAGTCCAAACACGGGTCCAAGCGCCCGCCGTGTTTAAAGAGGGCGATGCGGGGTCCCTCCAAAACCGGAGGATTTCTGTATCCCTCGTGCTTAAGCTGTTTTAAAAATAAAAATTAGGTAGGTGCTTCAAATGATTGTAAGCTCTCTGCTATTTTTCCACTACAAGATCAAGTGTTTGGTGTGTTTGTTTTTAGGGCCCAGCCAGCACACACCCTACAGTCTAAACTTGAAATTCAAACATATAGTTTCCTTGACTACAAGCATTGATATCTCCATGATGAGCACATTTTTACAACTTCAAATTCACTGCTCACTCCTTCTATTATTTGAAGAAAATCCCCTTGTAAATCTCTTGTACTTTACCAAAACATAAGATTGCAGGAGTGCAGGGATGATCCCTCTGAAAGACAACACTCAAAGGATTCATATTTTGGTCTGGGCAGCTTTCCTCACTCAAGCCGAAGAGTAATTTTTTTCATCAAGAGAGTTCTCAAACAAATTTTCAATTTCAAATCAAAAAGAATATTTGAAATAAAAAATAGACTTGTCAAATCAATGTGCACTCTATTACACCTAGTCTATCAAAGCCTGGTAATAATATGTGAAATCACAGTGAGGACAAACACAACACTGCTTGATCCTTCATAATTCTTAAATTAACACTTGAGAGCAACTGTTTCGGTAAACAGTGAAGTTTATTTAGAGAAGCTAACTTGCTTAGTGTTACAGTATCAACTTTGTAAACTCCATTTTTTTATCACTAAATACTATTTTTACACAAAACTCAGTATTAGCACAGAAATAAAGGGTGAAGAATGAAGGGTAATGTGGTAGATTTCAACTTTATCATCATCAATCATGAAACTGTAAGGCATCATTATATGCTGATTAATCAAGTGTTGAGAAATATTCCCTTTTGGTGACCATAAATGAAGGATGTCAATGAAAAGAAAGTTTAAAAAGAAAATAAAAATTAGTCAAATGAGATGAACTGAATTCGTGTACAGAAAAATGACCTAAAATCATTGATCTGCATCCCTGATCTTTCCTGGATAAAAACAGTGTCTTTGAAAAGATGAAACGCTCTGATTTTTGGCATAAATATGTAAGTCAGACACCCTTCATCTGTTAGCCAGAGGTCTGTAGCCCATCTCCCCCTCCAGCTGCTCTGCAGTGAGAGTACCCAGCAGAGGCTGACAGTCCGGGTTGAAGACAGAATATGCACTCAGTTCTCCTGGTTCACGGGCAGCTGGGCTCCGGAGTCCTTCATAGAGCCAGTAGAAAAGAGAGATGACAAAGAAAGGCAGGCCAAACTCCAGTTCAACAAACAGACCCAACAGTACCAGCCACAGCAGCACTTTGAGCAGCAAAACGTTTGATATGACCAACTGCCTAGAAGTCAGCCACCTTCCTAGAGCACTGTCCAGCAGCCAGTCAGCAATGTCCTGTAGGTAGACATGATGGACAAATGTAAGGTTAATGAGTAAAACTACAAATAACTAGAAAAAGTCTCATTTTGATGTTTAGGGCACACTATTAGATCCTGATTGGTTCTTTAATAAAGGTGCCCTACAGCTGCTGTACCATGAGACAGTTCGCCCCACATTAAATATATTTTTTGATAACACAAAGAAGTTTTAGAGGTGGGGTCAGGAATATATATTCTTAGTAAATCAATAGGTTTTTGGTCAAACATTACGATTATTTCATTTTTGTTGAATAATAGCTTTGGTGCATATTTACACTCTGGGTGAAGAAGTACTAAGCAGAACTTATACGACTGCTGGTACAAGTCTGTATTTAAAATGTACCTTATTTGATTATAAATTACATTTAAAAAACTAGATTCAACAAAACAAACTAATGATCACTCTTGGTTCTTTGTGATGGTCAGTTTTCCTGTTTTCAAATGATAAAGCAATAAAAATGAAAAGATAAGTACATTTTTAATGTGTTTTATCTTTAGCTGCATTTTAAACTCTCCTTTTACCCCTTAAGTATGTGTTTCACCCTCTGTTTAAATAGTTGTGACACAACAAAATAAGAATGAGGTTTGTTGACACATAGAAGAAAATTATCCTGGTGTTTTAATGTCAACATATTAAGCAAGATATTTCAATCAAAAATTTTCTTTATGGGGCAGTCAATCAAAGCCTTGTTTTTGGCCTCTAATAGCAGCCAAAGCCTTTCTGCACAGTCAGCCATGACTTCACCTGGTACAGGTGCAGTCAAACTCACCGCTTATATTAATGCTTCTGGTTATATTGAACTTATCAGTTTGGGAAAATGTGCTTATACGCGATTTGGGGAAATATGCGTCATGCTGATCATAAAATCAAAATGGTGTAATAGCTATTTGTTAAGAAAGCATTTAGTTGGTTAATCGATTCATCAGATGCCTCACCTTCTTTGAGGAGCTCTGAGCTGGCTCTCTGTTTTCTGTCTTCTCCTTTGGACTGTCAGCTGATGTTGTTTCGGTCTGAGCAGATCCTTCCATAGCTTTCCTGTCTGCAGACAGAGGTACAGTTCTCTCCTCCTTTCTGGCTGCCTGTCGTCTGGCTCTGAACTCTGCGAGCTTCTGCTCCATCAATGCTCCAAACTCGTTTCTCTACAGTCCCTTTACAAGGGGTACGTGGCAAAACAGAGCTGCTGGTACAACTACCTCAGAACTTACTGGTGAGAGCTTTGCTTTAGTCAGCCTTTACACGATATACAACAGATTTGTATGAGATTTCAGTAGCCTTCACTTGCAGTTTGACTACATTTTGATAAGTATGACCAGCTGAACACAGCGTCTGTTTACCTTTTACATCCACGTAAGTTGGGACGTGCTGCCGTACAACGCCTCCAACTGTCGTAAAAAGAGGAGCCGTTTTCTGGCAAATTTTCACGGGTCTGCCAGTGTTGCTCGGTTGTTTCGTTGCTGGTGAGTTCTCAAGCCTTTCCGCTTCATTTTTTGTGTTACATACTTTTGTAGTTTTACAGCTGTTGCTATTGGTATCCTATCGTTCGTCTTGAGTCTCAAGGGAAACGCCCGTAAGTGGCAGTTTTACGTCTTCGATCGAGTCGATGGTTACAGGAACCAAAATTTTGTCTTTACGTCCAGTTGAACAAAGCCTAGATTATTTTTTATGTTGGCATTTCAGTGTGCTACAAGATTATGTTATTTAGTCTAACCACAAAATTAGGGTGAGTTTTAAACGATAAAAACATTATCTGACAGTTACTTATTGTCCTACAATCAGGCTATCTTTCAACGTCTTCCTCTGACATCGATGCAAATACCATAATAATGAGAAATCAGTCAGTGCCGTATAATACTTACCTATTATACTTATGATATGTTTCGGTTTGTCACACACTGTTGTTTTTTGCTTGATAAATTGGTCAACCGAACAAGAGGGGATTCTAACAAAAAATTTACCTGCTAAACACATCCTCGATTAATCGACGAATCGTTGAACACAAAATCAAGTTTTGAGTAAAACATTGCGGCTGAAATTTTTTTTTCTAGACAGTAGTCTATAAAAAACAAGACAAATATTGTCTGAAGTATCTCTAGGACAGTGAAATTCTGTGTTTCTAACGAATTAAAGAAAAGCCACAAATATATCACAATAAAAGAGAAGAAAGTAGTTCATGTTTGTGGTTTAGGATCACTGAAATGAATGCGAAAATGCTCTAATTTTATCATCTCCTGGAAATCTCTGAGTAAATCTGTTCTTTGCAGACATGGCCTCAGCTCCAGCACAGCAGCCCACCCTCACTGTTGAGCAGACCAGGGGTGAGTTATTTTAAAGTTCCTCACAAGTCATACACAGCTCAGAACAGAAGAGGCAACCCCAACATTTTTATAAAACCAGGAACACCACACTCTGCTTCAGTAATCACCTGACAAGAAGAAAACCTTCCCCCTGTTATCTCAGACAGTTATCACTTTGTGTAAATAAAAAACCTAAATGACAAAATCACACTTTAAAGGTATGAGAAATCTTGTACACAATAGCAATGTTCCTTTCATATTTGTCACTGAATTTCTTTCATCTACTTCATTAAAAAAGGTTGAAATTATTAAAAAAAAAACTCTTTTAGTCTTTAATACTGCACTTTAATCATTGTTGCTGAACTCGTGTTAAACCCTGTCTGAAAAAAAAATCTACTCACTTTGTTTGCCTTCATTCATGTTGTACAGAATAACTTTATATTCTTTGTTCTCATTACAGTGGTGCTGAGTGAGGTGATCCAGGCCTTCTCAGTCCCAGAAAATGCTGCGAGGATGGAGGAGGCTCGAGAAAGTGCCTGTAATGACATGGGAAAGATGCTGCAACTCGTTCTCCCTGTGGCCACCCAGATTCAACAAGAGGTCATCAAAGCATATGGCTTCAACAATGAAGGAGAGGGTAATCATAACACCACATCGTATAACTCTCGAGTCATCTCTGGACTTATTCTCTGTTATGTTTCATCTATAGTGTGAAGTGTTGTCAACTTACCATTTCTCTCATATTGATTATGACAATGCTTAACCTTCAGGTGTCCTAAAATTTGCCCGATTGGTGAAGATGTACGAAACCCAGGACCCTGAAATTGCAGCCATGTCAGTCAAACTGAAGTCTCTCCTCCTGCCGCCGCTGTCAACACCACCTATAGGAGGCGCCATTCCAGCTTCGTAGGAATCATTTACCCTTAACTCATCGCTCAACTGCAAAGTTACTTTCATGTCATGATTTTGGGATCAATGTTAACAACCTGTTATTTCTGTTTTCTTTGTCATCTGGGTTTTTTTTTTTTTTTTTGAGGAAATAATGGTAGAATAAAAAAACACTAATGTGTTCCATCAAAGATAAAAATATAACCAGTCTTAATCATGGTTTTATTTAAAGCATGCTTTCAATACTTGTTAAATTATTGCTTTTTGTATGTTGAAGTATTTATTTGTTACACTTGGACCATTTGCTATGTAATTGAACCATTAACATTTCCTTTAATGCCATCTTTTATTTTTACTGAACCATTTTATATGCTGTCAAATGTATGAAATGTTGGTCTTTTGTTATATATTAAAAGTTTATTCTGTGAATTGGTGAATGTAGTGTTATTCTAGAAAAGAAGACAGTCACTTGCATATACATCACTTTATTATTGCAATAAGGCTTTGGCAACAACATACTCATATGTTCACCTTGTTTTTAAAAATATGGAAGCACTTACATGTACAAATATACATTTATTTACAGCAATTTTTTTTTACCAGACAAGCGCTGCAACATGTTACATTAAAAGATCCTAAGTGCAATGAAATTCTGGGATCACAGCTCTCCTCCAGTCCTTTGTAAGGTCAGACATAGGTTATGGTGCATGCAGACATCATTGTAGGTGAGGTTATAAGTAAAAATAACTAAAGAAAACTGAAACTTTAAAGTGCCCCAAATTCTGAAATACTTTTCTGGAAAAAAGTGCTCCTTGTTTTTTTAAAAAAAAGGCAAAACTAGTGCACCCAGCACCTTTTAAAAAAAGCTTAAGTAACCCTTGAATCCCAACTTGTGCTGATTCCTCTTGTGACTTGTACCTTGTAACCCTAAAAATGTTTGGATCTGAACAGATGGTGTGTTGAAAAAAGAAAAAGTACCTCAAGATGAAGTTTCGTCCATCTGGGTGTCAGGAAACAACTCAATTTGTTCTGCTCATACATAAAATCATGTTATAAAATCTAATATTGCTTACATTTTAAATCCTGACAGAGTTTATTGTATGCACAGCTCCCTCTTGTGGTGAACACTGAGTCTGTCCTTCAGTCACAGCAAACAGAATGGAGGGGAAGACATCACATCTCGAAGTGGCGGAAAATGCTTTCGACATAACCCAGAACTTTCTGCCAGTCTGGCCCGTCTGACTTCAGCATCTCCTCTACAGTCTGATACACAGTCAACATGAAGAGGTAGCATTAGAATCATATTTATAAAGCAAAGTAGATTTAAAGGGATATTCCGGCATAAAATTAAGTTATGGTCAAACACATCAAAACACCAAGTTAGACACCCCCCCCGAGAGATGATTCTTGCCAACTGCTTGCATCTCTAGGTATACCAACTTCGCCAACGACCGCACAATAGCAATACACAGCGGTCTACATCTCCATGCGTAAAGCTTAACCAAAAAAACACTCTATAGCCACAAATAATGCTCAGAACAGCACCTAACTTCGTCAACAGTCAAAGTACTAGCCATCAAACATCTTTTTAGCTTTGCCTGGTTTCTTTAGGAAAGACACCAAACACTACTCACCCACTCTCCTCCAGCAGCTGCTTGTTTGTGGGGGAGCCCTGACAAGTTGGTCACAGAGTGCAGCAGAGTTTCGTAGCCCAAGGAAGAACATTTGTGAATATTACTTCATGGAAATGCAATTAGAGTGAGATGCTAAGGCAGAAGAACTACTGCGTCTGCAGTGCAAAATGATTGTTATGATGATTATTACTTCATGGAAATGATATGCTGCACTCGGTGATCAACTCTTCAGGGCTCTCTCACGAACAAGCAGTTATTGGAGGAGAGTGGGTGAGTTTGTGTGTCTCTCGAGGGGGTGTCTAACTCGATGTTATGGTGTGTCTGACCACAACTTAAATTTATGCCAGAATATATAAGTGACCAAATGAGTATATTTCTGTAAAAATGTGACTCATGATATCAGGATTGAATTTTGCATAATTTCTCACCAGTGTGGCCGTGATTCCCACACTCTCTCCTGTCTTGAAAGCAAGGTCTAGATTTTCCCTCTACAAGAAATAAGGTGAAAGTTAAAGCCCCTATGATGACTTTTTAAGTTTTTAAGACAGATTGGAACTAAAACTAATGCAGCACTTTTACCTTGTCTGCTGGTTTGAGGGTGTCATACGGGATGTGAGTTGGTAGAAATGTATGGTAGACAGCACAGAATGCTAGGCCATCCTCCCAGCTGCTGCTAAAGTTTGTGATCTCAATATCCTGCCAGAAAACATACATGTTGAAAATAAGAAGGACATAGCTGGTAACTTGTCTTTAATTTTCCTGAATGTGTTGAGTGTCTTTCCCCTAACCTTGTAACCCTGGGTACGGCTCTGACACCAGCGCAGCAGGGAGTTCCTCCTGGAGCCGCCATGACGCCTCAGTAGGGCGCTGAAACCATCCTGAGGTCTGAGAAGATGAGAAAATATCTCTCCATAGTTCTTATAACAGCTGTTTTTTTCTTTTGATGTAAGAAATGAAATGTTGCACTGGGGATTTAACAAAATAGGTTTCATCCTAAGCAACAAACCCAGACAAAGAGACTGTCAAAATTGCTCTCTGTCTGCTTGGCTCATGTGCTACAGATTTCACAGCAGATGTATCCTGTTCCTCCAAAATTAGATACTTTCTTTCTAGTGTGATACAAGAGGCATCTACCCAAGTGATAAATCTTGTGCTAAGGGATTGTGGGCCAGAAGAGCTAAAAAAGATTGCTGGCTTGCATCTTTCCTAATAGTGCAGCATATAGTTTTCTTCTCAGTTACACACAGAACAAGTGTTTGCTGAGATAAACAAAAAAAAAAAAAAAAAAAGGAAAAAGAAAACGACATTAAAGTCTCTTACTTGATACTATCTGAGCTTTGGTCTTCATCCTGTTTTCCTGCATGATAAAGATACAGCCCATCACTTGTCTGGACACTGACAATACTGTCCAAACAGAATAAAAGATGTGTTCTTCTCCAGGTTGGAGCTCACCTGTGTAAAAGCTAGACCAGCTGTCCTGCCGCTGTAGGGCACGGTCCAGCCTCCTCCGGTTTGGAAGCTCTTCTTTCTGGAGGTGTCAAAAAAAAACACACAGACTCACTCGGCAAGATTTTTTTTTTTTTGACAAAATTTAGTTGATTGAAAATCTGTACGTTTTTTTTTTTACCTTGCATAGAGGCAAAGTTGTGCTTGTGTTTTTTTGAGTTCCATTTTCACTGGAGGGATCAGTTGGGAGTGGGAGACGAGAGAGACTCCTAAAATAGATTTTTTTGTATCTGTAAAACACTATCCTCTTTTGATTAGGTAAACGGTGTTATGAGGGTTAATGTAGACTCACCAGGATCTTTCTGACAGCATTAAAATCCTCCTTGGATCCTTCTGACCACGCCCCTCATCTTTCTTTTTCTCTAGTGCAGCCAAGTTTTGAAGGTATCCCTTTGCCACCCCTTTCCCTTTTAGCTGCTGGCTCTCTGATCCATTCGGCTCTTTGGGATCATGATCTGTAGTTTGAGAATCTACCTTTTGATTTGTGTCAGTCTCTTCTTGCTTTTCAACATTTGCTTCAGTTTGATCTTCCCTGGGTTTTTCCTCTAGGACTTTTTGTATTTCCTCCCCTTGCCCCTCATCAGAGTCTTGTGTCTCTGCCTGTTTATCACAGGCTGTTGAGTCTGTCACTTTGCAGGCGTTCCTCAGGGTGTCTAGCTCAGCCCACTCCCTTTGCTGCTGTTTGGAGAGTTCAGTCAGTTTGAGGCAAACATCTCTGTGCTCGGCTCTCAGGTTCTCCAGCTCTCGCTCCTTTTCCTGCTGTCTGCTGAGAGCCTGGGCCAGCTTGTCTTTTAAAGCCTGGTGGTCCTCCTGGAGGAGATCCAGAGCCTGCTCTGACTCCATACGTAGCCGGTCAGCCACAGACACTGCAACTTGGAGGTCGCTCTGGAATTGATGCCACTCCAGCCTCTCTGTCTGCCATGAAGGAGATTAAATAGAGCCATAAAACCAACATATGCAAAGTGACCTCTTTCCTTGTTCATATCAAAACTGGTGTTGTGCTTAAGAGCCCTGACACCTCTGATCTTTTCTACATACAAATATGAAAAAAAAGAGAGAGTTAAGTAATGATGAACCTTTTTGGCTCAATGTGACATTTTAATACTTAGATTAAAAAAAACGGATTTAATATAGAAACTCTTTTGCTGCATTCCAGTTGTATTCGGAAGTCGGAATTTCCGAGCTCCAAGTCTGAAATTCATCAGGAACGCCCCCCTGAAGTTGGATTTCCAACTCGGAAAGTCGAACGATCCTCACCAACCCTGACTTGATGACAACGTCATAATCCAAGATGGCAGCACAGTAAAGAGTAACAGTGAAAGCTCTCATAATTTATTATTTATTAGCACTTCTGTTTTGCTTTTGTGAAATTAAGTAAGTGTGATAACTGTGAACATGGCGCTATGGTGTTTGTAAGAGTAAAATACTGTGTTGTGCGTTGTTTACAACTGGTATAGCTAACAACAATTAACAACAGCTCACAACCGCTAACATCAACTGACAACGGCTAATGACAGCTGACAATCGTTAACAACAGCTAACAGTAGGCGTCCATCTTGGTTTTCTGATTTATTTACTGGAATGCCGTCAACTCGGGTGTAACGTCATTCCCAGCTCCGACTTCCGGGGTAACTGAAATGCAGCATTAGTGTTGGCTTCACTTCCAACTCACCCTTAGCGTCTCCCTCAGTGTGTCCACCTCCTCAACCAGCTCATCTTTCTCTGTTATCAGGCGCCTAAGCAGCTCTAAGAGTTGAGCCAAAAAGAAGAAGCATACAGGGATTTAAAAAAAAAAAATAGATTCAAGTTTTGTACAATTACAACAACTTTCCTGTGACTTTTTATTTTTATTTTGTGTAGTCAGCCGGAGCTTTTAGAGTTATTTTAATTTAAGCTTGAAAACTCCATATGTCAACTAAAATACTGGAGGAAGGATTGGAGTAGGAAGATTATAGCCCTTTACCAAGCAGAGGTGGTATAAAACTGCAAACCACTGCAACTCACAAGTCTTTAGCTCATAAATCCTCACTCCCAATCTCAGATGTCCCAAATGGATCTGCTCTGTGATTTACAGATGCCTGCAGTAAACTGATGTGAGTATGGAGAGTCTCTGAACTTAACAAGCACCTACGGAAGACACTACAGAAGCTGATCAGTGTGGCACACTTTAGAAGAAACAGCAAAGATATGGCTTCAAAAGGAGCTCCATCAACTGTTATGAACGAATAGATGCCACTTTGTCGCAGCAAAAACAAAAATCATGACAGATCTTGCACAAGTTTCCAGCTTGAATCATTTTTTTTATTGCACTCTGCTGTGATAGTGTTTTTCCAAGCTCCAATTACAATGGATTGCAGGACAGCAAAAAAGATGCTAGAGTTTCACTGATGAAAATGCAGAATCCTGTGTTTTTAATGTGACCAGCAATGGTGGCTTAAAGTCTTAATATTCTGTATGTGCTTTCACCATTCTGTCTTCAGTTTGTGCCTTTAATCTCACCAAACAACCTCTCTTTTGTTTCTATCATCCTATCGATCTTGTCCATAAGTATAAAAGACAATATACTCCTAACTTAAAGTCTACTTTAGGAACCACATTTACAGTTTTAAGCAAGATGTTCAAATGTCTTCAGCAGAAGTTATGAAATACTTTTGTTTTTAACATAGAGCACATACCTACTGCTCCTGTGGTTAAATCAGTGTTGGGGCTCAGGCCCAAAGAAGCCCTGTAGTGCTCCATCAGACTGAGTAAAACCAGGGTCATCTCCTCACTGGCTCTTTCTGTTGCAGGCTGCGGCTCCACCCCGCTGTCCCGCTCGTGCCAGCTCTGCTCTGAAGGCGATGCTCTGGATGGAGGCAGGGATGCTGGGCTGCTGGGACTGAGCTCTGACTTACTGTGCTTCGCTGCTGCATTGCACACATTAGCCTCTGAGCAGGTCACGCTGTCTATGCTTATCACAGCCCATTCTGTGGGAGCAGGCGACTTCTGTGCAAAGTCTGCGATTGGAGAGGTGGTGGAGGGGGTGCTGCTGCTGCCAGTTGGTGACGGCGTCTGTGCCTTATTAGAGGGAGCTGCAGAGGACAAGGCCATGGCAGTCAGCTCAGCATCTGAGGGCGTGGTGGGAGGCGTGTGGAAGAAATCTAAAGGAGAGCCTGAGAGGGGGAAAGAAAGTCAAACAGAAAGGGAGCAAATAAAAGAAGAGATCATCAGAGAAGTGAAAAAGGCAAAGAAGAGATTTCCCTGACCTGAATGCAGAGCCCCCTCTTCTTATTCTCAGAGTAGATGTAAGCACTCTGTGTCCACTCCCTTATTTACAGTCCTGAGCTGACTGATGCAGCAAAAAAATCTCCCCTCTTCAAGTCCTGGCAGGCTAATACTTGCACACTGTTCCCCCATGTGGCAAGATCCAGGAAGTGAGGCGATTTTACTCTGATCTGCTATCAAACAGCTGCTCTCACTGCAGCCAGGAGGAGATTACATTGGTCATCTGTGCCACCTGCATAAACCCTACACCTCAGACTGACATTTCACAGAACCTGGACTGAATTTGGGGACTTTCTGTGGTTTCTGTGTTATAAGAGTAAAATGTATCACCTGTCTTTGTGATTTTTATGTTCTGTTTATGTTGTGTATAGGTTGTACCGTACATGCTACAGGGTGCACCACCTGTTCATAGTACGTCTTTTCCAGCTCATTCATCCTCCTTGCCCTTGTGTCATACTGCAGGATTCTGCAGACTCATCATTTCTTTGCCAGCAGCAGCAGCAGAAGCATGATGTAGTCTGCTCGGCTACAGCATACGAGCTATTCTCATCTTCTAGCTTGAGTTTACTCCCTGCTTGCTAACAGCAAAAAGGGCAACAGACAGCAGCATTTTCAACAGCTGTACATGAGAATTAAAAGTAAGCAACAATGGGCTGAGAGTCTACACAACCAGATCTGTGAGACTGCGCAGGGAAAATTCACACATGCGCTAAGCTAAATGACAGCTGGCTGTGAGCTGTAGGATGCTGGAGGCACGAGATAGGCTGAAAACAGAATCCTCTGGGAAGCAGTTTTTTTATTGAACACCAAGACTTCTGATTCATCTTTCCCTCACGTTTCAGCAATTACACAGCACCTGGCACTGCAGTTTCATTCACACAAACACAATAGCAACACCTCTAGATCGTAAATGGGTTTTTATCTACACAAAACCTTGTATAAACTTTATAGTTGTTCAGATTTTTTACTTTCCTTGGGGTTAGTGGTGTCTTATGGCTAGGAACATGATTTGTGTCTGCACTGTAGGTAAAGAAAATGACATAATGCATGGTCCTTGTCATATTTCTTTAGAACTCAAGGAACAGATTAAAAAAACCACTGCACTCACTGTTTACTCTGTGTTTAAGCCAGAAAAAGCTTAAACTCTTTAACAGACATACACAATAATCCTCTGGTGTTCTCTTTTTTGTATCTTCCTTTATGAGCATTTTCTAAAGATTTCTGTTCTTTTGTCATGAATAAGAGTGACAAGCTCAAAACATTCTTGGAAACAAAAGAGCCCGTTACTTGAATGCTTCACAATAGAACACCAACTAAAGACATTTTTTTCTCTCTTTCTGAGTTTAAACCCGTTTATTTTCACCTGGATTAGGAGGAACAGAGCTGGCAATTAAACCAAGAACACATGGCATGTTCTGTGCTGATCAGAAGCAGGGTGACAGTAGTCTAAAAATAGATTGTTGGTTCAATGATATGAACAAATTAAAGGTGTCAATTCAACCGAACTCAGAGAGCAGGCCATGTGCAGTGCAGCAAACACACAAGTATTTTTTTTTTATCGACGACATTTGGTATGACTTAGTGATTTTAATTTTTTTGATACCTGTTTGGCTGTGGCTCTCCTTGCCGTTTTGGTTTCCCATGATCCAGCAGGGTGGGTTATCTGGACAGGAGCCCCCTTGTGTTAATCACTGAGTCCTCTTGTTTGTGAGGTCCACTCCTGTCTGGTCAGTGGGGGTAATGAGAATAAAATCTTTCAATGATCATCACTCGTTACTAAATTCCTTTAATAGAAATAATGAACAAAAAGTGAGGAACATTTCTAAAAATGAACAGGATAACTGCTCTGACACTATTATCATGCAGGATTAAAACAATAGTAACAATATATCACAGTTCCAGGTGTGTCACCTGCCTGTGGTTGTTACTCAGCAGCTAACAATAGCTGCCTCATTTGTACTTGCAGCTCTCTTGAATGAAGAGCTGGAAAAGAGCTATTAATTCAACATCATCTTAAAGTGTCACACAACCACAAGCCACAGATTAATAAACAGTCTTCATGACAATTTACTGTCAGGTCCTCCTGCAGTGCTGAGATGTGTCATGTCACACACGCCAAGTTCAATGTACATAATCAAACTCCTTTTAATATCAGGACAATTTGGGCTTATTATTGGTTTTATAAATGACAGAGATACAACACTTGGTAACTGATCAATGTGACACATCAGCAGTACTTCCAGAAATACTCGGCATAAAATGATTTCCTGTGACGCACTATATATCAAAGTAATTATATATTTTTCTAACCAGAGTCACACTTATGACCACAGACCACTGCAGATCACTTGGAGCGGTGGATTCATGATACAGGAGGACAAACTCCTAAACCAAATCCTTGAAACAAGGTTTTTCTCGGAGAATTCAACGCCGTATTAAAAACCGCAGTCAATCTATTTGTGAAATATCACCATCATTTGCAACAATCGATTATTTGTCTCCGAATAGACACGCAGGATTAAATTGTGCAATTTCCAGATGAAGTTTAGATTTTCAGCTGCTCCCCAAAATCATTAATCGGTCCGGCGGTTGCTGGTTTATTTATTGACACTACATCGGCTGTGACATGTTTTCATCCAACCCACGACATTGCACGACATCGATACTCTGATGTCTAACATCTATCCTACCTGCTCAGTCGGCCAGCTGGAAGACTTCCAGTGTAGTCCCCGGCTGTCCGACCGTTTCTTCGCCGGGTGTCTCGACCTCCCTGGCGGGGTTTTCAGCGTCACGTCTGTCACTCAAAATCACCAGAGGACGCAGTCCGGGTCACTGACAGTCATTATTTCCCCGATATCTCAGACAGCTAGCTTGGAGAAATACAGCCGCCGTGGAACCTACTATAACTTGGGGTCCAATTTAGTGAAATATCCAACTCTGCTTCGCCTTTAAATCCAATGCGACAAAAAGCAGAGGAGGCAGAAACAAACTGGTTGCGTAGAGGCTGCGCGTTGAATCAATGGCATGAAAAGATTCAGTGACATTCTTCAGGTATTTTAATCACACAAATTCAAAGACTACATCATGTGTTGTCAATTGGACAAAAATGTTGTGTAGCGGGTGGAAAACAGGTTGCGCGAGAAAGCAGCTCGACCAGCTGGAGGCTAATTATTTTTAAATGCAGGTGTGGCTGCACGTGGGAAACAGGTGACAACTCGGCACGGTTTGGATGACCTGACATTGAATCTGTCACTGCCCAAAGAAACAAAACAGAGGAAATAATGAGTAGGCAAAATATGATGGCCGGCACAAGTTTCCAAGTAGGCTAATTGAGTTCAAAATTTATAATCTGGAAACACATTTCCGAGCGCTGTTGAACAAGTTCCAGCTGGTCCATTTCTATTTTCTTGGACTGAACCTGTGACAAGATCCAACAACACTAATAGACTTCTAAATGCAATCTCACATTTATAATTCCAGAGCCAGCAGGAGTATTTCATTCAAGTTAAAAGACAATTTTATTTTAGCATTTCAAGTTTTTACTCCTAAAGTCAATAAAATATGCCGTAAAACACCTGCAGGAGTCCAATCTAACCTTTTTTGCACTATCACACAGTGGAAATAGTGCCAGATCCTGCATGGCATAATAGTGAGTAAACTAGGAAACACAGAGAATTAAAGTTAAATATGCCCTCAGGTACATTTCCCCTTTTCTGACTCTTTTTCCATTGTTGGTCTGTCTGTACATTTCACACACTACCACAGCACAGGTATGTAGAGACAGTAAGAGTGCACCAATACTTATTGGGAAAAGCTGTGGTTGTAAAGAGTTAATAGTTAAATTTTCTCAGCTGATGAAGGGGCAGAGCAAAGCATGACATTTATAAATGTGTTATGCTCAGTTTAATCACAGCTCTGTGGGTCTTGTACAGTTAACGGTTTCAGCACCATGGACAGAGCTCAATAAAAGAAAATGTCTCTGGCACCATCTAGTCCTCGATTTCAGTAGTGCCAAGAACTATTGGAGATAAAAAAAAAGGAGGGCCCTAAAAATGCTAAGATTTTTAAAAAGCTAAAAATAGACATGAATCTTGTGCTGTTGCTACCAAATATGTAATTTGGACTTGCAAACAAGTAAACAGTTAAACCGGTTCATATGTACTTAGAGTTAACGTTTTAACATTTCAAACATTAATATTTGCTCTAAGGATATTCAAATTTCCCCTTCTTTGTTTCACAAATACTGCAAATGAGGCAATAAAAAGTAACACATAATTGCCAATATATAAAGATAAATCAATGTAGTATAAAAATAAATGGTAACACTTTATTTTGATAGTCCACCTGTTGACACTCTACAAATGATCAATTTAACTGCATGTTAACATTAGTTTGTACTGTTGTCAAATATTTTCACTTTAACTGGACAGTCCTAACCCATGTCTACAAACAGATACCAATGTGTACTGATATTGTTTAAATAGTTCTTTTTTCAAGACAACTTTTTTTTGCTGAGTGATGAGGTAACATGTTGATTTGTAATTACGTAAAATCGAGTTAGCTTCAGAAAGGTGACTAGATGTATTGGTTTAACTCATCCCATCATAGCCCCAATGTCATGATTTGTTCTCCAGTGCCCCCTTAAATGTCTGAATAATGCCAGCAATAACATGAAATCCTGATCATTGTCATTTTACAGTTTTTTTTTTCCACAGAAAAGCCCTGTTGTATAGCTCCGTCACTCATAACTTCATCAGAAACTTTAATAGTATTGACAGTAGGTTGAACTTACTTCTCACTGCCAAACTTTGCAAGCAGAGTTTTAAACAGAAATTGTCAGGAGAGTGCTTAAAGCTCCTGCGAAGGAATCTTTGGTTTGTGTCAATATTGGCGCCCCCTGTGGACAAAGCAGTCTTTGATTTTTTTGTCCTCTTGTGACAAACAGGTCTCATCATTTTGACTTTTAACTATCAAGTTTGTCCTCTATTGTTAACTTTTTTTATGTATAAAAAGTAGAAAGAGGCTGTTTTTCATTTACTTGACTGACACATATCCCCTTTTACTGGTATCAAAAAATTACAGGTGATAGAAATCATCACTTGTGTTGCTGATGGCCTTGTTTGCTTTTCTACATCATAAAAAATATTCATGATACATTTCAGTCTATTAAACAAACCCCAAAAACTCTTCACAGAAACGTTCATAAAGAATACCAACTCAGCTTTTTCCACTCTGACCTGGACACGTGCTGAAATTCAACACAGACAAATATATAATCTTGTCATGAACAGAAATCAGCAGAACTGTGACACTATTTGAAGACCACTAAACACCACCTCTGTGTTTTTGTGTGATGAGCTTCATGCACAAAAGAGTAATTTTCATTTTCCCTTCAATAATACTTTAAGAAACTTTGTATGAAAACTTGAAACTAGTCTTTGGACACGATGTCTGCATGTTTGTTTACAGATTCCAAGGCTAAGTTAGGTAATTCTTCAAATTGATTTACAATGTGTATGATCTGTTTGTCTCTGCAATGTGAACAAAGGTCAAAAGATGGGGGCAGATTTGGCTTCTAGCTGTTCTACACACCGAATCCACATGAGTTCTTCGTGACCTTTACTCCACATGCTGAAAATTTCACTTCACATTCTCAAGCATCAGCAATCAATCTCACCAAGTTTCTACACACTGAACCCACTCACTTTTATTAGCAGACTATAGAGCTCAAGGCACTCACTAGTAGATTTTTCTGCAAATTTTCATCTGCTTTTTGTGTTGATTGAGGTGGGCAAAGAGACATGGATGTACTCACTGAGGCTTTGGTTGATGCCTCACTTATCTGGAGGCAGCTGCTGCAGGTCAAAGACATAAAGAGAGGTGCATGTGAGTAGGAGTAGACTGGCTGTAGAGGCGCAACATAGATGGATGCCGAATGTAAGAAAAAAATATGTTTTTGCAATGCCAGCGACACAGAGGCATACCTATGTCTGTCTCTATGAAGGTGTGCTTGAGTGAACGAAGTCTGTATTTTCCCTAAAGTCACTTCAAAGTTCTTAGCTATTCCATCCCCCAAACACAAATTAAGCATTTTGATCTTTATTTTCCCTGGGTATTTTTTCTGTTGCCTTTTTCATGTATCTCTTCAAGTAAAGTCAGTCCCTACATTTAGATCCCTCTGTAATACATCTTTGAGTCAAATAGCTTTCTTTTGCTGAAGCTCTATGTAGAAATGCATCCAAGTAATTTATTTACTCTCTTTCTCTGTGACAAACAATTCACTCACAGTTGTTCTCTCTAAACATTGCCTTATTGATCTTGTCATCTTGGGATAACAACACAAGTTTTCAAAGAGCTAAATAGCACTCATTGAAAAACTGATTTTTTTACGACAATTTTCTCTCAAAACAGGCCAATCTAAATATTGCTTCGTAGGTTTAAACCTGTAAAAACAACTCTGCATTAGCTACAAGTATCTCTTGGTTTATTTCAAAGTTCTTTCACTTGTTTTTTTAGATTTACACAGCCTCACTCCTTCATATTTCCCACACAAGCAATGGTCAGAGACCTTTTTGTTTTTATGCATTGAAACATGGGAACTCTTTGCCCTTGGAAATCGAAATAACACGCCCTATGGTTCTTTTTTGAAACTGAAAATGAAAGACCTACCTTTTCTCATTAAGGCCTTTTTCATCAATCTTATATTATTGTACTGGTTGCTATTATTCTTCATCTGTCCAACTCTGATGCTTTATAGGCTCTTTGCTTTTATGCTAATATACTATAAAGGAAAGCTAAGTTGATTTGGCCACTGAAATAAGTGCGACCACATGACTGTTAAACAAAATAAAGTGATCTAACTCTTCCCTCAAAATGCACTGAAATAACTTCATCATCATCATGGAGAAAAAGAGGAACTAAATGAAATCTATAGTTTGTGTAGCTTCACATGCCCAGGGCCTTCATATTCTAATTCAGCAATTCTAAACACATGTAATTGTCACTTATTTTACTTTATCTCACTCAAAATTGAGTTTATTGACTATTTTTCCCTTATTTGACTTTCATGCATTGTGTAACTTTGTTAATGAATGACACAGTTACTAATATCCACACCATAAGGAAAAGATTGGGAGTCCATACATTCATACATTCGTTTATGTGTTAAGCATACAGTGGCACTGCTGTTCAAAGTTTTCTAAGTTGGGATTAGTAATCAGCTTCATAATATAATTATTTTGTTTATTTTAATAAATCCCACTAATCCTAAATACCTTTTTTATTTATCTGTAATTCAGCCACCCACAACCCCTGTCGTTTTATACAGACCCTTATAATACTCTTATTTTTTGTGTCATTGTCTTCTAGTTAAAACAGCAGATTGAAGCAGAAGGGATTTATTTTAGATCTCTTTATTTTTGGGTAAAATTTGCATTTTATTATGTTGAGAAGTTACACCTATTTTCAGGTGTCCAAGAAAGTAGGCTACTGTTTTCTGTAGACGCAGACTTTGTAAAAATGGCGTCTGATATCGGCTGCCTTCACGAGAACAGCTGTGCTATCAGTGACCACAACAACAACAACATCAGAGCTTTTTAAATCCATCTCCAGAGAATGAAGAGTGCCGCTGCATCAGAGCTCCAGGCGGACTACAAGACCAACGCGAACCGCTGTCATGAAGGGAAACTACGACCGCTCTGCTGCAGATGTTTCTACCGAGCGAGGCAATGAACATGTTCACGGGTATCGGGGGACATGATCGCCTCTCACTTCTTTACCGCCCGTATACTATCGAAGAAGAAGAAGAAGTGACCTTCTCTGAGGAGGAAGATGTCAGCGCTGAAGAAGGTAAGGGACGAAGGTGCGCGGCGTTTGTGCATGAAGCAAACCTGCGCCAAAGGTGCTTGTTATTGTTTTTATTGAGTGATAGTTTCAAGTGCACCTTCATGAGGAATGAGGATGGTGATGATGAAGGTTTGGCTCAAGACAACGCACCTGGTGAGAGTGAAGGTGTGAATAACAGAAGCTGCGAGAAGTTCTGCACAGCATGAATGAGTCACTCACTGAATGATCTCCTGCACCGATCAATCAATGA